TTCCAGCCAAACCTCTCTCCATTGTTTACAGCTCATTCAAAATGCCGCAGCTCGTGTTTTATCTGGTCACCGTTAATATGACCACATTTCTTCTATTTTAGCCTCTCTTCACTGGCTTCCTGTGCGTTTTAGGATTGATTTTAAATTTTTGTTATTAACTTATAAATCTTTAAACAGGCTTGCTCCTTTTTATCCCTCTGACCTTTTAAAACCCTATATTTCATCTTGGACTCTCAGATCCTCTGACCGGTGCCTTCTGACCGAGGGCACTGTTCCTGTCCCCAGGTCAAGATTAAAGTTCAGGGGTGACGTTCATGTCCGACTGTCCCCCTCACTGCCTGTTTTTAAATAAAATCTGAAAACGCACTTTTACTCCTGAGAACTTAAATCACGTTTTTACTGAACCGTCTCTGTCCCCCTGTTTTTAATGTGTTCCTGTGTCTTTGTTTTATTGTTTGTGTTAATTGTCTGTTTTTTATTGTTTTTTTGTTTTTACTGTACAGCACTTTGGTCAGCATTCAGTTGTTTTTAACTGTGCTTTATAAATAAACCTGGACTGGATTGAATTGGAATATTAGTCCATGAGGGATCTGGTTTACTGTGGTCGGTCGCTGAGAGTCGAGGCTGCACACTTCAAAGACATCAGGTCAAAAAAAAAATCATACTATTCATATGAATTGATATTTACAGTAGTTGATGAGAAGCAGTTAATGCCTTCATAAATGCACTGTAGTTCTGCAGGGGGCAATAAGAGGTGATAGAGTGCAGCTTCACCACTCTCGACATGGAGAATGATGGACTATTATTGTATGATATATTTTTTTAATAATTCAGATTGCAGTTTATTTTTTTTAAAGGAATCTGTTAAAGAAGCATCTCTTCTTTTGTGGTGTATTTACAAAAAAGCTTTGCGTATCGGTCAATTGATGACATTTGGTATTATAACGATATCGCTGTGTTTTGTTATGTCTGTGTAGTCAATATTTTACATTTTTTAACGGCCTGCTCTTTCTGACTGTGAACAAAGCCATTCCCCGCCTCCCCCATCCTGATTGGTTACTCAGGAGCCCAAACAAAGTTAGCGTGCTACAATATCAGACAGTAGAAACCAACCAGAAAGTTCGGAAAATTGTCTGAATCCTCCTTTGGCCACGACCACCAACACAAGCAAGAAAACAAAGTAAATACCGGAGACTCTGGAGGAATAACGGGCGCTTAAAACGGAGGTAGATGGGAGAAGAGCTAAAAAAGCCGGGTCAACAATGATGGGAGACGCTTTGGGATATTACGGACCCTGCATCCTCTCTGCTCGACAGGTAAACCGCTTTAACAAAGTAAGACAAGTGTCTGTAACAGAAGTGTTTCTTGTCAAACGGACCTGCTGTAGCGTGTTGTAGCGCTCCTAAACTGTCCTCCCTCGGGTCCTGGACTATGTCACTTTATCCTAGTTGTAGAAGTCCTGCAAACATTGTGTTTGCTGGTAGTCTGTTGGCATCTACAGTAGCACCAATGCTTTTGACTTTCTCGTTGACTGGGCCCCATTTGTCATTATCTGAAGTATTTATCTGCATTATATCTGAATTTAATTGAAACGATACGAGCGAGCAGGAGCGTCTGTTTGTGGGCGGGGCTTGCTGGAGCAGAGAGGGAGGGGAGAGGGGAGTTTACATTCAAGATTTCTCCCAAATACTGGCACTTCCTCAGATCCTGCCTACCCCACCTTTAAATGAGGTCTTTTTTAAACCAACTCAGTAAAATGAACATGCTGCTGTAAAATGGAGATAAAGAGTTTTCGACATGTCTAAATTTACTGATCGATCACATGTCTACAGCCTCCATGAGTCCCGTTGTCAAGTTGCACATGTGCACAAACACAAGTCCATGTGGCAAATTTTCATCTATCTTAGCAAATGCATGCAAAGGCTTTTAGTTCCCATCATTAAGTACGGAGCTGTAATAACTGTTGATGCACCTTCTATAGAATATGTCTATTTTCGATTTAGTTGTAGCAGCCTCCTCAAAGAAAAACCTCCCAAGCCACCACTGATGTTGTTTTTGCGAGGGTTATTCACAAGGCGCAGTACATCTAGGATTTAGTTGGCCGTCATAAGTACAGTATGTGGGTGATTATTGTGCACGTTTCACAGACAATCTGTTTGCAGTATGTTCCTTAAAGGAAACAGCATGAGTGAGTATATAACAGCGATAGAGCATGCATGTGTGGGTGCACGTGTATGACAGTCAGTGTGTGAGCTTAGGCGAGAGAAAAAGAGAAACGATTTAGAGAATGCAAATTCCTCTCCTCCACTTTTATGTTCTTTGGCCTGACAGCGAGGGCGGAAAAAAAAAATCTCACAAAGCTTCTTCTACAAAGCTTCACTTTCTTTCTTTCTTTCACTCTCTCCCCTCTCTCCCCCTCTTCTCCCTCCTCTCTTCCTCCCTCTCTCTCTGCACAGCCACACTGATCCCATTCTCCCTGCCTGCTTGTTTGTGGTGAGACTGATTCTGTAGGTTAGAGGAATACTTCATGCTTTGATGTAACATCCAGCAGTTTCACAGTGCTGGGCCTTTGATAAGAAAAAGCAAAGTACTTTAATATTAAAACAGGTTAAAACTCCTTTTATAGACTTGTAAGGAGGCTAAGCTGACAGATATTTCCCTGTCCAAGACGCAACATTTTTTGAGCCAGATAATGTCAACAAATCTGATTCTTTCTCCCTTTTTGTCTCTGCATTTAACACAGAAGGAGCAGGCGAACTTCTCTCTTGCAGAAGCTCCAGTTGTGAGAAAAAGTGAAGAACAAAAGCAATCATTGTCTATCAGAGAGGCCAGCCCTGAATCTCAAATGTGCATGTGTGACGGAGGCTGCAGACACCAGAGGGACCTTGCTGTTGTTCCCAAGGCTGCACTTGATGATGTATTAATCAATAAAGGAAAGGAAAAAAATCCCTAATAGGCTTCTGGTAAAAAGAGGAGGAATGCAGAGAGGATCTGCCTCATAATAAAGATGCAGTAAAAGGCGAGACAGATACGCCAACAGATTTTAAAACAAGAGTTAGAAATGAAGAGGAATCTAAGAAGAGACATGCATTTATTCAAGAAGCCGTTCACAGCTGATGAATGTTTCCCTTCTTTTTCAGAGTCAGTCATGTTAGGCCAGCAGATTCATAACCTTTAGCTGGAAAAGAGTCGCCTCCAGAGGATATTAACCTCCTCACCCCTCAGTTTAGATTCACTCTGAATGTCTACGGACTGTTATTACCTTTTCCACACCGTGAGAAAACAGGATGCAGCTGAAGGCGCTGCACTTTCACCAGTAATTAGTCTGATTGATTTACATGCTCCGATATAAGCCATTAGACACAACAAATAAAAAGGTCAAAGATGAGCAGTATAATGAATCCAAGGCCTTGTTTACACCCGGTACTACATGCACCCTGGGGAATCGGATCACAAGCGGACAGCTAGAGGTACATCTGTTCACACCCTTCATCACAGTGAAGCCCCCCGATGGTCTGCAATGCAACTGTAGCGCTCAAAATCAACATGTTTACTTAGAAACTTCAAATAATCAAAGGCGAAATATGATAAGCGCCATCATTCCCCGACTGTCGCAAGTCTCTCTCTCAGGGCCTGAGAGTACCGGTGCCAGGAGTGCGCACGGAGCGCACTCGCTCCCTGCGGAGCCAAATTCCGTTAAACTGTTTCCCCGCACCTGTGTCCCGCAGCCCTGCACTCCAACCAACCGTTCCCCTTTTTATCTGGACTCTTTTTTTTTACCCGCTGAAGGCACACACACACACACACACACACACACACACACACACACACACACACACACACACACACACACCCTGATCTGTCAGTAAATAGAACAAGGTTGTGCGCTTTTGGGGGTCATGAGACCGCCAGACCATACCAGTATAGTTTGTGATATTTTGTCTGATTCATTGTATTTTCAAGGGGCAAGGTCATAGCTGTATGGAGGGCGATTAGTGCCTTTTTGTCTGCTGGGAACTGGGTGTGACAGCATTTTCAGTTCTGATATCTGACTTCTGAGGTAACTCGAACGCAGCATTAAACTGACGTTACAAACCTTACACGTCAACTCATCACACAAGTGTTATCCTGACTATTAAAGCTCCTATGAGGGGTTTTTCAACTCTTTTAAAATACACTGAAAGTAATGTTCATGCCCTTTTGTGTCATTCACATCAAACGACATTTTGTATACTGTCATTTTTAAACCTGCAGCTGATACTGGAGGGGTTAAGTGTTAGCTGAGCATTTGTTTTTAAAAATACATGATACACTTCACCATCAAAAGTCGGCAGGATGAGGTTATTTTGACAGAAGCATGTAGAGGACAAGACAAGCAAAGACTGCTTTGTCCACAGGGGGCGCCAAAAGTGACACTGACTGAAAGTTCCTAATTGAAGCTTTAAGTGTAATTACTGAAAGAGGATCTGATTTTGTTTTATTACATCTTATTACAGAAAAGACACCTCATATGCTAGAAGGACACCAGGACAGTACTTTTGAGACCGTTCATAAACTGGATGTTTCAATAATGGGGAACTTTTTCCTGTTTTATCCTCGTCAAAAGTCCAAAAGGGTTACACAACCCTGCAAACTACTGAAAGGCAAGAATTAAGCTGCAGATTCACAACTTTTATTTCTCCTGAAATAAAAGTGTACATTTTTGAGTTTGGCTAATTTTAGCTCACTTACACAACACCTCAACTTTATTTAACATGGTGCGTCACTGAGATTAAGAGGCTCTTCAAGCAGCAGAGTCCTGGCCAGGATCCTGGATAGCATCACTTCTAAGACTTCAAACATTAATCATCCTTCTCCATATATCGCTCTTGTTGAGGTTGACAGCGAAACTTTCTGCATCCTTTTATGTGGTTCAGTCTGAGGTCACCTAGTTAGAAACTCAGCACATCTGTAGCTCCGCCTTTCTGATGTATAATTCATCCAATTAGATCATTTGTTCCTCAGAGAAATGCTGGAATAACAAATAAAGCAATCTGTTTGTTTCTGCAGATTTTCTGGTCTGTGTGTAAATCCAGGTCTGTCCATGGATGAGAGAACAACCTCGCTCTTTGGTCGCTATTGTGGGTGTTTATGTGTGTTTGTGTGTGTGTGTGAGCTTTGATGTGAGAGAATGTCGGACATTGCACGCCACTCTCTGTGTTTGTTTGTCCATCATTCATCCATCTGTCAGCCTCAGCTCCTCCATCTGCCTGCGTGTCCCTCCAGGTATGTCTCAGCACGACATTCCCATTGTGATACATAATGAATGTTGTTGTTTTTATTGTGTCCTTGTGTGAATCATACCTAAGGCACAAAAATCCCCAACCTGCCGCTCTCAGCCTGAGCGTCTGGATGCTTCCCAACCTGCATCGCTCTTTGTATAAAAACAGCCAATTACGGGCCCACGCTGGCCCTGTGACTGGGTTTTAAAGGTGCTCCAAATGCATGCAGCCTTGTTTGAATATGGATTGTGTCACAGATGTCATCATGAATAAATACAGTTATTTATTTCCAGGTCCAGCGAAAACAAATGGTCTCTCTTGTGTGCTCTTTCTGGATCCTTCCTCCAGGCTTGTTACAAGATATATAAATTCATTCCAAAGGCCAACTTTGACTCATTTTATCTGCCAACAACTCGTCGAGATACAGAGACGAAGCGATAATCATAATCAGATTTAAATGTTTGTGGAGACTGACCAAACATCCTGAACAGCTTTTGTGGAGCTTTTAGTTTTACTGCTCAATCTTATTCAAGTGCGGTGCCAAGGAGGTTGTTTATTTCAGGAGTAAATCCATATTTCCATTTGTGATGGAAATCATTACCTCGTATTCCTCACTCCATATATTTCATGATTCTAAACATTATAATTATTTCTATAAATACAGGAGGATCCAAGAGCGACTGGCGATAAAACACCCTCAGAAGCGTGACCGTAAAGTAATTTTAGTGAGATGACTCATGATTATGTTGTGAATTCAAGGTTGTACAGGCCAGATATCTGAGGTGTTGCTCCGACAAGGACACAGTTTTATCTCAACAGAGCAGAAAACAAGAGGAGGAAGTTAGGTATTTAATCCATCTCCATTAAATCGAAAAGAAGGACGCTGAGAATTAATGTGGATTTAAAAACCTAAAACAATCAGATTTTAAAGGTTTGCAAATCATTCAGCTTCTATATGTTTTGAAAATAGTGAAAAGACAACACACAAAGTGTAAAATATGGATATGATGAAAGCTTTCCAGAGAGGCTGAGTCTCTCTGAAGCAAAGATGGTGAGAAGTTTACGACTTTGTAAGAGACTGCGTGAGCTAATATTTGAGCAGTTTCAGAATAATGTTCCCCAGTGCACAAGGACTTCCAAAGGGATGGCTGGATGGCACTTGATTAAAAACAGACCTGACTCTGCAGTGGAAGTCACTGCATCGACCTTGAACAGTCTTCTGCAGCACATCTAACTATGTATTGTGAAAAATGTCATCTGTGCGTGTTTACATCCAGGTAGTGGAGCATTTAGCTTCAAAGCTACAGTCATGGCTAATGACCGCTGCAGCTTAGACAAAACACGTAACTGGCATTTAATGCGTCTAATGGTATTCATGAGCCAAACAGGAGGTTAGTGATGTTTAATTGTTAAGTACACCCTGCATGCACATTCCATCTCAAGACAATGATAGATGACGACTACAGAGATAGGAGGCTATAGTTTTTGTCCATGGAGTCTGGTGCCGAGTAAGACAGTGAGGATTTTTCATTAAAACAAACATTTCAAAAAAAGGGATTAAAAAGCGAAGGTTCATTCAGTGTCCAGTTGGAGACATTAAGCGCTATTGTTTAGACCTGATATTGCTTGGCACATCTGTTTTTATTGTCACACATTCATGGGCAAATTCATCAGCATCTCCAAAGTCATTTTTTTGTGCAATTTTGATTTAAATTAATTACATAAAGGATGTTGTGGATTTAGTTTTTCTTCTCTCATTACTTAATAATATGTTTGCACATGTTTAAACTGCCATTTTTGGGATGTGTCTGAGCCTATAACACAGCCGATAAGCAGCTATCGATATGACTGTATAAAAAAATACATGTTGAGCCTATTCTGTGCAGAAAAAGGGGTTTTGAAGAAAGTGTTTTATTCTATTAAGAAACGCTGTCACAAAAATCATCTTTACACTCTTATAATCAACATTTATTAAACGCAGTTGTGTTTTCTGTTACACTGATGATGCAGCCGCATAATAGCAGATCAAAACTGTTGTTAAAATAAGGTCATTGAGATCTGAACCTGATTCCACCAGAATTTCAAAGATGAAATCCTGGTTAGTGCTTTATGGGCTGTGTGTGGTTTTAAAAAGATCAATTTCTTTTTGGATTTTTTTTAATGCTATTAGTTTTGATTTCAAAAAACGTCTCTGCTGGTGAAAAGTACCCACAAACTTTCAGTGGAAATATTTGCCCTGTGATGTAGCCATTACAGCCTTTTGATGCTGTTTCAGACTGATCCTGTGATACTTGTCATGAATAGATGAATGCTGGGAGTCGATAAGGCTCAAGAAAGGCTTTATGAATGTGTTGAAAGTGATGTGACAAATGTCACTGTGTAAAAATAAACTCAAGGGGAGCGTGGGAGTGTTGTACAAGTTACTTGTTAGATGATGAAATCTGATTCAGGAGGCTGATGGAGCTGATGTCTGAGTGATCAATCCATCAATCTGAAGGCTTATCAGACATCAAACGCAGCGCACGGTGATGTCTGTGCGAGACAGACTGCTGAAACTCTGATAAGAAACAGAGACGAGGCAGTCCTGGGTGAGAACTTTCCTGTGTCAATAGTTCAGCAAGTTTTCTGCAACCCACCATTGCCTACATTTCTATCCATGAGTATAAAAATACAGAGCAAGTGCAGGATAAACACATCAGCAGGGAATCAGATCCTCTTTGTCATTACCACTTTCATTTCCTAACATCCTCATTGCTGCTTATGCAGCTGTTAAAGTTCAGCACTTGAAGGAGTTGGTCACTTCATCCGTCTTCATGTTCATTTCACTGTTAATTAGTCATTCAAAAGTCACCTTGCCGGAAAACAAAGTCTTGATAGGCGAGCTGTTACAAGAGACCACCGCTCACCTGCAGGTGCATGGGAGCAGAGACATGAAGAAGGTGACAGTCACACTGGTGTAACTAAACAACAGGTAAGTAACGTGACAGGGCACCACAAAAAAAAGGGCGGAGACTCTTGGAGGTAAGGGTGGGAAAAGGCTCGCTATCCCGCATGAGACAGTGTGAGCAAATACATCAACAGTTTCAGAATAATGTGGGGTAAAGAAGTAGAACATTCTCGCTCTCAGGTAACTGTCCAACATGAGTCTGGTCCTGCCCAAGGTTTCTAAATATTAAAGGGATATTCGGGCGTAAAATTAAGTTAGGGTAAAACACACCATAACACCAAGTTAGACACCCCGACGAGAGATGAATGTTGCCGACCGCTTGCTTCTCTAGTTATACCAACTTTAGTAACGACCACACGAAAGCAATACATAGTGGTCTCAGGAGCCATGAGCTCAACCAAAACGCCACTCTACAGCCACAAATAATGCTCAGAACAGCACCTGACTTCATCAACAGTAGATGTAGGTCCCAGCCATAGAACTAGCCACCAAACATCCTTTTATCTTTGCCTGATTTCTTTAGCAAAGAGATTAAACACAACTCACCTACTCTCTTCCAGCAGCAGCTTGTTTGTACAGAGACCTCCGGGTGAATCCAAAATGACTGCAGCGGGGTTTCGCAGCTCAAGTAAGAACATTTATGATCATTACTTCATTATTTCCTTGTAGTAATAATCACCATATTAATCATTTTACAGACGCAGTAGTTCTTCTGCCTTAGTGTCTCGGTCTGATTGTATTTCCATGAATAACAGATCACAAATGTTCTTCCTTGAGCTGCGTCACCCCACTGTAGTCAGTTTGGACCCACCTGAGGTCTCCGTACAAACAAGCAGCTGCTGGAAGAGAGTGGGTGAGGTGTGTTAAGTCTCTTTGCTAAAGCTAAAAGATGTTGACCCTAACTTAATTTTAAACCAGAATATCCCTTTAAAGGGAAGTTTAAATAAAATAAAATAAAAAATTCGGCTCATATTAAATGGTGTTTTGGGAGAAATAAGTTGTTATTTGTTAGTTTTGAGAGTCTGTTGTATAAAAACCTTATAATTGAACTTAAAGTGTATGGTGTGTTTTGCAGTTGCAATCTGAAGAGTTGCACTAAACATATTTTAGACTTTTTACTCAATAAGTCAAAGTTGGCTAGAGTTAGAAAACTCCAGCGTTCACCCTGACTGTAGTTTTATGGATCGCTCTGTGCTGTTCACGCTGTGTCTTGAGGAAACAGAGTGTTGAAGAGGCTTTTCTCAGAAGCTGTCTTACATTAAAAAAAAAAAAAAAAAATCTTTTTCATTCTCAATACTCTTTGATTTATGTGACTGAATGCATTATTTACACTTTATACAGATTTTTCCTCTTCTGGGGTCTACATGGGGGTGTTCTAATCCATTCCCCTCCTCTTCGCCGGGAGCCATGTCTTTTTCCATCAGAGGAAGTGAACTCAGTGAAATCCCTGAGAGCGATCCGAAATCACTAACAATCAATGAAACTGTCAGTCACCAGCAGCCGATGCAAAGCTTGTATACTCATAGTCATATTCCTACTCTGTCATTCGCCTTCAGCTATCTCATACACTGGGAGTTTTTTTTTCAGTTGCAGTCATTTCTACAGCTTGGAGGGATTTCTACTGTACAGCAGGTCTGATCCATTTTCACAAAATGCTGCTGTGTGCATCAAACGACCCCGCTGTGTTACATTTCACAGGAAAACATCAGTAAAGTTTCTCCACATGCATTTTTAATAAGTAACAATGGTCTTTGAGCTGCATGTGCAATTTAGGCAGGATTGCTCAGCGAGTAATCATAATAAGGTTTATGTTATGAGCATCCCAGTGAGCTGTAGTACACACACTAAACCGAGCCGACAAAGTGTGAACAAGGTCTTTAATGGATCAAGCCTGCAATGGAGTCATTGCTACCATTAAAATATATGACCGGCCGCATGTATTTGGGGGATTTCTAAACACAAAGTAAACCGGGGACCAATTTGAAAAGTTTGGTCCGCACTCAGCGGCACAGAATGTGCTTAAATAAGGATGGTTTCCCATTAAATTCTCATTAGCCGCAAAGCTACAGTGACCATAGAGACGTTCTGCTGCTGCAGTATCAGGGCTGTTAAAGGGAGTGTCTACACTTTATAATTAGGAAAGAGAAAACAACCATCCGTAAGACTGCTGTGAAGTGAAGGGTCAGCTCTCATGGCACAAAGCGTAAGTAACTGAAAGTGAAGCTTCCTTATTGTCACATCATTGCCAAGCAGTGTCAGGGAGAGTACTCTAGACTATTTTGGTGACACTCTTTAAGAGGTAGTTATCATTTGGTTTGTTTCTGCATTTTTACAGCTTAAGCCCACTATTTTACAATTGGTTAAAGCTCTTCAGCAGCCTCTTCCACTGCTGCCAGCGCTGGAGCCGTTGTTCAAACCAGGGTTTCTCTATTTAAAATGAAAAACTATGACATGTGGGCAAATGTTTTGGACCCTGAATGTGAAAATTCCCACAATGTTAAAGTCAAACTTACAATTTGAAACTTTGCTAATTTTGCCTTGCATTGGCATCCACAAATTTGATGTAACCCCTCATTTTATTGTATTTTTTAAAAGGCCTATCCTTTTTTTTACTTTGCTGTTTACATCAGGAGCAGATCAATCATGTTGTACCCCCATGTTTCTACAGTAACACCGAACAGGCTTACTAGCAAGAAGAAGAAAAACAAGAATAAGACCAAGAAGAACAAGAACAAGAACAAGAAGGTGAACAAGAAGTGGCATTACAGGAGCTTCTTGGCCCCGAAGGCAACCGTTGCTTAACTGATGAGAGGGGTGAGCAAGGGAGAATTTACACCTTGAATCTGACCAAGACATTACTGAATATCATTTCTAAACACAGTACCTTTGAAGTAAATAACCATGATGAAGCCGACAGTCAGGCTCTGTCGTATAACTAAATGCCGTCTTGCAAATGCAACGTCTAAATCACAAATTCAGAGTTCGGTGAGAGAACTTTTTGCTGGATATAGTTGGATTTACTGTTTCAGTGTGTCTATTTTAAGACCACAGAAGTACAGGGGACTGCTTCTTCTGTACTCCATGACTTTAAAGTTTGAGAGTCTGAAGAAGTTTTATACTGTTTGGAAGTCACAAGAGAGCAGATTAGAATCAAAACCTCGGAAAATAAGACTCCAGCCAGACTCCAGCCGTCTGGTTTAGCTTATTATAGAAGTTGCCCCTGCTCAGCAGCAGAAACTCAGGAGGTAGGAGGTCATTTGGTAGAGTAGGTGGGAATCTGGTGGAGTACAGTGATTATATGAGAGGAAGGCTGCAGTGTGGCGCCTGCTCCCACATAATTAAGATATGAGCTACTGGTGACAGTGATGCTAACAAGGACGGTGGCATTTTTCACCTCTTGGTGTGCAGACGCTGCCAGTGTGAGTGACAGCAAGTCTTTATGGGGAGTCCTTATGGTGATCCAGACTCCATGAAGTGTGACACAATTACAGAGTCTGAAAAACTGAGGGAACAATTTAGAAGTCACAGAAAGTCACAGGAAGATGATAAGAAAGCTGGAAAGACCTGTTAGCTGTTAGAAAATGGACCATGGATGAAGGAACGTCATTATTTGACATTTTCTCTGTGTTTGTCGTCTTATGGGTGCAAGTATAACATCAATTATTGAGGGACAGCACTCCTCATGGTGCTGCAACGTCTGGGAAATGTAGAGAAATGCAGTTTCAAGGATTTCAAGGAGTTGTTGCACCAAAAGCTGTATGAAATCTGACATCTGCACAACCATAAAGAAAACGGCTGGAAACTTAAACTCCACCGATGAAAGTTTTGGGTGTTAAACTTTCTTTGGAAGGTCTTTTAAAGTCATCCAGGGATGAAAAAAAAAACTTAATTTATAGGTGAGGACAGAGGGTTTGAAAGCTCTATAGAAACTTGATATTTCAACCTTGAATTACCAAACTCTTCGTCAAGCTTCTCTGATTTCTTTTGGGCAAGACTTTCTGCACCAAAAACTCTACATTGACATCTTACTTTGTCCAATTAAAAGGAAATACTGCAGCTGCCTCTTTGGTGTAGACTTAGGTGAATACTGTGTTGAGTTGCTCAGAAATTCATCAAACTAACGATGGTAAATCTTCATCCCAAGTGGTTTCCTATCTGGTGAATTATCAGCCTTGTCAATCCCAACCCCGGGCTCTGTGGTCCAGCTTTATCCACTGACTTCCCCCCCGTTAAGATCCGTCTGTGGCCGTTCCACTCACATTGTTTGAACAGAGACAGAGGAGAAACATATTGCACCTATTATATCCTGGCGTTTGGTTTTCCATAGAAAGCAGTGATTGTGTTTCCGTTGGAGCGCGGTGATGTAGATGATGGCTTTGGCAGGCGGCAGACAGGCCCGCTCTGATGAGCTAACACTCAGTTGGAGGAGAATAGGACTAGAAAAGGCATGACAAATGGTGCAGCGTTTAGCGTCGCCTGGCACGGCTGCCGAGGGTTCATTGAGTCAGAAACGAAGGGGCCGTCTTTGTGAGGTGTGACTGCTGCTGCTGGATGACAGATTGCATTGTTGGTCCTCTGAGGGGAGCGTTGAGGAAGAGATAAAAGCCATGAGAATAAAAGTCTCCAAAATTGTAAAAACAGACAGAATATGGTGACAGAAACTGCCAGTTACAAGTGAAATATTTGGCTAGAGAACAAAATAGAAGACTGAAACATCAGTCCTGTGCGCTGCAGTCACACAATTTCACCTTCATCCTCCTGAATAATATTGTGTCTGAAAAGCCATATTGATCTGTAAGCAAATGGCATTTTTGGCAAGGAATATCACTGCTCGGCGCCTCGGGGGGGACGAAGACGACAACCTTCCTTTAAGACGTCAATTAACTTTGCACAAGGGGACAAACAGCTCTTACTCCTTCAGATCGGGACTTTACTTGATTGCTGTTAATTCCCTCCTCTCACTGTCCGCTCATCAGAGAGGATTTGTCAGTTGAGCTGAACAGAACTTTCAAATTAACGAAAATCAATCTTAAATGTAACAGAGGAAGCGGCTGTAAAAGCTTCACACATTAATTAAACTGAGAATACAGTGGAAGACTTTTGAAAGACGTCTGAAAGTCCAAACTGTCATGCAAGTTTCAGGCAGGGTGTTTACTTCATGTTGAGATTGTTTCCCATAATGCCCAAGGCGAACAAGGTAAAAATGAATAGCTGCTGCATTAGGAACTCTCTGTTTCCAATAATTCATTGCCAATACAAAAAAATATTGATAATAGGAACTATTTAAAGAAAATTACGGTGCCGTTTTTACCCCTGAACAAATCCTACTTGGAGCCAAATGCATTTCAAAAAGGCAGCAAAAGTAGCACTGACTGTATTTACTCAGAAAAACGTGTTGAGTTTGCCCTGCAGACAGAACTTCATCTTTTCATGAGCCCACTTTTCCCAGAGTGGTTCCTGGCATGATCATCGCAGCAGGTAGTGTTGTTGTGTGTCTACTCTTCATTATGCAAAACTGGTCAAGAAATGCCGTTTAAAAGGCAAACTGCAGCATAAGAATGTAAACCGAACACCTGCTTGAAGTCACACTCTGAGAGCTGGTTGTATTGAACACTTCTGCTGCTTTTCTTCTATGTATGGACTGGGTGAATAAAAGATAGCGATCCTCGGAGATAGCTTTATCTGCAGAGCAACAGACGGAAAGAAAGCTTTTGTGAACCTGCGGCACGATGCACAACAAGTGCACTCCACCAAGGACAGCCAAATAATAAGAGCATTATCAAGAGAACTGAGGAACTTCTCCATCTAAAGCACCTGTCAGACTAAGCAAACTGCATCAACCACAGTATCACAAAAACGTTCTTTTTGTGGCTCCAAAGAACCTTCAGGTGAAAGAAAGTGCCGCTGGCTGTTGTTACAGTTGTAAAAGATTAAGGAAGAACATTGAAGTACAAGAAAAAGTAAGAAAATAAGTGTTCTGAGGAGCAATCTCAGACATCAAACTTGAGGGATGCAGAAGCAGAAAACTCGGAGAAGCTTTGGATGGAGTATGTTAGTGTCGGAGTGAATCGAATTGGAGCAGACACAGAATTAGAGATTGAAAGCTGCAACCACGAGGACAAGAACATCAAAACAGGAGCTTGAAAAATCTGGCGTTAGCTCTCATGAATGTTATGCCTCATTCTCTCTGAGCGTTTCGCCCACAGCTACATTTTCCAGCTCTTTCCTGGTAACAAAAAAACCCCGCTGTCCTACAAAACAGTCGCACACTCCTGCCAACAGTGAACGGATGTTAAACAGCACGAGGAACATTTAGTGCTTTATTCCTCTGAGCTACATTATTTTTTTTACACAGCACACACACAGTAGTTTGGGGGTGATGGAGGTCAGATGTGATGTTTTTGGAAAGCAAAGCCTGAATCTGAGGTGTCGCAGTTACACAATGAGGTTTAAAGGCAAAGCTGCAAAACTGGCTCACATGCATTAAAAGAGAATATTGTTCTACAAACATATAATGTTACAATGTGTGATGTGTTTAATACAGCTCTGCACAGTTTAATAAGAGATCCGTACATGGATGTTGGTGTAATCCAACAGATTTTCCAGGTTCTCTGAAAACCTTAATCCAATCATTTCATAAAACTTGTCTCAAAACTGAACTCAGACTCTGGCGTCCGATTAGGACTAAGTTGTTTTGTAAATAAAGGCCAGTACAGTACTGGATTTGCATCTCTACTGTTGCTGCAACCTGGAGCTGCTCCATCTATGAAGACCCTGTGTGAAGTCTCACAGCCGCCAGCTGGAAATCACATTATGCAGTAGCTAACCTTACAATAAGCTAACATACTGTATGCTAAAGTGGCTAAAAGGGGAGCCAGGTGAGTGCTAATGGCTGGACTCAGTTTTCTGTTATTGTATAACTTTTGGATCATTTTGGAACTACAAATCTGTGTGAAAAGAAACACCCCCAAGCTTTGTTTAACTTTAATAAACACCTGTGTGAGATTAAGGAAGTTTTCTAACCTTAACCCTGCCAATCATGGAGTTACAAAATATCAGTACAGGTTCATTTGAATCTGCAAAAATATTGGTTACTCTTTGTTTTCCTGGAAATCATTTGGATCAACTTTTTGATCAGTTTGTTTGTGGAGTGGGGACACAGGTAACCGTCGTTCTTGTGACAGATTTTTAACTAGTTTTCTTTTTAAAACTTACAAAAGTGAATTAGTAGATTAAAATATGAAGATAGTGTTTGAACTTTGAGTTCAAATGGATGTGAAAGAAAGACAAAAGTGTGTCTGGATCTGTCTCCTGTGTACTGTGAGTCAACTTTTCAAACAAATCAAACTTTGATTATGAAGCTACCTCCAAACTTCTGCACATGTCAGAAAATATAATCAACAAACTGCTGCAGATGTGACTGTTTTAACAGACGTAAAAGACTCCAATCTTTGAACTTTTCATTTGTAAAGTTTTCATGTTCAGACTCAGTTTGAGCAAAAGTTCTCACCTGTGCACACACACACTCCTGTGCGAGCTTGTTCTTGAACGCACACACACAAAAACACAGAGTACTTTGAATTCTATTTGCCCCGTAAAGCTCCCCAAACTCTCCTTCTTAATTCTTCCCTTCAAAAGCAAAGCCAGGGGAGTAATCCACAATCTCAGGATCTTCTCTATTTGGCTTCCAAATGCAAATGGAAATCCTTGTTCTACAAACGGCTTATTGAACGGCTCAGAAAGAGAGGGCTGTTGCTTCTCATTGGTTTCTAGCAGAAAGCTGAAGCAGAGTTTCATCCACTGCTGAAGCCTGGGACTCTTCTGCAAGGTAACAATATCTCACATGACAGGGTATTGTTTCTGATGCACAAAGGAAACCAAAGAGTCCAGAAAGTCACATTTACACCTGTATGGTGAGGGAACCAGTGGTTCCAAATACATCAGGTATTTAAGGACCAAACAGTTCTGGGGTCTTTCAAAGGAAAACATTTAACAAAAGAAACCAAAGATCTCATTCAATGTCTTGTGGTGAAACACATGAGATCTCACGAGATCTTATCCAGTCTCAAGAGAAATATTGATAATATTGCAAGTGCTACTCCTCCGCTTGCAGCAGCGGATTGGATCCGGTGGGCACTGTTACTTGCATGTTTGATCCACCTTGTGTTCCGGATCAGAGCGTAGCGGATCTGCATGCCGTGGAATCCTGGTGTTATGCTGACATTAAAATGGAAGATTTTGACATATTTTCTGTTGTCCTGTTAAAGTATCTTCACTTTGGAAACACCCACTATTGTGTACCACGCCAGACTGAACTGAGTTGAACTGCTTGGTGTAAACTTGGCCTACGTTGCTTCCTCGGCTCTTGGATGCAGTCTCAAGAGGACACTCCAACAACTGCAGTTTCCAACAGTTCCATATTCTGTTGCTTGGTATACCCTTGTGTGATGTTGGTGAAGAGTCACTTTTTTTCCCTAATAATTTGATAGAAGGTAATGTCCTCATCCTCTTGCAAGAGATCAATACAGTTTCTTGAAATCCTCCAGTCTCCTTCAGCAAAGTCAAGTGTGCCGGATGTTGATCATCAGATCTCCTCTTTCCGCCTCTTCACACTAAAGGGCAAACTGCCTCCTGCATTAGTACTGAATGCTTATATTAGATGCAAATTGTCAGGTGCAGATTCCTCCAATTAGGGCTGAACTGGAAGACAGGGTGGCATGAATGTGGTATTATGACCACACATGCAGAGAGAACAAATGCACTATAGTGTAGATGTCAGTAACACTGTCTCTTCTTTCTAGCAGCCACTAAATAAAAGCTAAATGCCCCACATGATTTAAAGCTATTATTAGAGGCTGTTGGGCTGAATCACTTTTGCATTTTATTTCCAGAAGGTCACAAAAGGACATTCATTTACATGCAAATGTGAAGAATATTTTGAGGACTACTTTATATACGTGTCAGACCTCTTTTACACTTATTGTTAAAATGCATTTTGTATCAACCCGACGTCCAGAGATTATGCAAAAAGAGCACACCTCAGATGAGAGCACCACTCCTCTTGTGTTCAGGGTGCTTTTATCGAACACACAGTGCTGTGCTGTGGATACTATCAGAAAATATGCCCTTCTTGACTCATTGGCTGTAAGCCGAAAATGTTATTGAAAGCATTCAGTTGCACCGAGCTAAGTCCGAATGAATCAAACCGAACCGTCTCAGATAGGAGTGAACTGAAGTGCCATAAAATTTGCCGCCTATTGAAATGAACTTAACACAGCGAGAGCACAGACCTGTGCTGCTGGCTGCTGATAAGCTGAGCGCTCTGTGTGTTTGTCTGAGTGTGTGTAAACCTTGTATCTGCTGTTTGGTTAGTGGCGTTGGGATTGTTGCTATTGAATGTCAGACACATCCCTGCGTCGCACCGTTTGGCAGATGCAGACAGAGCAACGTATCAGTGCTGGCAAGCTGAGCTGTTAGGTGTGTTTGTGAGTCTGACTGTTCATTTGTAGACGGAGTGTGAATGACACCTTTGTCATCGCCGTGCCACGCAAAGCCATGACATTTGGAAGTCATTACCTTAAATAGCGTAAAGACGTGTGAAAAGGGGGAAAGTCAAAATCTGTTCAGTATGCAAGATGCAAAGATAAAAACTCGATGAAAACTAATGCACCCATAAAGTTCTCCAGCTGACATGAGACACAGCGACCCAGAAGAAAACACAGTGCCTACCAACTGAAATCAGGGCGAGTTACTAGTCTGCATCAGAGTGACTTATAAAAGTGGTCCAGAGAAGGAGACTAGCAGCAAAGGCTCTTTGATACGTGAGGGCCGGACTGACAGAGATGCTCAAATTGTTGGAAAAGTTCATGCTGTAGTGTATCACGGACCAGTCAGAGTGCAAATGCTGAGTCTTGTCCACTTCTGTAAACCCCTACGACGGACACTTGAGCATCAGGACTAGAGGGTGCCAGAATTCCACCGCATGCAGATCTGCTACGCTCCGATCCGCAATGGCAGGCGGATGAAAAATGCAAGAATTCACTGGATCCAATCCGCTGCGGCAAGCAGAGGAGAAGCGCTTGCAATATTACCAATATTTATCACAAGACTGGACAAGATCTCGCTTGTTTCACCGTGAGATATTGAATGCAAAAATAGAAGCCTTGCGTATCTGATCCGACCACCGGAGAGGATCTGCAGCGGAGCCGGACGGTGGACGGTATGTTTGGAATCACGAACATTGATTATCATGCTTGCGTATTTAATCAGGCTGTTAATCTAATCAAGCATCTGTGGGATGTGTTGGACAACCATGGAGGCCCACCTCCTAACTTCCAGAACCTGAGGATTGGCTACCAGTGACTCAAGACAACACAACACACTTTAGGAGGTCGAGTAGAGCCCATGCACCCTCAGGTGAGGACTGTTTTGGCCCTGACCTGAAGGGAAAGAGGATTTTAAACGGCCACACTACTTTATTTACCTGAAGCAAAACCAAAGAGCAGTTTGTGGGTTAACCTTAAACCTCTAACGACGGGGAAAAGACTCTGACACAGATTCTACCTTTTCAAGCAGACCTTCTACAAGTGCTCTTCCCATTCCTGAGTCTGTCTGCTCTGTGTTGACTAACTCTAATCCAGGATGTCATCACTGAAACAACTCCTCTCTGCCACAGTTTAGCGTGAGCAAACCCTTTAATACTCTGAGATAGACTTTACACACTGCAGTTGTCTCCGAGTCAGGAGTCTGACTTTGTTATTTAACATTTTAACCACAGTTTTAATAATGTAACAGGGACAGAGGGAGGGAGGGAGGTTTACAAAGAGAGGAGGTCTGATAAGTGAGCCTCTGCCACTCTGCAGATTATGTAAGAGATGAAACCAAGTAAAAAATGAAAGATGTCTGGTGTGGATGACCAGGTAAGACTTTAAAGACTGAGGAGTGTGTGTGTGTGTGTGTGTCACATAAAAATAGGGTTGTACCTGTAATCATGCTCACTCTATTTAACTTGGTGGTTATGTCTCTGGGTGACGGATGAGGAGGAGCTTTAACGCAGTGACTTGTTTCACTGGTTTTACTCTGCAGCTGTGTTTGAGTTTGTGATCCACGGCTAGAGGGAGTGTTTATAGATCACAGAGAGAGGAGTGGAGGACAGAAATGTGGACCTTAGAGACTGGGAAGACAGGTGATAGTTGTTTGAGCCGTACGAGTGTGAAACCCCAGACAATTACATCCAGGACAATAAAAGACGATGACAGACCTTGGCACGTACATGGTCAGAGGTACGGGGAATGCATACTCTCACGTTTGAATTGATTGATGTCCTTCCTGTTTAACCCAATATTTTTGTTGTTGTTTTCTTTCCAATGTTGGTTTTATTTGTTTCAGAGGGCTCTGTGTGGTACAGATAATAACTCAGTACCTGCCCGAAGCTCCATATTGTTCCCAGAAGATCCTTTGAACGTGCAGCTACATGATGGACTGAACTCTGGCCTCATATTGCAGGTCTGTGTGGACAATGCTTTGGAAAATGTCATTTTTTTGTGGGAAACATGTCTTTGACTGCAGGTTTTGAGGATAGTATGGCTGGAGTATGTGGACACTCAGTCCTCTGGATACGTCCATTTCCATCATCACACGGTACAGTTGCTTTTCTACTCCCGATTTGTTTGAATATAATTGTTCAGCAGATCAACACTTGAAAATATGATGTTTATTTCTTATAATTTCTGGATACAGCTCTCTAACTTTATTGTTTAAGCTTTTCATTCTGCCAGTTCAACCAATGGCATTTACATTCCAGCAACACACCTTCAATACCAATTAGGGATGGGAATTGATAAGATTTTATCGATATTGCTGTCATTATCGATTCTGCTTATTGATTCGATTCTTTAACAATTCCCTTATCAATGCCTTTTATTGATATATAAAAAAAAGAAAGTAGGTGGTAGGTTTTCACCATCAACTCAAATTTTATTGAGTCTCTGCTAAAAGAAAAAAGAGGTATGCCACCTTCAGTGAGAGTCTAAAAATAATTTATGGCATTTATGGCATGCATTGTGCTCATGTTAACACATGCCATACATTAGAGTGACCATATTCTGAATCCCCAAAAAGAGGACACTACTACGCGGGGCGGACTTGTGTGCAAAATTTTGAGGGTTCTAACTTAGTTAAATGCATATTCTGAATTTCTAAAGACAGTGCATGCGTGCGTCACGTCAGTGGCTTTGTTTAGAAGTAAGCAGAGCGGGCAGAGCTGCAGAGAGCACTGATGCTCTGCACTCTTTTATAATGTATGAATACATGTTCCGGACATTTAAAGGATTTTATTAACTCCCCCCAGACAGCCCCCCAAAAGAGGACATGTCTGGGTGAAAGAGGAGGTATGGTCACCCTAACATACGTACCTTCCATGCCGTGCTGAGACGGAACTGCAACGGCTGACGACCGGCGGAGAGCATCGGATCCATGTGACTCCTTATATTTGATGCCGTTCAAATGTTTAAGCATGTTGCTGGTGTTTCCACCTTTGCTTGTTATCACAAACTTTGCACTGTTGTCATCTTTCGTAATGTTAATCCACGCTTTAGCTCGTTTCTGTCTACTTTTCGGACGGTCCACCATTTTTTTCTCTGTCTCTGTTCCCGTTCGCGTAGACTGGCACTCGAGAGACCGCCTGAAGAAAGGAATCGTTCAGGGAATCATCAAGATAAAATGTAAATGATGTCGATGGATTGAACCATTTGGAACTGGTTCTCAACAAGAACTGGTTCTCAGTTCCCATCCCTAATACCAATGACACAGACCGCTATGCAAGCCGAAGGATCCCAGCACTCCCCGTTTCCTCAGCTCTGCTTTACTTTCCCTTTGACAACTGTACACTGTGCGTGTTACATTAAAAGAAATGGTCCTTTCAGACCAGGAGACAAAGGGGGATACTCGAGTTGAGCTTGTGGAGATATTACAGACAATAAAAGTAATGATCAAACAGCAGGTCCTGAGGGAAGAAAGGAAGTGGAGAATCATGCAGTCAGTAAAGTCATCATCTGTGCACAGGTTGAGCTCAGTATGGCTCTAACAGGCCCACTGCAGAGCTTATAAAGATCTTATTTCTCTCCACAACTGGCGGCAGGATCTCCTGCGGCCTCATTACCAATATCATATAAATACATAGCCTGGGACCTTGATTTGTTCAATAATTCAGCTGTAGCTTCCCCCTTCCCTTCGACTACAACTGCCAAAGGCAAGTCTGGAGGACGGTGCTAATACACAGCTCCTGAGAGTGTGAGTAATAGCAACGGGCAATTTAATGAACACATCAGAAAATCACCACTGGGCCGGTGGAAATTCCCTGGGATATATAATGTTTTTTTGAATCGTATTAGCCAAATATTTGGTATCTTAAAAAGGTTAAAGCAGAGAAATAAATTAGAAGAAATATTCTAACAAGTGATGTTGGACATAAAATTCAATAGATGAATAAATGAATAGACAAGAGAAATAGTCCTCCACTCTTCCAGGAGGGAGTTGTCAACATTTCACACTGAACCCACAAAACCTGGCAACAACAAGACAAACTTGACAACCTTATGGGAAAAGTCCACACCGATGGTGATTCTCAACAGGTCACCTGAGCAAAAGAAGGAAATGTTGTGAGAATAAGGAGCAAACTGAAATCCTTTGGTCAAATCAATGACAGCCTTCACCTGTCTAGGTCAACTTTTCATCCAAACTAACCAAGCTGTTTTGAGGCCTGACAACCTCACCTTATACCAACCCCTTGATGCCATTGTCATCCCAGAAACCCCAGAAAGTATCAGCTGGCTGTTTTGATGGGTCATTACTTCCAGTGGCCACCCTGAAATCCCGAGCAATGATCAACAGTTTGCTAAAGTGGATGTAGATGTGACTGATAAGCTAACCTTTCAGGATTTGCGGTAAGGTCCCAATGGCACCACACCTGGCCACCCCTACAAGATAAGTGCCTCAGTTTTAAAATGTTTTTTTTTTTTTTTCCCCCTGCCGGCCAAGTGTTGCCAGTAACAACCTGAACCCGATCTCAAATCAAATAAATCAGAGATGTAAGTGGATTTTAAAGAATAAACTGCTGCAATGGTAATAGGTTATTTAAGATTGAATAAAAATACCTCTTCATATTTTGTTTTAACTTGTTCCTTGAGTTGGTAGTTGGGTTTTTCGTGGCTTTAAGCTAATCATTATCAATTACTTATTGATCATTCCTCTGGACAATACATTTGGCTTCTTTGCAGTTTATTATAATGTCACTTTTTGCGTCTTAATTTTTAACTTAAACTTTGGGTTGTTTTGGGATACCTCTTCCACTTTTTCTGTGTAAGGTGTAGGGCTGTAAAGTCCTGGTCGACACGTGCTGAGTCGACCAAAATTCTGATAAGTCAACTCGATTTTCTTCCACATCAAATAAAAGTCTGATTAATTTCATTAGGAGGAGTGTACCAAGTGCTAATGGGGGTGTTTCACAGATAACAGCCTGTCGCAGAACACCCCCTTTATTTTCACCATTTTGGATTGGCCCAACCCACTGGTGACCAGCTGGAGACAGGAAAATTGAGATTGTAGCGGTCAGTCGATTTTTGGACAACAATGTTAGGGTTTTAGTCGACCGAGAATCTATTTGGTTGATTACAGGTGTTAAGAGTTTTCTGCTTTTATATCTTCTTTGTTTATATTCTTGTACAAAGTTTGTCAGTATGAAAGAAGTAAATGTGACCCTAAAGGATGAGGAGGTTTACTGTTGGCAGTTTTAAGGACCACTACCATTTCTATTCACTCGACAAAAAAGTACACTATATTATTTTTCACACTTGCTCAGTCTCGACCAACTCCTTGCTTCACTTTATCTTTTTAATGTTTCATGCTTAGCAGAGGGGTATTTCATTCATTACTTTTTAGCCATGTTAAAAATAGCTGCTTCCTGAGTCTGAAAACAAGGTAAGAACCTTACGAATATACTTCAAAGAGGATGTTACATAAAGCCAAATATGTACGAAAAATATATGAGACACTGCAATGCTGCTAAATTGAGAATAAAGCAACACTCAGGGTTTTATCCTCACAAGTAGAGTGGATTTAAGCCCGTGTTGTTACACATTAAACCCAGAAAACAAACCGTACAGTAAATCACAAACTTGGATGATGGATCATTGGAATAAGAAACAGATTATTTTAAGCTCTTGTTGTCAGAGCTTTCCAATTTTCAAAACACTGTGAGCTTCTTAGTGTTTCATCACATAAGTACGCCTGTGACAAAAACACCAGCAGATCTTTGATCTCCTGTGATGTTCCACTACATAGAGAAAGTCTGAGGCCTCTGCAAGTCTCTTCGTACTGGAATAAATAAAGGATAGAAAATAATAATCCAGACAGAAGCTGTGAATGCTTTTAAAGACGGTCATCTGGTGTAAACAAACAGAAATTAATAACAGCATAATAATAATAGAAGATAATAGCTTCAGTTTTGATGGTGATAGATGTTTAGAGTGTTGGCAAGCGGCCCTGAAGGCAACAAAGATTGTTTTTCTTTAAGTGAACGTGCACCGTCAAGCATGTCAGAGGAAGGAGGGGAAAAGGAGAGGTAAGAGGAGAGGAGAGGAAGAAAAAGAAGATGAAGAGCCACTTCAGCCTGCCAGAGGCAATTAGTTTACTATTTTATAATATAACAGTTATTTAACCAGATAAAACCCACTGAAATCGAGATCTCTTTTAAAAGATACAGTTTCACCAGAAGTCTATCCATCAGCTCTTTAATCACAGGTATGTGGCTGATCTTATCCAAGGATTTGGATCTGGTTTGGGCAAAGTGAAAGTGAAACAGTGTTGGTTTTTGCAGAATGTGGAGCCACATGTCAATAATTCATGCCTTTAATCGACTCAGTGACCAAAAGGAACTGCAGAAACATCGATTGAACTTGCGCCACCAATTCAGATACTAACATACTTCCACTCCTCTCACTGAAACACAGACACATTCAAAACAGAGATCCAACAATAACACTCTTTGTCTTTTCAGACGTCGGCTTACGCCACATTCACATCCGTCCCCAGGAGCCCAGTTCAAGTCATAAGTCATCATGGCGTAGTGAGTGATGCATTCATGTCCCTTTGGAAAGCTCATTATCCAAGTTTAGAGTGATGGCTGCCAAAGAGCGCAGCATGTAGGATCGGATAAAAAAACAAAGAAACCAGAAACAGTTTCCACCCAAAACACCACTTTCCTGTTGCTCTGTGAAGTCATGCACTGGTCATTTGTGTATAATCTACCTGCAAGGATCCTCGTAATCATTCCCAGCTGTGCAACTTTTATTGTGTTAATGCACTTCAATTAAAACTCTATTTGTTGAGCTGAAAATAAGCGGGGTATCCTGAGATAAATTTGGACTAATTTTAGCCAAATTAACCAGAGTGAACTAAAAACAGATGGTGAACTTGTTTTTGCATTTATTGATTCAGCTCAAAGAAGCTCGGGCTCTTTGTTTGACTGAAATAACAACCATTACACTAATTTTATTAAACTCATTCATTCTGCTGCCATTAGGTTTACTAAAAGCACACAGCATGTTAGTGTTTGTGTGGATGAACCTGGCCCAAATAAGTGCTTGGTCACAGTAGAAAGCATAGTTTTATTTCATCTTTGAAAACTGAAAATCATTGGAAACTAATGTCAGACAAGAGCAAATTAAAGCTTAAGAAGGACATGAAATGAGGGGAGTAGTGAGTGAAGTCAGACATGCAGCCAAGAGACAATCAGTGTCTGCTGTTTTTAATTATGTTCAATTGGATTTGATACCAATATTTTTTTGTTTTGTTTTCTTGCCCTGATGACTATAATTCATTGTTAGGCAGGTATAAGATTTCTACAAGTTAGCTCAATAACAATGAAACATTGTACTGCGTATAAGGGATAATTATCACGTTTGAATAATGGTTCAAATAAATACATCAATACTGAATGGCACATTCATGATGTTACGTTTTAAAGGTCCCCTATTATGAAAAATCCACTGTGGGTGGTTTTCTACCAATAATATGCTTTGGGGAAGATGTTTACACACAGCTCATTATCATTTAAAGGTACAGGTGCAGAATCAGCCCAATCTGAGTAGAGCTAAAAAAAATAGGGGGTACAGGCTGGCTGATAGCCACAAGTAAACTGGTGTTTTAGACAACAAACTTTAAATTAGCGCTTGTGGGACCCCTGGGACCGATTTAAACTTCATGAAAAATGCCACAATAGGGCATCTTTTAAACTAAAGCTTCATATTAAGTCTTTTAATGTTGTATAAATCAGATATGGCCACAGTTGACAAGTCCTTAAAAGATGGTTCAGATGTAAATATTTCTCAATTAAATGTTGTAAATCTAATGTTTTCGTTTACACCACATCCAGCACAAGACTCTTCCTCATCTTAACCATGTGGAAGACCATGAAGTAAATTAACTGTGAGGTGAATCAAGACATTAAGTCACCGCTGGAGAGGACTCCATCCATACCTCCCCAGTATTAAAGTTATCATAGGCTGAGCTCAACTAGCATACTCACGGCTGACTATATGGCGGAAATAGAAAGTATAAAATAGAGCTACACATTTGCACTGAAACTGCACATTGCTGAATCGTATCTCACAGGAACGTAGGTTAAACTTTCTATCAGCTGGAAGCCTCTCCAACATACCAATGCTGCTCATATTCCAGGTTTTATACCAACTCCCAGCATCCATCTCTCTCATCCATTTGCCAATAGTCTTCTTCACTGCACCATTCAGACCTGTTTTCAACCAGATTTCAGTGATAACATACTGCGGTGCTCTCTGGGATGGGTTCTGTTGAGCTAGAAACTGACTTGTCAGTATTTGTGTGAAAGCATTTCAAAGGCCTGAGTTTGTTCAGCATGAGTTAAGAGGCCTCCTCCCTCAGCAGCAGGGTGGCTGTTGAGTCTAACAGCCCCACAGACAAACAGCTCCCCGCTGCACTCAACAGTTTTGTCGTCCCGTCGGTGCTGCCTCCGAAAGCTTTCCGAGGCAATCTATGATCGTGTTAAGTCTTTCTTTGTTTTCCTCTCAGAAGAAAAGAAACAGTTGCCTGCCATGTGACATCTGTCTGGTTTTCCTGACATGGAGCAGCCTGCTGAGGTAAAACTCTTCTGACATGTCGAGTTTCAAACTCCCAGACTTACAGTATTTGCATGACTTGTCAAGTGGATCATCAAACAGAAGCTCAGAGTTTCCTTTGTCTATACATCTTATTATATCATGAAATTCAAAACACTCACGCATCACGAGTCACCTTACATTACCCTTGACATCCTGGAGGAGCTTGGAGTAACATCGTTTAAAGCTGCAGCTGAAAGAGTCCGACCCTCCCGGCAGCTGTTAATTAAGACTCTTGTGGCAGCCTCAATAATGAGTTGTCTCTCACGTGGTCAGGAGTTAATATATGTGATTCTGCGTGCTGCTTTTGTATTGAACTACTGCCTAATGAAGGACTTGAACTATTTCTCTTGTTTTTTCTCCATGAATCTGTCATTCTCTTGCATTTTTGTTCGTCAGGTTTCTTTCATAATCAGTATTTCTTTTTTTGAGGATATGGTTGTTTGAGGTGACAGAGAATTTGAATGAATACATGATTTTTAATGATTGAGTTCAGGAAGACAAAAACTTTGAAACAAAACTTTGACTTTATACAAAAGCAGTGCTATAAATATATGTAGTTGGCCAATCACAGGAAAAAAAAAAAGTCTTTCTAAAAATCAAAAAAATACTACGATTAAATCTCCACAAACAGAAACTTGCATGCAAGTGCAGCTCATAATCTTGTCATAGGTTTAGTTTCACAAAACCAGCCCCCTCCTCAAGTTCCTAGTCAGACAAAGGCAGAACAGGCAGGTCATGATATTTTAATGCTGGTGTCATTGCGTTAGACGTAGCTCACAGAGGTTGGTGGATAATAGCCAGTGGTTTCCATGATAGAAACGCACCTAGGGCCTGATCTGCTAAAGGTTAGTCGATCAGGCCCGAGGTGCCCTAAACCCAGCAGCGGCTTGGTGGCTGTCTGGCATGAGTCTGGTCCTACCCAAGGTTTCTGCCTGTCTTTTCTTTGGAAAGCATCTTGGGATGACGACTGTTGTGAATTGGCACTATATACATAAAATTTGATTGATTGATTGATTGATTGATTGATTGATTGATTGATTGATTGATTGATTGACCTAGGGCCTGATCTACTAAAGGTTAGCGTGCAAACTTGATAGCGCTCACAAACCTGATCTACTAACCGGGTGCACCGAGGATTGCGTCTGTCAAATGAGCAAAACAGCACGTGAAATCGATTTAGCGTGTTTGCCTTCATGAATATGCAGAATGTATGTAGATCATCAGAACACGCAAAATTCTGGGAGGAGCAGATGCAAATGGAATCATTTAGCACCTGCAGTGTGATCTATTAAACCCCGAAACCAACTGCAGTCGCTGTTTTGCGTCTATATCTCAGAGCACATTTGAAAGGCATGTGCAAACTGACACAGCATTACGTATTGTGGAGAGAGGGAGGCAGAAGTGCCATGATAGACGTCAGAATCCTTGTCCAGACGCTTGTGATTTATTTTCGTATTTCTGGTAAATGACGATTTTTATGAATAATAAGGTCAAACATGGAACAGACAAAATTTTGATTTTGTATATATTTTCTTGCATCTGTAAAGAAGGCGGTCCGCACCACTTTTGCACCTGTTATCAATTGCTCATGCAATGATAGTAGATTACCTGCAAGGCAATTTAGCGTTCGCTAATTTGGGATCTTAGTAGATAAGGCCCCTAGTGTAGTAATGGTGAAACCTTCAATCACAGCTACTAAAAACAGGTCCATGCATAGCTTTTTCCGACCTTATCTGGAACTCCAAGCAGGTCTACGTGTTGGGAAAGTTCATCCAAAAACAGATCATGTCGAAGAAAAGGGAAAAACTTGTGCTCGATGGAAGTCCACTCAAACATGTGAATCTAAATACCGTGTTTTTATTCAGCCTCCTCACCAGATAAATCCGTTTGATAACTCTTACATGATAATAATCATTGTAAATTTCATTCAGGAACATTTTTATGATAAACAAGGGGGTTAAAAAGAAAGAATGGGGCTTAAAGTGCTGTTAAAACAAGTCTGTAATTTCAGATTTCACGGAAACTATCCAATAAAAGAGGATTTTAAGAGAATAGTTATTTTTTCTGATTTGATGAAGTAGGAGACACAGAGAAAGTTTTTGGGTTTGATTATTCTCTCTAATACACAAACTGATCTTTGTTAAAACAGGCTCTCTAATCACGAAATAACTGTGTAATTGAATAAATGAGTTTTAATTAAACTCTAGTAGTTCTTCAACCACATCCTCCAGGCTGAACATAAAATAATTCATATTTGATGAAGTTCCTCAGGGTCCGAGCTTTTCCTCTCTCTCTGTTTTAAATTTTTTTAACAGCTTCAGTTCTGGTCTTCATCAAAGTCTCTGACACCTCTCCTCTTTGTTCTGTCCGTAGGGATCAAGACACCATCAAAACCAATCATGTTGTCATGCCAACGATTTGGCACCCCGCTGCATCACAGCTCAACTTCCCTGACGGGGCACCTCGCTGTTTTTTTTCCTCACTTTAACTTCACAACACGTTAACACATCTGACGCTCGGCTTCAAACTGTGGCTGATGACCAATTAGAGACTGAGGCGTCGTTTTTAATGAGCTCGTCAAAAAGATCACTTTGATGTTTTCTCGGTGTCAGAAAATATTCAGTTACCACCCTCTCTTTTTTTCCAGGTCACATTATCCCTCTTATGCTGGTGTGTTCAATTCATGTCATTTACATTTAGTAGATTCTTAACTTGACTTCCGAAATGAAACTCTTGACCCTGTCAGCTGACCTATGACCTGCTGACCTCTGCTAACTTATAATAATCCCAGGGGATATGAGTGGTTTGTTGTTGTTTTTTCAAATCCCATTGTCTGTAATTTGTTGAGTGAATTTGTCGGCTCATCATTCAAGGTCCTCAATAAACTCCAATACTGTCAGAACTCTGCAACCCGCCTGCTCACCCACACCAACTCCCGAGAACACATCACCCCTGTCCTCCAAAAACTGCACTGGCTCTTCATCTCACACCACATATCATTCAAAATCCTTCTGCTCCCCCACAAATCACTTAAAAACCTGGCCCCCACCGACCTCACAGACCTGCTCCACCACCTCACCTCTTTGCCCTACCCTCTCGAACCAAGCACCGAACTTCTATGCTGCCGCCCCCGCCCTCTGGAATTCATTCCCCAAACCCATCCGAGACCGTACAAACCCCGATACTTTCAAATCACTCCTAAAAATACACATTTTTAAACTGGCTTTTAACCCATGAACTGTTCTTTTATTGTCTTCTCATATTGTGTCTGTTTTAACCTTTTACATTATTGGTTCTATTTCTCAAAAATTTCTGTAATTTAAATTGTGTTTTTTTTTTTTTTAATAGGACTCTGACCTAGAACAGTGTTATATGGAGCAGTCTTTGTCGAGAGTAGTGATGTGAACTTTGTGCGTTTCTGAGAGGGCCTCTAGTAAAGTAAGATGTTGTCCTGTTTTTAGCTAATCTGCTAATTGAAGCTAACACCCTGGCCTCCCTTTGCTTATGCACCCTGAGCATGCATGGGAGGGACTACATACAGTACAGACAGACATGCATCTTTCTCATGCTTGTACCACTTTAACACAGAGGGGGATGATTTTCCGTTAAATCCTGGATCTGTGGTCAGACCGGTGAGGGGTGGTGGTTGAACAGATCAGGGACCAGAAAGAGACATTTTAAAGTTGATTTACTTCCTTATTTCAAAACTCTCCCTTTTCCCGCCTTTCCCTCTCTCTCAACCTTCCTTTTTGTCCCTGTTTCACCCTCCTCCCTTGATCTCCCCTGTTGTTTTCACTCCTGTCCTCTCACCGGTTTGCTTGCCTATTTTTGTCCTTTTCAAACCTCTTCATCTCTACACCTCCTCTTTTGTCTTTTCTTGCTTCCTTTGTCCTTCGCTCCGCCCCTCTCATCTCCTCACTCTGGTATTTCATCCTCTTCTTGTCTTCCCTCCCTCTCCTGCCAGGCTTTTACAGATGTTCCAGACACAGATAGTGAAACATCCTGGTTGACAGAGCTGTGCAGTAAATCCTGCGCTGACCTCCCACTGCATTTAAATTCTCTAATCTGGTGACAAAAGGACTGAGGCGGAGAGCTGGAGCCTTCTGGGAAAGGTCAAATTGTTAACTAATCTGCTCCCCTGCTCTTCTCCCGGTCCTCCCCCAGCGCCGCTCCCCGCTCTGTAAAAGCCCCCATGTGTCAGCTGTGTCATTGCACTCATGTCTGGAGGTCACTGTACGCCGCAGAGCGACCTCACAAGTTTTGTGTAGCAATTAATTAGCGTCAGCGTGGCCGGCACATATGGGCCTATTATCATAAGGCCACATGGGAGGATATTTCCTGCGACCATTATTCAGCAGGAAGTGACAGGGAAGGCTCAAAAATGCCAGCAGGCTTTTCTCTCACCCCTCTGCCGCTCCTGTCGCCACAGCACGAATGGGCGGAGAGTGTTTGTTGGATATTTTTAACAGTTTTAAAAAACTGTGCAGCATCCAGACCTCCTTGGGTCAGAACAAGTCAAGCCTCAGACATTTACTGCTCGGTCTGTAACATCTCAGGTCAGGGTTGTGTGCTTTTAAAATTGAATCAAGGAGCAAATCCCAGATATGAAAGATTTTGTTCGCAGTTTTGAAGATGTGAAGACGTTGAAAATCAATACAATACGTAATACATTATAAAATGAGCTTATTAGGAATCAGATGTATTTTCTTTTTGTTACTACTGAATTTTAGTTTTTGGAAGTGTCGACATGTATGTTGCTCCAAGTCAAAACATACAGAATTATTGAACCTTAAGTCGTCTTTCCAGATGTGCTGTCAGCACTTATGCATCATGGTGTCCTCCTTCAATCTTTCAATTCTAACCTCAATTTGTGGATTCAGCAACCAGCTCTGTTTCTCAGAAGGGATTATGACCCTATGCGCTGATTTCCACTTCAGACTAGTGTTGGGCGGTATGAACAAAATCTTATATCACAGTACGAGTAGTTTCATATCACGGTATGTTCTTTTCCCCTGTAAATTCAATTACTGGCTTAAAAATAACCATACTGTCCCATTTGTTTATTTTCGTTTGATTTTTTGGCTCTCGGCGTGTTTCATCTTAAGGTGGTAAAAGAGGTTGCTGGTGATTTTCTAAATCCAAAGAATCTCCAAACAATCGATGTCACGACCTTTTTTGAAACAAGCTCCTCTTCCTCATGTTGGATGGGTCAGGCGGCCTCAGTTTGCTCAGTACTGCTACTAATCTGCGCGTCCACCATGACCACCACCAGTGAAGCTGTTTCTTCTTCATCAAAACTATAACAAGCAGTCTACTGGACACGCTGGTGATTATAGGGAGCGCACTCAAACCTGACCAATCAGACGCAGTGAACAAACTGCACGACAAGCTGGTGAATATACAGAAACGCATCCAAACAGATGCGCTCTGGCTTTCCTGTTAGCGAGCACAGACAACTACACACTGACTCCGAGAGAGGCAGCAGACATCTGCTCTCTCTCTTTCTCTCTCTCTCTCCGGTATCAACGGTAAAGCAAAGTTTCTACACTTTTATACAGTCACATGGTATATACCGTCATAGCGCCCAACACTACTTCAGACTTCTGGTCTCTTGGTCTGTTTTAAGTACACCAGCTGTTATTGTAAGGAAAATTCTCATTCTAGGCTGACACCATAACACAGAGGCTGTGATGGATCATATTAAACCATTAGTGCCCTTTTATTAGCTAACTGATTTGTAGTTTGTTCACTAAATTATTAACTTCAGTTGGAAACAAAGTATCGTCTCATCTCTCTGCGTCCTCCAAAAACAGTTGTCTTAAGGTTGTCCATTCATTTGCTTCAACAACAAGTTCATGCTTTGGTAGGAGCCACATCTGTCCCACCGTAGACGGTAAATCCAGACTGGCACAACATGACAGCTTCTCAAAGTGCCTTTCAGTCGAACGGGTGTTTTATTGTTCACTGCAGTCAAATTAGTCTGGAGTTTATCTTTGTGCTGATAATTGTCCTTTAAATGGACTTTTGCTGAATGAAGTTAATGTCTTGTTTTTATACCTTGTATGCCTCTGTGAAGCACTTTGAATTGCCTTGAGTCTGAGAGATGATGAATAAATAAACCTACCTTGCTTTATTCTCCATCATACATTTATAGCCTGTCTGAAAGACCTTGCAAGCCTGCAGACACAGCTTTCGAGAGATTGATTTGCTTTTTTCTTGGTTTTAGATCCTGCAAGTACAGATATCTAAACAAAAGGGTTAAGCTTAAATATTTTCAACCTGCTTCTAGTAATACTTAAGATCCATGCACAAATGCAACGACATGTGGTGTATTTACATCATGTTTTTACCCTCCTGTTTAAATTTGAGCCATCGCTGATAAGTACGATGTAAAGATATGTCAAAATTGATCTATGTAGCTTAAACTGTTGCTATTAAATTGTGTTAAATGTGTAGTTTTGGGAGTACAAAAGGCTTGCAAACGTTTGCTGAGTTACCCAAAATCAATTCTTCAACCTTTTCAGCACCGCGGACAGCGACACTGACATTCTCTGAACTTTCCTCAGCCACTTTGAAAATATCCTGAAAGGAAAGTTTTTACAAAGTTTGGATCTCTCCTTGTTTAAGTTTTTATATTGACCTCTTTTTAATAGACACAAGGGTAAAATAAGGAGGGGGGGGATGACATTCAGCGATGGGTAGAAAGACGAGTCAAATCATTCTTTGCTCAACTAGTTGAAACTATATAATCTAGAAAGTGGAGATTACTTAAATATTTAATCCTGTTTATTATTAAATATATAACATTGAATCTATCATCAGTATTATTTAAATTTGAAAAGGAGGAGTTCTTGGAATTTTGTAAGAAAACTCATCTTCCCAGGTGGAGCATATCTGAGCTGACACACTGACAGATCCACTTCCTGAGTTTTTCTGTGAATGTGAGCGCAGTGACACTTCACAGAATCAGAGTTCATATCCTCTTTGTTTCCCTCCATCACCTTCTTCTCAGAAACAACGTTCCTCTGCATCCTACTGTATCCTGGTTGAGCGTCTGTCTTTCTCCATACTGCTTTTTGCACCTCCCACCCCCCCTCCATCTTTCACCCTCACCTGTTCTCCCCCCTTGTTCTCCGGCTCTCTGCGTTCCTGGGTGGATTGTTGGCACTGCTAACAGGCTTTTGGAAGTGGCCTTCAGAAGCAGCTGGACGGCTGCCGGGAGTCTTTGGAGAGCCGCCAGGCCGTCATATGCCCCTCTCCACCTCCTCCACCTGCACACCTCTATACTTCTCCTCCTCTTCACATTTTAATCCTTCTTTTCTCCTCGCCATAAGTCCTCCATCCTCTCCTCATCCCTCTATCTCTCAGCATACTTTTAACTAATCTTCCCTTTGCACTCTTCTGAATCTCTCGCCTCCTCTATCCTGCTGCTCTTCTCCTCCAGAATCTGTGGTGAAGCAGATTCATGTTGAAGCCTTTTATAAAATATACAGACAAAATTTAAATTTCATAAAGCTCAACTTTGACTGCGCTCTACTCACTGCTCTCTAAACTGTTGTAGGTTAAACCATTATTACCATGTATTCTCACTCTTTTTGCTCAACAGCTTTTGCTACAAAAGGATATCGATGCCCTTTGTGTCTTTTTGGAAATAAAGTGGGTTTTGGGTCATGTCCAAGTTTGTAAGATCTCTTACTGTGGGTCAAACACAGAACCCTCTCTTTTGGGGAAGAAATAAAAGTGAAATAAAAGAAAGTAGACCTGAACTAAGATTTCCTGGACCCAAATTGGAGTATTAAGACTGTTTTTTTTTTTGTATGAGGCCCCGACATAAACCACTAGATTAACAGGCGTCTCCCGCTGCTTTTGCTGCTCTTGCTTTAAATTCTCTGGAAGCAAAACACCATTCATGGCGTCTCCTTGGACATCATCCTTGGACATCATCCTTGGACACACGTCATCTTCTCAAGGCTTAATAAATATTTTTCTGCTCTGGCTGAAACCGTCAGCGAGAGATGTCTGTATAATATTCAGGTTGTCACAGTGAACTTCTATTCAGAGAATAATAGTTTTGAAACTTTATCATGCATGCTGAATTTGTTATTTCCTAAAAAAAAAGAGATAAAAGAGCTACTTGTTGAAACAAATACTAAATAAGAAAATCAGGCTTTGAACAGACTGAGCTCTATGGTGATGCTTTCTGGTTTAAACACCCTCCGCAGATGGCCAGGTGCTCATGGGTACTCTGTCGGCGTCCTTGGGCAAAAACCAAAACCACAGTTATTTGGACTGACATTGAGATCCAGATTATTCAACACAGTATCTTGTTATTTCACGTTGACACCTCCAATATTTACTAAAGTTAAAAAGTCTTTAAAACTAAAAAATTATGAACTCTTTGAAAAGCTCCTCCTGCTGCTCCACTGTAACACAGACTACAGATCCAACTCATCGCTCTGTTTTTAATCCTTCTCTCTCTAACGTGGAGACTTTAATTTATTTTTTATCACTGTATGGATGTGTTTGTTTTTTTTTTTGTTTAAATTTGCAGTTTGTTAATATCTGTGTACACACGTCTCTCACATATTTCACTCTGTCAGGATAATAAAGATCATTCTGGTTTTTATGTTACATTTCTTGGCTTCATATATTTGCTCTTAGCTCCTTCATGTGTCTTCTGGGGTCTCTTGTTTGAGTTTCTCCCTTTCTTTTTGGGGGGTTTTGTCTTTTTGTTTTAATGATGTGAACTGTTAAAGCCCTTTATAAATCCCCATTTTTATAAGTGCTGTACAAGTCATTATTATTTTTATTATGATTTCAACAAACACTAACGCATGCACACACCTGCCTCGTCCTGCTCTTCTTCCTGCTCGCAGTTAAAATTCATTTATTCCCCTGACCCTGTTTAGTCAACTCAAAAGTATAAACTCAAACCAAAGTGAACTGTCACTGCTGCTCCAAGAAAAGCTCCACTGGTCTACATTTTAACTGCAGTTGGTTACACAAAGTCAGGTAGTATTAAAAAGTAAAACATTTGTTCGTTGAGCCTCAATGTTCAAACTCTAGTCGAAGCTGAAAAGTGGATTTTTGTTCTTTTTACGTCCTGTCTGTAATGACTTTGTCCAGCGGCTCTTGTGAGTGTGTTCGCTCCTTCTCTTTGGAGGTTTCCAGGCTGAAAAGATGTCACGAAAACACCCCAAACACCAGCTTACTCCATAAAGTGAGCAGATAAAAATTTCATGTCTTAACCTGCAACTCATGCAGAAGATGTTGGCAGCTCCTGTCCCGTGGTAAAACCGGTACTTCTGTGTGTGTTTTCTAAAGCAGCATTTAGCAATCAGGGACCTCAGGCTCACATGCAATCTGTCAGTCAGTGTCTCATCTTAAAAGCCATGCTCTCCCCCTCTGTGTCGTTTGTTTTTTTTTTATATATCTGTGCTGTTTTTTTAACTGTAATCCCCACAATGACTCCTCTATTTTTTATTATTCCCCTTGAAGGATCTCCTCTGATTTTGAGTACTGTAGTGTACACACATAAATTCTTTCAGGTAACATTCATCCATCCCTCCCTGAATAATTTCAAGGTGCTTTTTAGCAAAGCTTTCCATCCTTAAGCTTAGGATACCTGAACATGTGTGTCGTCAAAATTATTCGTGGTATCCAGTTATTTCTGGAAATCACAACGAGTCAGCTCCTTTGAAGAATAAGGCTCAGAAAAACAAAAACACTAACGCAGGTGCTCGGGGGCATGTGAGCTCTCACGCACAGACATAAAAACACAGACGTGCAAGGGGGAACGTGGAATCTAAGAGTGACTTGTCAATATTTACATCCCTGGGGGGGGAGGTGTAGGGGGGCGTGCTTCTCTTTCTCTTCTGAAGTTCTTCTAAAGAAACAGGAACACAGCGCCGTGTCTGTACAGTAGCTTCAAGTCAGCAGTTCACCTCAGATGCAGGAATATACCCTCAAAACAACCTCTACATCTGATCGAGCACAGGTGGCTCATGGAAACTTTGCATCGTCATCATATATTCTGATCAGCCGGTTCTCAAATCTAGATCACAGAGAAAAGGGGTCACCATCCAGTCACCCAGACTGACGTCTCTGAGCTCCTGCTGGATGCTATCCACTGTGGCAAAAAGCCTCTTCAACTTTGAGGCTAAACGAAGCAATGAGTGTGTGTGTGAGCAACATTTGCTGTTTCAAGTCTAATGGGGCGATTCACGCAAATCTAGACGCGTGAATGAGTCGTATTTACTCGCTTCATTTGCGCGTCAACAATAACTGGAGCAGTAATCCCTGCCAATTCAACCAGCGGTGGTGGCGCCATTCTTTATTTTACCTGTGTGGCGCTGTGGAGCCCACCAAATCACATTTAAGGTGCCCACTAATTACTTCAGGTGTTGGGCACAAGAAGCCTTTTGCTTTTCGACCGCAGGCTGGCGGCTGGAATTTGTGTTGGATTTATTGGTTTGTGGTGCTTGAGTTTGTCGAGGATAAAAAGGATTGTTATTTCCAAATGAAGCTTTTGCCTACAGAACTTTGTTTTAAACTTGATCGAGCAAGTGACAAATGGACACCTAGTGGAGGCCGCAAGTGCATAACACGAGCGTCACCAAGCGGGATCAAGTGATAGACCAAGTTTTTTACAGTTTACCAGGTAATCTGACCTCCTCATTCACTTGCCTCCAGGCGAGCTCCTTATTATTCCTGTTTCAGTATCTGAAAGAAAAGGTATCATAGAATTCGGGGCACCCACAGTGCCGACATGATCAGTTTGTCCTCCATTTTAGATACAAGTGAACAACCGTCCATTTTTATACATCATCTGGTAACCTTCATGCTGATTGGTTATCGTGACGTAAGTATCCGCTTAAGTTGAGACATTTTCAGCTCCGCTCCGGTGTGTGGAGACAGTTAGGCAAACTTGGACTTGATCAAAGATGTGAGTAGATGTGAGTAGATGTGGTGATTTGAAGTATTTTTAACAAAAATATATAATTTCTTCTGTGAGTGGACATATGTGACCTGCTTTCGGGACTCATAGTTGCTGCATGGGCTTCGTTTTAACGCAGCAACCATGGTGTGTGGGAGGTCAGTAGGATATAAAGTCAAGACTTCAGATGGTAGCCTCTGTGTAGGTTAGGCCTCCACATAAAACACTTGGACTGATGTCAGGAAAACAGACAAATACAAATCAATGGGCAGAGATCAGAACTGATCACCCCAGGGATCATTTAGCAAAGGAGAAAAGTCAGACTCTGATGACAGATTCCATCTGCATGGACTTATTGAAAATTAATTATTTTTGTACAAAAATCAAGATTTTTGGAATCTGCTTGATAGATTTAAGCTTTGTAAGGATGAGAGCGCAGCAGAGACTGGAGATGCCGACAGCTCATCTCCACCATCAGATTTAAAACGAGAGCAAACTGCACAGAGCTACGAAACTCTCAGGACGTGTTAATGCTTTAGTAATCTAGACTTTAAATGGGGCAAATGATGTGGTTCAATTCTCTCTAAGCTAGTTCACTCCTTTCAACTGTGTCTGAAGTTTCAAAATTCACTGTCATTGACTAACTCAGTTAAAGTATTTTTAGGTTGAAGGAGCTCTTTTGGATTTTTTCTTTTTTTTTTCATTTTCGTCTCCAAAAGAGGAAAAGACACTTCTGAGCTCTTCACAGCACACGTCGACCCAGAACACAAAGAAAGTTTAGTGATTAGCATTTTCTTTCAGCGGGATAAACAACTCCTCTTTAATGTGACAGGACAGAAAGTCTCAGAGGGAAACAACAACAAAGTGCTCCTTAAAATAAGAAAATCTGAAAATACTACAGCTGTGTTACAAACCATATAAATGTGCTTTCGCCTTCAAGCAAGACGCACAGTCTTACATTATTGGCAAAGTCACCATCTGACTCATAAAGCAGCGACTCCTGGGATCTTTATTGGCCTCTCTGTTGCCATAGAGGAAATGAGATCACAAAAAGACTCCCCGGTCCGTGCTGAGTCTTCTCTGGATGGAAACTAATCCTCAGATGAACTTAGGCTCGTCTGACCCCAATCTGACCCCTGTCTTTGTCAACAGGCTAAAAATAATCCAACAGCTCCCCGCAGCCTCAGGCCTTCGGGCAGAAACGAAGATAAGCAACCACAAAAAGCTGCAGCACAGCAGCTCCCAGCAGAACCATTGTCTTCTTGTTAAAGTCACCTTTTTATTTTACAGTTCGTTGGCAGCAAAGTAAGCCGGACATGTTCCACAAGTCCAGTTTCACCACAGCGTCTCCTATTGTTCCCACACAGCCTCCCTCTTTCTCTCGGCGTGCACCGGTTTGATTTTATAAAGCCGTTCTCTGCTTCCTTGTCGGAGGAAACACCTGTGAAATCAGTGTAAACGCTCTGGCAACATGACAATACGAGCCCAAATACAGCTGAGTGCTCTGTGCCTTTGTTTTTACTCGCACCAGTAAAACAAAGCCAATCGAAAGAGGCAAGCGGCTCCCATCGTTCCCCTGAACAGATGCTGTGTAGACCAGAGCTCAGGAGAGGCACCTGTGCTTTTCTGCTCTGTTTCACTTCAGTTAAAACTCTGCAGAACCAGTAAAAGGAGGAGGACAATTACCTCAAATGGGACCGTTCCTCATTACATTTACTAAAGTACTGCACTCTTGTCCAGTTTTTATGCATTTTGGGTATCTTTAGTTTATGGAACAGTAAAATTTAAGCTCCCGCGGACCAGCCTGCTGAGTGCTCTCTAAATCTGCATATTCAGAAGATTCTTTGGATGTAGAAAGCCAGAGAGGATGAGAAGAAAAGGTAGGGGACCCAGCAGCACTGAAGCACATTGTATAAAATAAGGACATGCTTCTCTAAGCAGAATGAGTACTCAAACTTGTTTTTGTTTGTTTTCCTGCAAATGAAAAACTCCAAACTTCTCTTACAGTTCCTCACAACTGCTTAAACACCCAAACCCATCCTCCAAATTTAATGGTCAGTGACCTAAAACCCATTTACTGGATTAATCACTGTTGGCAAAAAACTTTTAAGCACTTTCACCAAGAAGAACAGAGTTTGCAGATTTACCCAGATTAACTCCGAGACATGTCTGGGCAAAACTGTGATGAGATAAGGAGGAAGAGTGACCCCCAATATCCACCACATCCGAAACGGATCCACCACGGATGCGTTTGTGAGACGGCGGGAATTGCGAGAACTAACAAGAACCGGCGGATTCACATGCAATCGCACAATAACAATAACAATGTCTCTATAAAGACAGCCACATAACCATAAAAGCAGTAGATTTTGTCCTTCCAGAGGAGGAAATCCACTCAGCATCTCCTCATCCATGGTGTCATCAGGGTGAAATGATGTCTAAAAACCTTTCACTCGTTTGTCCCCGCCTGTTTGTACGGTGTGAAATAAAGAGTGTTTTATTTTGAAAAGAAGTCAGATGTTTTATTTTGTGTCTGTGCCTGACTTCCTTTCTAGCATGGACTAATCTGTGCTGACTTTATGCGGCACGCTGCGGCATCCAGAAAAAAAGAACTCTGGCGATCGGCTGCTGAACCGCAGCAGAACGGAGAGAAGCCACATTGACTTGAATGGAAACAATCAGCTGCGATCGGCACATACAGCCTTTTCGCAGCAGTTCTGGATGTGGTGGAAACTGGGGTTGAGACTTTGTCCCTGCGTTTACTCTCTTTGCTGTGCACCAGGTGTAAAATGACACAAGAGAATCAGGAAAAAAGAGCCGCCAGGGGTCTTCACCAACAGGGGGCCACCCATGTTAAAAATACGGAGTCTCATCATGGCATTATGGTCAAAAACATAAACACGGTTGCTCAGGATATGACAGTTCAACAGTTCAATCATTTAACTTCAATGTGCTCCTAAACTTTGTTGCACAAAAAAAAGTGAAAGTGAAAGATATTTGAGAAGAGGGGCGATACATGCTCTGCTGTGCAGGCAGAGAGAGAGGGAGAGGGAGGGAGAGCGCTTCATTCACCTTACAGGACAGAATCGGTGCAACACTGCAGGCGGCACAGTGATTGTTAAGTCTCAATTATCATCTCTAATATGGTGGGGAGCCATAATCATAATCAAAATTGAAACTCCATTAATTGCCCAGCCCTAAGTTGCAGGTTGCAGTACCTGGCTTGTTGCTTTTTTAGTTAAGCTTATTATGTGTAACAGTGTGTTTGGACATTTTTTATATTTAGCTGAAGCTTAAGTCCAGTCAGGAAGAGTGAATCAAATGCATTCTTGAACTCTCCACTTCCTTCCCTTGCAGACTGACTCACTTTTCTAGCAGTCATAATGTAGGGCTCCTCTGTCTCTATATCTAGTAGCATGGAGGTATAGCACCATATTCTCTCTTTGATTCTACCTGGTCTCAGTCTTCATTTATCTTCACCTGGTCCTTTCTGCTTTCACTGTCATTGTCTAGACTCCATTGGAGATTTCCTACTGCTGTACAGATCAGAGACCCTACTATCAAATAAAGACCTTCACCAAAGTCCTCCTCCATCTGTGTATCTGGGAAGATGACTTGGAGATGTTTTAACTTCTGACAAAGGGCTCTGCAGAAAATATTTGGGAACCACTGGGTTCGAATATTTCTTCACCCTTGTAAACACAAAGAACACGACCATTTAAAGCAAACGTTTCCCTTGAGATGCTCTCAGGCTTTCACTGATACAACATCCTGCTTCTCTAAAAACTCACCAGGAGAATAAATGTGGGAAAAAAAAAAGAACCTCCAAGAAATGTTTTTTTTTTTTCCCTCTACTTGAAGCATCAAAGTGAAGAGACCAACTAAGATCTCCAAAGGAAAGTGACTGTTACTTTGTTCATGTTAATGTTAAAAAGGGACATTTAAGTTTAAGTTTTTCTTGAATTAAAGCTCTTAAAACTACGGAAACGATGTACCGAAGCAGACATGCAGCAAAAGACCGAAAACACACATGAAATAATGTACAAATGCAGAAAGAGGAGCTGGAACACACACAGAGAGACGCTTTCTTACCTCAGTGTATGAGTGTGCTGATTCAGGGTTTCTGACTGGGTCCGGGGGATTTCTCTAATCACCTGAGGGGAGAAGGAGAAAGATACGGTCAGCATGTGAAGGATGGGCCGCCTATAAGCTGATCACCTCCTCCCAGGCCTCTATTATTATTATTTCCCAGGTTTCTCCAATTAGGAAGTGCTGATGTGGGATCAGCGCACAAACTCTATCTCCCAGCAGTCATCACTTTCATTACAGAGAGGAAAACCGCAGAACCAGGAAGAACAGAGCGAGCGGATCAGCAGAATTCCTCAAAAATCCTTCACAGAGGAAACTTTATAGCTCTGGAGGACATTTTAATTCTCCGATGTGCTGTGTGGACCTGTGGCTGTTTTTACGTTAAATCACAGCTGTTTATTCTTTTAGCAACTTTGCAGCCGGCGCACATATTAAAAAAGTTGGAAACCAATCCGTCACCTGTGGTGGCTTCACTTTAGTGCTTGTGCTGCTGTACAGTGTTTTATTAGAGTTTATTGGACTCATTACCGTGGAGGCTTTTGCAATTGGTTGTTTCAGAAGTTGTAAAGGTCAGGATGTTTTGCCAAAGCTCAAAGTTCTGCCAGTAACAGAAACCGTGACGAGCTAGACAAACCAATAAACTTTGGATCGCGTAAAACTCTCCAGGAGTTCGTCCCGATCCTACAGCTGTGACAAAGAGCAGCACAAAATTCAAATTCAAGAGTTTTTTCAGAAGACAGGTCAGAAAAAAGGAGCTTGCATGGTTTATAAATTCTAGTTTCAGTTTGGTTCAGTTCGGTTTCATTCCGTTTTGTTTCATTTCATTTCGTTCAGTTCAGTTTAGCTCAGTTTAGTTTGGGGTTAGGATTAGAGGAGATGGGGCTCAATAAAATTCTCTTTTTTTGTGTCAGTCTGCAGAAATTTCAACCCAATAAAGATTATTTGGCACCAGCAAAATAAAAGACTGTACAAATACTGATAACACAGTTCAAAGAGCCAAGAAGTCCAGTTTGGGTCTGTGGTCAAGGTCTGGGTCTGTGCAAGACCAAAAGTCAGAGTAAAGTTATGATTTTATCGACTGTACTTACTTTGCACTTTTGCAGTCTTTTGACCATGCAAAACACTTTGACTGCAGATGATGTCGTACAGAGTGCCCATCAGCACATACATGATAAATCCATTCACATGTCTGTACACAACACTGACTCTGCTACTGAGATCAATTCAAGGTTTCTTGGACTCTCCACACCAAAACCAAAATCATTTTTCTAGACATAATCAAGTTAATTTGATTTATTCTTTCTTTTCAATGATTCTTCTTCAGCCGTTTGAGGTACTGAAACTTGGTTCAGTTTGGTCTGTGATCTATAATCTGTCATCATTATCTTTCGGTTTCGCTCCGGAAAGGAACAGCAGCCCCCCCTGAGAAACAGAAGAGCCTCTTTTGCAGAAAACCCTCCAAGCTGCAGGGGGAACATTATTCTTGCTGGCTACCACAACAAAATGCATTTTTGCTGACCACCATGAAAATCATTTCATGTTTCTGACATGTGATGTACTTTATGTGGAATAAATAACAGTGTTTTCAACACGTGGAGAGGCCACTTGGTTATATTTCAGCTGCCCCAGAATTACTACAATGCAACACCAAGAAATACGATACAGACACGATCAAGGGAAAGACAGACTGAATGGATATTTAACAGAAAACCAACATCGAATAAACCTTAAGTAATGAATAAACCATCGATGGACAACAAGGACTGTTCACAAATGAGAGTTACGGATAAGTAGATGATACATTGAAAAGTGATTATTTTCTGCAACTATAGGCTCAAAACTCTTAAAAACTTTCGCGCACACACTTTTTTTAGTATGAAAATAATTGTGTGTTATGAAAAAATTCAAAAGAATACATGAACTCTTGAGACTGACAGCAGTATCATTCATCAAAAATGTCCGACTGAGTTGGAAACTAAAGTGAAGAAGACTGAAGTCTGCAGAGAAACTCGGAAAACTACAAACTTGAAGAATTTTCTTGGAAATTATGTACACGATTTTTCATTACTTCAAAGTTCAGACATACTTTCAATGTCCGTTCAATAATATATATTAATTCTGTCCAATAGTCACCTATCAGCCATCCAGCAGACAGGGGCTCAGTGTCTTTTTTGGGCGATTCTGGGGACAAACTGACTTTATCTGTTCCAAAAAAGTTTCAGGACACAGCATGGCTTCAGTAACGCCACATTATATTTCGACTGTTACTGTGTAAATCAGATTCCCAAACAACTTTACTGGAGTGAACCAGGGAAGAAAAGAAACAGCTGATTAACTTGGAAGACTTTGTGATGTATATCTGTGCCGAGAGCCGTTTCAGCATTCAGTAATTTGGCATCAACCAAAAATCTGAAAACCAGAGCAGTGATACCCAGAGCCAACATCGTTAGAGAATAAATCTGCCAGAATGATCAGGAATCACTGACTGCTTACTCAGACACTCTTGAATCCACACAGAACTCACCCATCCTGAGAAAAATACTATTTCATCAAAATAAATGTAAATATAAGAGTGGACCTTCAGATAGAGCTCACAGAGGATCCACTGCACTCCAAGAACAACAACATTGATCCCTGAGTCAAAACCAGTTTTCTGCAGCAGATCCAGTTTGAAACACAGACCTGTTATCTATACCTGAACCGGGCCTTTAATGAGTCCTGTTGGATCAGGGGAATAAAACTGGCTCGCTGCTGCTGCAGGAATTAGCAGCTCACTGGATCGAAGCCACGCAGCATATGGAGGTTTGAAAATGTGGACGAATCAGCAGCTTTTACTTAACGGCAACCCACGACAAGCCCCTGAACGCAGGACTTCCTGAGTACGGAGACTTTCACACAGTCTGAATGAGTCTGAATCTGCATATGTGACCGTGTGTACTCCACAGCAGTGGGCGTCACAAAGCGTGTAAACCCAAGTGGCTCCATTTATATTCCACGCCACCACGCTTGATACTGCCGCATAGATACCAGATGGTATATTATCCGACGTGTTCCATTGATATGATCTAAATTTCTAGCACAGAGTTTATGAAAGCACAAATGTTGGCTTCAGTCGTGTTTATTGGCTGAAATGAATGTGATAAAACTTTGCAAAGACTCTGCATCTGCTATTATGGATTAATTCTTCAACTTGGTTTCATTATCAGCAGCAAAATTCATCTGTGGAAACATATGTCGAAGGACGAGTCTGGCACTTTTCTGCTCCATGCATTTCCCGTCATTGTGGCCTGACCAACTTGTCTCAGCAGAATTTAGATGTGCAAAAACCAAGAACATTGGTGCATTAGACTCATGCAGCACTACATACAACATGCATGCTGTCATGTGGAAGTCCAGAGGATTTATCTACTGCATGTGAAGATCAACTTTTAGAGCTCCCCCTGGTGACCGGCTGCTGTACAACTCACAAAGTACAAACTTAGCATGGGTCAATCTACAGACTACCCCTAAAATCATTTCATTGCAGACATACTGTTTACTGTTTTTAGGATAGTCAACTAAATCAACTAAAAATCCACAGCAGTACCCTCCACAATAACAGAACTTTCATAATGGTAGTAGAGCTGGGTGATAAAACAAGAACAACATCAATATCGATATAAATCATGGTCAATATGCTTTTCAATAGTCGGTATTCTGCCATGTTTTGGTAGACGATGAAATAGACAATGAAAAGGGAAATTGCTCTGGGTCCGCTTCCCACTGAACTAATCATGTGCTGATTTAGAACCAAGTAGAAAACAACTGGGTAGTAGAGGGCTTCAGCTTCACGCAACCATAGGACTATAACACGTGAAGCCGAGAGCACTGTTGGTGAGAAACAAAAGAAAATGAGTGTTACTCCGGCAGAAATGCAGGTGAAGGCTCAACAGATGAACTGGCACAAAAACTTTGGTGGTGTGGAGGTATTTTGGTTTTTTGAGGGTGTTCTTGCAAAGTCGGGGAAAACCTCAAATCTTTTTCACAACCTGAAGCAGTGCCACGCGGCAAATTTCCACTTGTGGACAATAAACAAACAAACAAACAAACAAACAAACAAACAAAAGGTTACAAACCCCGGCGGAGCAAGGAGCACACGGCACCTATGCGGTCAAAACAGCCAATCATTCAGTCCGCTTTCTCTAATGCAATGCCTTACTACAAAACGTTGAAGAGACACAAAGACCTCACAGATGCAGTAGCTGATTGATATGCTACCAATAAGCACTGTTAAATTTCTTTGAAGAGAAACAGGGAACATTTTAAGATTGACAAGTAATTTTTTTATATCGTGATAAATATTGATATCGACTGAGTCCTAATTGGTAGGAACTCATAAACTGGATTATGAGAATATGTCATCTGTGGAGGTTTTCATTCATTCAGGTCATGGTTATCCAATTCCTGAGGGGAGGATCTTTCAGAAACATAACATACCTGTACACTTCAAACCCGCCAACACACTGTGACAGAGGCTGGTTCACCTAAAAACCACATGACCGTCTGTCATTGATCATCACGATCAAGAAGAGCTCCAGCTCTCTCTGCGAACATCTTCAACATCTTCTAAACCCTCAGATTCACTCTCTGTTTGGTTTGTTTGTTGTGTTTGTCCAAAGGATGTGTACAGCATTAAATTCTGCTTGCTATATAATTTATCATTTACATTTTAATTAAACATGCAGTGTAATTGATCACCCTCTGTGCTGGTGTTATTTGTTGTTTTAGAGCTACATTTGCAGCTGTTATCAACAATCCCAGCAGCCCCTATAGCTCCCCTGATCAAAACCCGCGGCTGGTGAAGCGGCTATATGAACACAGCCTTCCCTTCATCCACATCCCCTCTCCTCCTTAATTTAATTACACTTTCATCTTCTCTGAAGACGTTCTTCATTCCCCACTAGTGGCTGGCAGACTGAGCAGTGAATGCGCCGCACTCTCAGCGATGTCACTTTTGTTAATCATTTCTTTTCTATTCTACACAGAGAGCGCCAGAGTACAGCAGCCATTACACACACCGCTGCCCAATTAGAGCAGGAATGTGAATTAATGAGCAGGTCAGGGCGGGTTAATGAAGGGTGGCGCTGATCTGCTGAGGGCTGAAATTAAAAACTGTATCCTCTGTCCAAGGGAAGCTCCATCCATGCAGCTGCTCGCTCCGACTCGCTCTCACTGGGCTGCTTTGTGTTTGCGCTATCACTTTTTAAACAGTGGGGCATGTCCGTGCAGCTGCTGCAAGGGCCAGCTGTGACCAGTCATATTTTACAGGTTCCTGTCCACCTGCGGAGCCTGTAAAATATCAAGAGTCTCTGTTCTCATGAGCGGAGGCCCTCCATGCACCAGCTTGCTTGATCTTAAAGTCAGAGGCCCGTGGACTCATGTGGCCTCATGGCTCCACGAGAGACTCTTGACTGTAACAAAAATCCGTACCAGCCGACTCGCGGATGGTCCACACCACAAACACTAGCAACACAATACCTGCTATGAGAAACACAAAACACGAAATTTGACACTCTCAAGTCGCATACAGATGAGGACGGGGGAAAATGAGGGCAAGACCCCACAATCCAATTAGTCTGGAGAGTCACTGAGGTCCCGTGGATCACTTTGATCAGCGGGGTACATAAGAATCAATGTGTAATTTGAACAGAATTGAGCTGTTTTCTGTCCCTTTAGGATTCATCACAGACTGACAAATAACTCATGGATCTGGTGTCTTTTAAATTCGTGTTTTTAAACAAAAAATGAAAAAGTTGAAGCAGATCCTGCAGAATCTCTTGGATTTTAGTCTGCCCGTTTGCACAAATGACCCCTTGGTAGTTTTTCAACTGGTGCAGATTTCAGTGCTTGTGAATCCTAGTCTGATTCCTTGTGTGTCTGTATAACTCTTGAAAGCTTTCTTGGTCAGATCTCCCTCTAACTTTTTTTTTTGAGATAAAAATGAAAATTCTGAGTTTAAGATCTGAATTCTGACTATTTCCCAGATTTCTGAATTTAAAATCCAAAATTAATCACAGATTTGCAAGAAAAGTCAAAATTCTTACTAACTACTAAATCTTTGGAATTTGGGCTAAATGCTGCATTCCTGAAGTTGGATATCGGAGCTGGGAATGACGTTACACCTGAGATGACGGCGTTCTAGTTAACAAGTTGGAAAACCAAGATGGACGCCTACAGTTACAAATGTCAGCTGCTGTTAGTTGTTGTCAGCTATACCAGTTGTAAACAACGTATAACACAGTATTTTACTCTTACAAACACCATCGCACCGCGTTCACAGTCAGACATCGGGCAGAACAACATGTACCACTTTTTCAATTTCACAAAAACAAACCAGAAGTGCTAATAAATAAAACATTACAAGAGCTTTCACTGTTACTCTTTACTACTCTTTCCAACTCGGACTTCTGAGTACGACTGGAATGCAACATTTCTCATATTATTCAAAAAGTTCATACTTCAAAATCTTCATTAAAGGTCAGAACTCTGAGAAAAACAATTCCAAATTTCTGACTTTAAAATAAAAAATTCAGATGAAAAAAGTCACAGTTTTGATTTTAAAATCAGAATTCTTAGAAAAAAAGTGGAATTCTGAAAAAATGTCTGAATTTTGAACTTAACCCAATATTCTAACCATAATCCCAGAATCCTATGAAGAAAGTCCCTATTCTGATTTAAATTTCTGAATTTCATCTCATATTGAGTTTAAAGTCAAAATCTTAAGCTGAAAAACACACCATTCTGACTTTAAACTGAGAAAACTTACATTTATTTCAGGATTCTTAAAAAAGTCAGTATTTGGACGTCAGATTCTGGCTCAAACTTAGACTTTGAAAACAAATCAGATTTTTTTAGTGGTCCTTTTGGTTAAATTAAGGTTAAATAAAACCAAATAACCGTCTCTGCAGCTCAGAGCACAAGGGCAGGTTTATGTCCCTGCAGGGGAGATTAGAAAACTTCCAACCTTCCATGACATGCTCCTGGTGTCAAAGAATCCTGATGTTTTCTAAGAATTTTACCTTAAAGTTCAAACCAAGTCTTTCTAAAAAAGATAATCTAGCTGCTGAAGGAGAATATATTGTGGAGTATTTAATAACAACATGATCAGCTCAAGACATTTCCAATAATTTCACAGATGCAAATAAGTTATAAACCTAAAGGCAAGTTTAGAAACATTTGTTTATCCTGTTATTCTGTTTGACCACAACTCCGCTCTAAATTTATGCAGATATTAGCAAGAAGAGACGCCTCCAGCCTAACCTCAGTGACACTTTGTACCTTTTCTTTCAAAACACCCACTCTTCCACTTGGATCAACAGCCAGATTTAATGTATTTGTACATTAAAAAAGCAGGTCACATCTCATCTGATCCTGTGTGCTGCCAAAATCTGGCTGAAGAGTTTGGCAAGCATTGGACACACCGAATGAGTCGGCAAAAGGTGTTTGTTTGCTTTTTTTTTCAGTTTGAGTTATTTTCATCAAGAAGACGCGTCACTGCAAGTTCTCTTGATCATGTGGGGGAAGGGGAGGGAGCCTGCTGTTAGCTGTGCAAACACCTGCAATCAGGAACACACCTGCAAACCTAACAAGGTAAAGGAGGAAATGTCTCCAGCGGGAGGCTCTCCATCCGCAGGGGAGGATGTTATTGTAACAGACAGAAGATTGTTTAGCAGAAAATAGATCAAAAACTCCACTCTTCAGGGAGGAAAGAAGGCTTCAATTTCTGCAGGCAGTCGGCCCGAGGTGCACTGCGTTCAAACAGACTCAGATGCCCCCGGACAACTGCAAACATCCTGCAAGAGCCGCGCTGAGAAACGAGCTGCTGCAAACCAATCAGGCTGCACCAAAGGGACCTGCTGAGAGGGTTTGAGGAGGGGAGCAGAGGCGGACATGTCTGTCTGCAGCACACACAAGAGGACACATGAAATGAGAAGGGCAATGAGAAGACACCCGGCTCTATAACGTGGTTTATTTTCAGAGACAAATCCCAACACTGACGGTGACCGACACAGTCAGGCGGCTCACGAATCTCTGCCTCAAACACACAAAAGAAGAGTTTTATTTAGTCATTTTCATGTTGACTGACTCTGTTAATCACTAAAAGGCATAAAGGGCGCATTAAACTAATGAATACTTGAGCGAAAGAACATGAGCCTGATGTTGGCGGCAGATTAGAGTTACACGAGACAGAGAGACTATCTGAAAAAGGAGGAACATAAAGGGATTGATTCGAAACCTGGATCTGAGATACTTTTTATTCCTCTTTCTCAAGATACGAATCCTGTTATTCCACTTCACAGTTCCCCTGTTCTCTCCATCTGAACCTTCAGTCCTTTCTCTACTGTCTCTGCGTTTCTAGGTCACCGTCTGTCCATCCCTCTGCGTCTCACTGTACAGACACACTCTCTCTCAGCTGCACTCACTGTACACACACTCAGCTCATCCGTCTCTCTGCTGCTCTGAGGGATTAAAGTGGAGTTAGAGGTTGCATTAATGGCCATCAGCTCATTGTGAACAGACCGCTCCTTGTCTGCACCGCCTACCTGCTTAATTAGTCCAGAGACGCAGCACTGGCAATGAAACTGACACACACACACACACACTCACACTGGGCTTGTGCTCACTATAGTTGGTCGATAAGCATTTCATACTTTGAACTAGTGCTGGACGATAATTCGATAACAATATATATCGATCGATAGACGTGTGGTGCGATAGAAAAAAAACGGGTCGATAAAAAGTTCGATAGAAAAACACAGTTTCCCTTTCTTTTTCATCATAGCCTATCATGTAGCTTTTACTACAGTCATTACTTCCTCCCAACCAATCACAAACGCAGACCCAGGTACGCTAAGGCACCAAGCCCAGCCCCTCTCAAACCACAACAGACAGCACGTGTATTAGAAAAAATGATACAGCAACGAGAAGCGGAGGACATTGTCCCGAAAAAAGGTTTCAGTAGTTCACCAGCATGGCAATGTTTTGGTTTTTACAAGTCTGACAAAAAGCGAACAGCGGTCGTTTGCAAAATTTGCAGAGAATTAGTAAAAACCAAGTCTGGTAACACAACCAACTTGTTTTACCATCTAAACCGATCGCACCCGCAGGAGTACGAGCTGTGTCGGCCGCGCCGCGGCTCCACGTCGTCGGAGGAATCCTCTGGAACCGCTGCCAGCACCAGCACAAAGCAAGTGAAGCAGACCAAACTGGACTTCGTTTCTTGCCAAAATACGACAAAGCGTCCGAGCGACATAAGGACATCACCCATGCAGTAACATGCTTCATAGCGAGGGACATACTGCCAATAACTACCGTTGAAAAGCCTGGCTTCAAACAGCTTCTAGCCACTCTCGACCCGCGATATGAAGTGCCCGGCCGCAAGTATTTCTCAAACACAGCGCTTCAGGCATGAAAATGGGTCAGGGGTTGAAAAGGTGAGAAGGGTGCGGAGGACATACGTTCCGGTGTTGTTCCGTAGAATGCACCCCTGCATCCCGTCCACTCATTAGCTTCTTAAAGTGGAAGAAAATGAGCTCATATTTTACAAAGACGCGAGTATGTGGATCATGGCTACTAGCAGGGGGTGCATTCGGCAGGGGTGCATTCTACGACACAACACCGGCGTGGCTAAGTCCTGCGTATTAAGTCAATCACATGATAATTAAAAAAAATAAATCTCCCGACCCCGGGAGAAATATTTCAGTGTTCAGACACCAGGCTGTGGGCAGTTTCCCACACAGTTAAAACTGGTAGTATGCTATTCCCACCTAAAGCTATTCTGTTTATATAATTGTTTGTTTTGTTTATTTTCATCAAAAGACTATTTAAATATTTATTTATCAGATTTTCTGGTCACTTTAGTCTTTATGTTTGTCAGTATTTACTGACGTCACTCAGGCCACTTCAGTTGATTTCTTTTTTTTTTAGTTCTTTTTTAAAAAACTTTCAGTTGTGGTAAAATAAAAAAGGTGGTTGAATAAAGGTTTGAATTTGAATTCAGTGCTTGTGTGTTCTTTATTAAAAGTAGGTCATTAAGCAATAGCATAAAACATCCAGGGCTGCAATTAAAATATATGTTAAATAATTATAACAATTATATCGATAATTATCGATATCGATCAATATGATTTATTTTTTATCGATATGCTTTTTTTCTATATCGTCCAGGCCTACTTTGAACACATGTGGCAAGTTCATACATCGAAGTCTGTAGTTTCACTGAGCATTTGAATAATAACTAAGGAGTAGTTTTAGAGTCCGATAAACAGCTGAAAACGCTCTACAATCATGTAAAACTGGCTCCAGAAAACATTTCTTAAATTTGACTGAAACTCTGAGATAACCTTGTTGCCTTCAATTTTTATTCAAGTGAAGAGGTGGCAAATAAGAGCTTGAATGTTTTGTCAAAATAAAGAGAATCTGAGATCTTTTTGCTCGTATGAACAGCATCAGCCTTGAGAAGTTCTTGATAAGTTGCGGCTGATACTATTTTTTTTTTCTATCCGAGCTGAAAACATACAGACATTTTTTCTTTCTGCACGGTTCACGGTTACTCAGTTTTACCCGACTAAAAGAGGAATTTCACAAATTTGTTGCATTTGTGTTGTGAAAGGGATTGGCCATAATATTCTGAAGACTGTGAAAAGATTATTGAACCATGAGTGACTCAGTGAGAAGCTTTGAAAACCTTTTGAGTCTTCAGAGCTGATGTTGCGTGTTTTGTTGTTTTTTGACGACTGCTCTGCGTGTTTGTACATTGTTGGAGGATACAGTAACATACAGTGTGATGCTGTAAATCCTGATCTGTAAGCAGACCTTGGGTATTGTGAAGACTGGAATAATTAACCTCTCTGGTCCTTCAGCTTTCATGACTTATGAGCAGCTGAATAAAAGCTGAACGCTGTGCGGCAGCTCTGCAGAGAGGAGGCTCCAGTGGCTTTATGACCACCCTCGGTGTGCGTTTGAGTGTATTCGTGTTGTTTGAGAGGAATCTAAGAAGTGGGTGTGGAGTTTTTCTCTGGCTCTGGTACCCTTCTAGAGTCGCTTTGTCTTGTCTTGTTATATCAAGGTCATGGTGGTAGTTTTGGCACTGTGGGCAGGTTTGAGCCATCGCAGCGTCACATTACATGTCCACGTACAGAGCTGTAAAAACAGGCTCCATTCAGCTTTGTGCTGAACAGCCCCGTCTTAATTCAGACAAAGGTAGTCCTGTGTGTTGGACATACCGAAGACAAGTCATGAATTCAATTTCTCATGACCTTTAGCAGGAAACGAAAATACACGTTAGAAAGAGAATGTGCCAACATTTTCATGGATGGGTTTGGCTTTGAGCGTCCATTAGCTCTGCTTAGAGTCTCATGAAAAGTACCGTGTGTCGGCTGTCTTTATAAAACTATCTGGAATATGTAGAATCCCAACAAGCAGATTTTCCAGATACGAGTCTCTGTATTACACATAGATTTTTAAAGTTCGCAGCTTAGACTGAAATCAGGGGAAATGCACCAACATGAAAAGTTTGTCTCCATTTAGAGTTAGAGACTAAGACAATCAGAAAATCAAAGATTCAGATGAAGTGATGCCCTCTAATTTCATACGTCACGGCTGTCTCAGTTACAATACCGTCGCCTGTATTAAAGCGTAGGACAACAGGCACAGGCATCATTGCTCTCTCTCTCGACCACACTGTCCGTCAGAGATACACCTCATCACAAGCCCAAAGGTCAGGCTGCAACAGCGAAACATCCTCCGACTACTAATGGATGCACTGTTTGACTTCCGACGATGGAGTGTGGTCACCACAAGGAGAGATTGCAACAGATGCTTCAAACGTTGTTGGTGGTGATGGTTGACGAGCCATCAGCAGAGAAGTGAAACACAGGGTAGTGAAACACAACAAGGAGCAGAATGAAGACACATCCATCGAATTGAAGAAAACAGACATGGAGTATCTTCAGACCTCAACTAGTTGAGTGAATGCCGCAGAAATGCTAATTTTAGGATATAGATGTGAATGAACTTGTAGCCTAACAGAACACCATCAAACCATCAAATCAGAGAGACTTTCATTGAAATCATCTTCAAAGCAATGCTGTGTATCTGCTTGTTAGCATCCTATCATCGATAGCTAGGTAAGAGGCTGTGTTTGTGTGTTTTTGCACATGTAAGACCAAAACTGCAAATACAAAAGGACAAAAATTGTGATACCAACAAGACGCAGATTTGTCTAAAGATTAACCTTGATGCTCTTCCAGCGTCTCGAACACAAACGCAGACTCACAGTCTCATGAGTCAGCGTCGGCCGGCCTTTTGATTGCTTCTAATCTGCTCTGAATAGACAGTGACAGACAGAGATAGAGTGAACAGGAGCGGGGAGGGGATGTAAAAACTGAGATACCACAGAGGACATGACGAAACGGTGAGTCGAGGGCTTGAAAGATGATGAGGGGAGTCTGCAAAGTGAGACAGGATAGAAGGACAGCAGAGCACTCATCCGCTTTAGGTGACCTTTCAGGTGTTAAGTTGTTCTCTTATGAGCTGCTGTGACATTTCATGTCAGGAAGCAGCTGTTCGCCGCAGAACAGAGAAAGTGCTTCACAGGTTCGAGGGCGGTGAGAGACACGAGGGCGACATGTGCTTCTTATCTGCAGGTTTTCATCTGTGTGTGGTTTTCTACATGTAATGGTGCTATCTGTAGATCAGACATGTGCAACTCAGAGTTAAAAACCACAGACAGTGAGAGCATCATTCAGCCTCTCTGACTTTCTTTGTTTTATATCATACTTGATGTTGTTTGGTTTTTAGAGCTTCTCTCGCATGATTTCCTCAGAGTTTACCAGTTCAAATGTTTACTCTTCAAAAGCACAAACCTTCTGATCTGAGATCTGTGGGTTCATGCCCCATTTTCAGAGTTGTTGGACTGCTTTGAACGGGGCTATATTAGCTGTATTTGAATGAGGTTTCCCTGCTTGATTTATGACTAAACTCTGGGAATTCCTCAATATCTCAGAAACAATATGAAAGATACTGAGTGTTTAAATGTATGTTTTACTGAAAGACTCTAAATAACGAAGAGAAAGTCTGAGAAATTGGATTTCAGTCCTTCACAGATACTTATACTTAGATAACCGGTCATAGTTTTGCAAGGTGAACTTCTTTCTCTTTGTGATATGAAAACATTGTACCAAGAAGTAAAAGTCACTTAAGTGTTTGTTACAAGGTTAAAGAGAGAAGACTTGAAAAAGGACTAAAGATTGGCATCGTGTCTAACTAACTGGTGTGACATATGCTTTCAGCTCTACCTTCTATCGCTGAAGCCTAAACATCTCTTCGGGGTTTGCATTCCTTTGAAAGCAACTTATTACAGATTCAATGTTTATCTGCTGAAAAAGAGGCAAACATATTTGAAATGAATGCCTGCAGAAGTCTGGCTTCAGTGAGTGTTTGGGTATTAGGGTGTTATCTGGGTTTAAATACATCCAAGGGGACGGACCCGAGGCAGCTGCATCCAAGCAGGGAGGGGGAGGAGGCTGTGCTAAGAGAAACTGCGGGGCAGATAAATGTTTTAAACGCTGACTGAATGTTATTTGTTGACATTTACCCACAGAGGACCACAGATGTTTCAAGCATGACAGGGTAGCATTCACCACATTTCCGATTGGTGCCAAGGAGGGGGAGGGAAGGTGATTAAATACTGTCTTCAGCAAAGGGCACAAGCCGTTGTTCCAGGGACCTGCCGGCACCACACGGGGAACCAAACCAGCCAAGTCTTCCTGCCAACAATGAGCCTCCTATAAAGTACAGAATATACAGAACAAAAGAAGAATACACCTCTCCAGAAGTCCTGCAAGCAAGGGCGTAGCTGTGCCTCCAGAATGAAACCGAACAGACTAAAGGATCACTTTAGCTTCTGCTTTACCCCAGCTGTTAACCCTCATCCTCTATTATAAATAATATTGACCGTGCCTTTGGCTGTTTTCCTGATTTAAGTCGACAAGAACAACACCTGCACCAGGCTGCATCAGCTCTACCAACAAAACCAAGTTGAACTGTCATGTAAGCGAAGATTCTACAAGTCTAACATTTCAAAGGTGGCGTTATCTAAGAGATCTTCAACACGTCCAAAAGTTGTTTTTGCAGCAAGACTAAACCAAAACAGTATGGGTCTCTAAATGTACAATCATGTTTCTTTTGTCATTTCAGTCAGAGTTTACAAAGTAGTGACCATGATGCTTGAAAACTAAAAGGTAGTGTCACACAGGACATGCTGAAATAGTATAGAAGTCGTATGAGTGAAAGAAAACAGAAGATAGTATGTAGTGATCAATGGTTGGTGGTCATTTCCTCATGGAAATGTAATCAGACCGAGACGTTAAGGCAGAAGAACTACTGGGTCTGCAGCGCAAAATGATTAATATGGTGATTATTACTTAAAGGAAATGATAAAGTCATGATCATAAATGTTCTTCCTTGAGCTGCGTCACCCCGCTGCAGTTGATGGACTGGCCCGAGGTCCCGCTACAAACAAGCGGCTGCTGGAAGAGAGTAGGTGAGTTGTGTTTAGTCTCTTTGCTAAAGAAATTAGGCAAAGCACAAAAGATGTTTGATGGCTAGTTCTTTGGCTGTGACCCTATTTGTACTGTTGATGAAGTTAGGTGCTGTTCTGAGCATTATTTGTGGCTATAGAGTGGCTTTTTGGTTGAGCGTGTGTCTCTCTGTGTTGCTATCCTGCGGTCGTTACTAAAGCAGGTAAAACTAGAGAAGCAAGCGGTCGGCAACATTCATCTCTGGAGGGGGTGTCTAACTCTGTGTTACGGTGTGTTTGACCCTAAATTAATTTTACATCTAAATATCCCATTAAGCACTATTAAACTAAAATGTGGTGCACCACAAGGATCTGTAATAGGCCTACTATTGCTTCTCATTTATAGTCATGACTTATCAGCTCTCTTTTTTTCTTAAACATGGAAGTGTTGAGTGTTGTGACTGTTGGGATTAGAAGAGTAGGCAGAAAAGTGAGTGATGACCAAAAGAAGAATTAAAAAAAAAAAAAAGATCACAGGTGACAGAAAGAGAAAGCACAACAGAGATCCGTACCCTGCTGTAGGGCTGTCTGGGAGAAAGCATCAATAATCTCTTTCTTTTCTCCCCCTCACTCTCTTCTTCTTTCTCTTCACCATCCTTCATCCTCAGGATGTTTTTCAAACCCCAAGCTCAAAGGATTTTATCATTCTTCCCCCTGAGGGGCTTATTCCAGTTTAAAATCATTGATACTGATTACCCCGGGGTGCTGTCATATTGATTTTTCAGATTTATTGTTGGCCCACTCCCTGGCAGAGGTCCCTGGCCCCTGTGTCCCCGAGCTGGCAGTCATTTGTTAAACACTCTCCGCACCTGACAAGGGACAGGTCGAACAGTGTGCAAACACACACACACACACACACACTCACACGCACACACAAACTTGTACATAAAAAAACCTCAATATGTAGAGCGAAGCGAAAACAGCTGCCATTGCTGCATTCACACCCAAGCAGTTTCGCAGACAGGTCGACCTATTCCAGAGCTTATTTAGCAGCTCTGGGTCTGGGGAAATGATGTCCCCCTCCGTCTCTAAGTACATGCACTGTTTTCATGCAATGAAGAGAGGTTGGCGAGATATATTAAGCCTAGCTCTATACTCAAAGTTTCAGCTGCAGACAAACAAAAAGGCAGAAAAACCTAAACTTTCTTTGAACTGGTTTGTGTGATGGACAGTTTTCCCTGAAACCATCATATCTGTGATTGAAATCATATTTTACATTCGATCCACAGACTCACCAAAGCAGAGTGAAATTATAAACCTGTTGGCTGTTCCAACTCGGTCTTCCAGCAGTCCCAATAAAACATCCATTCAGACATTTATCCAACAGATTATCTTTTTATTTTCCTCCCTTTATTTCTTTCATCTTCCTCCCTAACTTCTTTTATTCTTTCATGCCTGTCCCTCCCTCCTTCAATCAATTCGTCCCAATATTCTCCCTTCTCTCCTTCACTTCATCCTCCCTCCCTCTTCATTCTCCCTTACCTCCTTTCTTCCTTTCCTTCACCCTCCCCTCCTTTCTCCCTTTCTTCCTTCATCCTCCTCTCCTTTCTGTCTTTCCCTCATCCTCCCTTTCTTCCTTTATCGTCTCCTCCTTTCTTTCTTTCTTTCCTTCATCCTCCCCTCCTTCCTCCCTTTCTTTCTTCATCCTCCCCCTCCTTCCTCCCTTTCTTTCTTCATCCTCCCCTCCTTTCTCCCTTTCCTTCATCATCCTCCCCTCCTTTCTCCCTTTCCTTCATCATCCTCCCCTCCTTTCTCCCTTTCCTTCATCCTCCCCCTCCTTTCTCCCTTTCCTTCATCATCCTCCCCTCCTTTCTCCCTTTCCTTCATCCTCCCCCTCCTTTTTCCCTTTCCTTCATCCTACACTCCTTCCTCCCTTCTTCCTTCATCCTCCCCTCCTTTCTCCCTTTCCTTCATCCTCCCCTCCTTTTTCCCTTTCTTTATCCTCCCTTCCTTTCCCCTCTTTCTTACTTTATTTCTTTCTTTCTTCCTTTCCATCCTCTTTCCCCTCTTCCGTCCTTCCTTCATTCCTTCCTTGTTTCCTTTCTTTGTCCCCCTTCTTCCCTGAGACTAAAACAGACTCTGTTAGAGAGCAAATATCTCCTCTGCCTAAGAAACACCAAATATCTTCATAATTGAACATTTTAGGGGAGTTTTCAGGCCCATATTATCCAGTTTAAGCAGATTTTTTGTCATATTTAGATTTTCCTAATGACTGTGCCCCCCTAGATCGCTGGAAATGATGGATCCTCTGCCATGTTTGCACCTGTGCTGACTAGTACTTTTTTTTTTTTACCTTGAGTCTGACTCAGCAGTTAAAGAGTTGCAGATTTGGGGAAGTTAACAGACTTTAGTTTGCAGCTGCACGCTTTTAGCGTAATGAATGCCCTTTCTACACTCGCCTAAATGCAACATCATCAAGAATTTTTCTGTTCCTGAACTTTACTAAACGGCAACAGAGCATCGACATGACTCGACAAAAACTGAGGCCTAATGTGAAGTCAAAAGTTTGGCACAAACTCCAATATCATGTCGCCATTTTGCATTGGATTTACAGAAAAAACTACTGGAATACCAAATCATTTGAGACATTTTGCCCATCAAAATGAAAGATCTGTTTAGCTGACTGTTCAATCACCGGTTCAGAGCCTAACATACAAACACCGGGGCATTAACAGAACGCTTAGGCCTGTTTGACTTCGACTGAACCGTAAACATGCAAGACAAAATCGATCTTCAATGGAATCATCCGAGCATCTACACATACTAACTGGCAGCGAAAACTTCGAGAAATTGACTTTTCTTGACAACTTTCAAGGCCGTGGTTGGTGTTTGTTCGTCCTTTCTCAGTGCTTTTTCCTTTTTTAACCAACTCTCCGTTAACACACTTTGAAACATCACTCAGTCGACTTTTTCAGCTGTGGCTTTCTGTGGAGGGTGTCAATGACCGTCTTCTGGACTAATGTCAAGCCAGCACTCTTTCACATGGATGTGGTTATGTTTAGCCGTCCAGTGACCAAAAGATACACAATATTTGTTGTTCTAAAGTGCTTCAGTACACAGACATCCATCTTTTAACTGAATACTATGTTTCTGTATGCAAAATACCCTGGCTCTCAGGAATAAGAAAAAGGTTAAAACTTTGTGAAAAGTTTGCGGGTCGTTTGCTTTAGCCATCAAATTGGGTGACTGTTCAGTCTTTCAGAAATTATTTTCAAGCATTTAAAATGTCAAAATAGAAGATTTCTCGGGATTAAAATGCCCTCAGTTTGAAGTTACATCACGAGTTTCTTTGTAACTCTCAGCTTATAGTAACCCTGAATCGATATAGATGATGAGTACACTTGCTTATTCATCCTCCTGCTTGGCAGAGCTGCTGCTCTTCCACTGAGTTTTTTCATAACTCTTACACCAATAAAATGGTGAGAAACAAGAGGAGTATATCGGAGTAAATAAAGGTTAAGTAGAGCGCAAACCTCTCCAACAAACAGCAGCTTGGATCTAACAGGATATTTGATTTGAAATGAAACACTCAAGAACATTGAGATCACTTCAAATAATGACTTTTGCTGTTACAAGACATCTGATCAAACACAAACAGAGATAAGAATAGCAAACCCTTCACTTTGAGTAATGAATTCAATCATTTCATGATATTCAAAAACAGAAAATCAAAGTGAGACCTGCAGAACAGATGTATACTTTACATCCTGCTACAATAATGAGTTTTCGGATCTGCTCTGCTGCTGGAATACAAAGTGTTTGTGGGTCAAATTTATGTGCACTCACTCTGAATTCAGACTCACTTCACACGTCTTTGGATTTCACGTTTTCTGAAGGTACAAACAGTTTTCTGCATGCAGTTATAATGAGGGATGTGTGCACAGGTCTGCAGGCTAGAGGAGGACAACAAATCCAATTACCAGCGTCACTCTCACAGGTAAGCATAAACTCAAAGTGATGATTTGTCTGTGTGAATATAAGTTTGATCAAGAGTCAAACAACACTTGTTTAAACAACTTTGAGCTTTTTTAGTCTAAACTAATTTGTTGGCATTATGACGATAACAATGACTTATTTTTGGTCGTTTCTTTTTCGCACATGACAGTAGACTGTAAATGCACCAGCTCAGTCTGCGGCTCTTCAAAAATGATGTTCTAGCTTTTACCTTTCATTGTTAAAGCTCCTACTGAAATTAATACTGCAGCCTCTTTATGGCCTACAAAAGCAAAAATGACCATCACCAACAAGACTTAGGATGTATGCCAAATCACTAAGAAGGGTTCGGTGTCAGACCAGAAGACTGGCAGCCTTTCTTTGCATTTTTAACAGCAAATTCACAATGACTGACATGCTTGACTGTTTGATAAAAGCAGGTGAGGTTATTTTGTTGGGAAATGTTATCTTATCATGCACAGGATTGGAAGCTATAAATCGGTGCCTACAGGGGGCGCCAAATCAGCATAGGCCAAAATATCCTTGCATGAACTTGAAGTATATCAAGTATGTGACAATAACAACATCCATCCATCTATCTTCTACTGCTCAGCTAGAGTCAGTTACCTGAGCAAAGAAGCCCAGATTTCCCTCTCCCCGACCACTCCATCAAGCTCTACCCTGGGGGACCCAGGACATATCCTCTCCAGTGTCCTGGTCTACCCTGGGGTCTCCTAATGGTGGGACGTGCCCAGTGAGGCGTCTTGGTTAGATGCCTAAGCCACCTCATCTAACTTCTCTGGAAAGGTCTATTCAGGGGTCCTGGAGAGGAGGGTCCATCTGATAGTCAAGCCTCAAATTCAGGAGGAGCAATGTGGTTTTTGTCCTGGTTGTGGAACTGTGGACCAGCTCTACACTCTTGGCAGGATCCTTGAGGGTGTATGGGACTTTTCCCAACCAGTCCACATTTGCTTTGTGTACTTTGAGAAGGCATTCGACCATGTCCTTCAGGGTATCCTGAGTATGGGGTACTGGACACCCTGATAAGGCTTGTTTATTCCCTGTACGACCAGAGCTTGGTCAGCATTGCTGGTAACAAGTGGGACAGTAACAACAGTTTCTATGAATTTCTCCCTCAGCCCGTGGTGTTGAAAATTGTTGCTTAATATAAAGCACACTCGTATAAAAAAGGGCCCAAAGAGGGACACTCAGAGATTACCTGTATACAAAAAGGGGAACAGGTATGAAACTGAGGCAAAGGTAGCAACTGGTGGGAGACAAAAACAGGAGCGCCGCAGAAAAACCAGAACAAAACACAAAGGGAGAAAATGAGACAAGAGCAGACAGAAGCCAAGAAGGATTTTCTTTCTGTTACCAGCCATCATTACACTGTGAGCTGAATTACAAAAGCAGATTGAGGTTCTTTTGAGTGCATCAGTTCCACAGAAACACTGCTGATTGGCTCTGTAAGTCCTGATGAAAAGAGCACCCCACCCCACACCCACCCCCATAGATTGTCTATTGATTCTCTTATTGTTGGCATTGAGATACAAACATTTTCAAGTAGTTGTATTTTTGGATCAGAATCACTCTTATCTCAGTAAACACATTTTAAAAAAGAAAAGAGCCCAACACAGGGCTAATTTGCTCAAACGTGGTCAAAGTAAGAGTCGCAAAATCTTAAACTGTTCAAAGTTTTTACAGATTTTATTTGTTGGCGAACCTAAAAAGACAAAAGTTACGATAACCCAGTCCACATCTTTGAACCTCATCATCCTTACAAGACAGAAATATTTTTAACTTGATGAGATGGAAAAAAAGCTATTTTTACCACCTCCTTTAGATGTAAATGAAACAACAGTGAAGGCAACAATCAAAAGCTGATCATTTCGAATCACAATTATAGCAAAATACTTTTTTTTTTACCCAGTGCTGCCAGGTACTGTGAAAACTAAAGTGGTCCTAGGAAAGATCCCTGTGGGATGCCATACCTAGCAGTTAATGACACAGGAAATTTTCACAGCAAAAACTGTAAACTAATTGGCTTTGGGAAAAAATATAATTAGACTAATTTAAAGCTACATATATCAGAAAAGTCCCACATTACAAGTATATATGTTGGCTTGTAAATCTTACAATGTTTTAATCTGGTTCCACACAAACGCCCCCTGTTGGTGATTACAAAGAAGCCAGTCAATGGCACTTAATCTGTTGATTTCTTGTTCTGCAAGCCTTATAAATATCTAAATACTTTTGATTTAATCATTTTGAATAAAAAGTTCCTTAGATCCACAGATAAAACCTCTAGCATCCAATGGAAGTGCATTTCTTCCCAAATAGAGACCTGATATAAACAACTTGAAGAGAGTCTAACTGATAAAACTGCAAAAGACAATCCAAAGGTATTTAACATGAAGTACCGTGACTTGGTAGAAAAGCATTAGATAAAATTATATTTTAAAGAAGTTATTTTTTTTTATAATACTAACTCACTTTAAAACCAGCATAAGGAGCTTCACAAGAAAGCTGAATACGTACGTATGTAAATAGAAATCACACAAAGATTAAAGCCTCATATTACTAAAACATCAGCCTCATTTCAACCTTGTTTTTGTTTTGAGCATGTATTATTCTGCAGATGTGCAAAAATTAAAATAAAAAAAGGAAAACAAACATTTAGAAAGATGCTTTAATCACCATCCTGTGTTTAAGATGGCAAACCTCACCAAAATTAGAATACATTACCGTCTATGATGCATTTTTTACTCAACAGGGAGAAACCAAATTTTGTCTTTATTACTATTTGCTTGAAATAACTTCCCCGTCAAAACACTCTCCTTTTTATTGCCTCTATGCATCATAATTACTGAAGCATTACTGAGAGTGTGGGTTGTCTTACATTAACACAATCTTCCTTTAACTACTCTCGACAATAATGGCAATGTGCAAGCACTGACGAAAGCAAGAACTATAAAGGCATTTTGACTGGCTGTTAAAAAGGTAAAAAAGATTAAAAATTAAAGCTAAGTAATGACATTTCTGCTCTTAAACAGATTAGCCCAGGGTCGCTGCTCTTCAGAGAGAATAAAATATCCCGTTGCTTAAAATGACTCACAGCTTCTACGAATACTAACAACGTGGTTCCAACAAATCTGCTCTCTTTATTACCTGGTTTCTGTCAGTATAAAGGCCACTTTGTTCTGTCTAAATGTGTTCATCGTGTCTTCTTCTGAGTGTGTCTGAAAGTTAATCCGTGCGGTTGAAATGCCAACTTGACATGCTGGACTGTGTTTGTCTGACGGGCAGATTTGTCATCATGGCGTGTGGCTGCGCGGCCCAGGATGTCCTGATGGATTGTGGGACAAAAGGCCATGATGACGGTAAAGGGACAAGCAGGGACTCAAGACCGTATCGCCTCTTGTATATTGTTTTTCTGCTCTTCTGAACTCTTATTTTAGCCTCTTTCTGTATCCTAAAAGAGGAACATTTCTCGCTCACCTCCTCTGCTCCTGGTCTTATCAGCTGTTTTCTTCTTTGTCTCTTTCTGCCCTAAACTGGACAAAGGAAATAAAGGCCTTTGCTTCTGTCTGCCAACCTTTTCTAGCCTTGCTGCCCTCACGTTAGACTGAAAAGCAGCCTTGGTTTCTCTTTTCTCTATCAGCATCAGCAAACAAACGGGCCGTCTTTCCTCTCATCTTAAACCTCTGTAGCACCTTCGTTTTCTTTTTTTTTGCTTGTGATGCTACAACAAATCTAAATTCGAACAATGACAAACTCAAACAGCCCTCAATCACTTAAACCATGAAACACTGTCACAAAGGGCAGCAGCTAAAAGCATGAACCACTTTGAAGGCTTTTATTTTTAACTTCACACAGCTGCAGCTGAATGTATCTAAGTAAAAAAAAAAAAAATGACACTTTTCCCTCCTCTGTTTCTGCAGCTCTGCAGAATAGAGGGCTTACAAAGACTTTTTCACAGTCATCTGAGGATTTTGCAGTTTTCTCAGCACTGTGGGGAGGTGTGTTAGCACCTTCACTGAAACACTTTCAGTTCACATCAAGTTGAAGTGACATGGCGAATATGGAGAATCGATTTTGTTGGCTTTTAGAGCTGTGGTTAAAGCTCTTAGCCATTGAATAAGCTTTCTTTACTCCTTTTACAGAAGCATGAAGGTACATGGAGGCTGAGGTGTGACAATGGTGGCACCTCGATACCAGTGTTGCCAGAGTTAGTTTTAAAAAGTAATTTGATTACTGATCACGGATTACCTTTAAAAAGTAACTTAGTTACTTTACTGATTACTTGATTTTAAAAGTGATGAAGTTGGACAACAAGTTACTATTTAGGTAAATTCAGCAGCCTCAACATATAAAAGACAAACATTTTCTTTCCAACACTCACTTTATTGGAAGTGTAATTTTGACAAGAATTAAAAAAAAAAATGTTTTTTTATTTTTATTTATTTAAATAAAGATAGTCTTTCTTGACTGACAAAACACAAACAATTTATTTTTAATAAAATATAAAATAAAGATAGTCTTTAGAATAGTGGCTTAATTTCCAGCTTGAGAACTTGCATCTCTCTCCTCCCTCCATTGTTGTTTATGTTTGTTTTGCCGCGGCTGCTTTATGTGTGTGCACATGTATTACACGTAAGTGGTCCATGTGCTGAAAACGTGACTTGTCGCCTACATGACTGACGTCACTCCCCCCAGACGAAAAACAAAGCTATCTTTTTTTTACAGAAAATAAGAAAAAAAGTAACGCACACAGTGACTTGGACATGTAGCCTAAATCTAATTACTGGTTTGGAAATAATGTGTTAGATTACTTGTTACTAAAAAACATGGACTTATTGGAGTAGTACTTTACTTAGTAATGTGTTACTGGCATCACTGCTTGATACAGACACTCAAAAGAAATTTTAAAAGTACCTCTGAAAGTGTTCTAAAAGTCCCCCTGGAGTAACTATAATGATAGGAAATGGCTGAAAGTTAACCTAAAACAATAACCAAAGGAGATCTTGACCAATCAGAATTTTTCATCTTTGACTTTAAAGTTATTCCAAGTTATAAAAAAACAACAACTTTGATCTAGACCAATAACACAACACTGAAATGCATTCCCCAAATGAAGACCCTCTATTCAACCCAAATTTGTTTGGCGGAGTTTTGAAATGTCAGCAGCACATGGTCTCTCTAAGTGCAGTGATGTGGTGTAAATCCAATCTATGGCCTTCCCCTGAAAGAGCCCTGCTGCATATTTTGCTGTCATCACTCACTTTGCTGGAAAAAACAAGATGCTCCAAAGTGACAGAAGTGCTCGATGCTCAATCAGACAGAAGCACGCAGCTCAGGCGTAAAAAGTCCAATCTTAAACATGCCCAGGAAAACTTCTTTGGTCCATTTTAGTGATAAAGGTCATCTGAAAACACTGAAAAAATTGAGTATAAGTGGGTTTAACGACCATCCTCCCCCTTGCCCCCTTCCTCTCTTTCTCTGTCATATTTCCTTCATCCTGTCACAGCTTGACTGTCACTTTTGTTTAGCTCTTATTCCTCAGTGATGAGGACAAATTGCTGAATCCTGCTCTGTTAGATCCCTTCATTGTTCACTGACCATGGCTCACTCATCCTGATGGAGACTTTTACTTTGACCTTAATTCACTCAGTGTTAGCTGAATAATCATATATGTTCCTCTTTGACTTTATTAAGATTTTATTCCCAGTTAAGAAACAGAGAAACTCATTTTTTTCCTCATCTTTGTGATTTGCGTGGCCACACTCAATCCCATGCTCTTACATATGCACATATATTTACAAAGTGACGCAGCATGGCTCAAACTTGGCTTGTTTCGCCGGGGTAAAAGTTGTCCTGGCACAGTCCAAGTTCACAGATGGTTCACTGTGAGCTATGAATATGCTGACATGAATATACAGCAGAGTGTAGGGCCAGAGGAACAGGGTCATTAGGACATACAACACCTGCTCAGACAATCTAAAAACTGCTCACAATAATGACAGGGTATTTATTTAGACTGGTGACCGATAGTCCCGTTTTCAGGATATAAATGGACCCTAAATGGGATATATACTATAGACCTTTGCTTCATTTTCTCCTACAGATCTGACTGGTCTTTGTAGAATTGTAAAGCCAATGCTTAAGTGCAAAAAAAAAAAAAAAAAAAAAAAAAAAATGCAGTTCCACAAGCGTCCACTTGAGGCTGTCTTCAAAAGTGCTCAAAACCACATACACATTTATTCATAAAAGCCCTTTTTAGAGCAGACATGAACATGGTTACATCCTGGTTAAAAAAAAGAGGAGGTTGGTCTGAACAGTGCGAGGCTCCCACAGCACCACTGTATGGAGAGTGGACTTTGTAACAACACATTAGTTTGGTTACATGTTATTAAGGTTTCACGGTTGTGGACTTTACTGAGTGGAAGAACTCTAACTAGCTGTAGCTGTTTCTTTTACAAACTATGAGACGAAGAATAATTCTGACTTTCCAATCCTTTCTTCTTGTACTCTTAATTAATATGTGTAAACAAAATGTTTGTTTTGTTTATATTCTGGGTCTTTTTTGAACAGCTGTAAGGCCAAATGTGGCACACTGGCATCATAATGATGTTAATCTTTGTGTACTGTTCCTAATTAAATAATGAGATTAAATACCTCCTGCAGTGCTGTTATTTTTAATTGCAGCAGAAACAACCACAGCATCTTTTCTTTATCATTAAAAACACATTCTGCATCCAAAACAGGACGCCTCGGCTCTCTGTTATCTGCCTCCTCCGAGTCTTTTAAAGCTCTCTGCCAGCCCAATCATTTGAAGGATGCCATAATCACATAAATGTTCGGCACGTAGCCGCTCAAAAAAAGCATTTTCTCCCTTTTCCTAATCCTCTGTTATTCACTTTCTTCTCTCTGCTAATGCACAAGAGTGCAATAAAGTGTCATTACAGTGATACAAATCACTGTTTTTAAGACGCTGACTTTGATGTTGCAAAACACGGAGAAGAATGAGGGGAAAATTGAATTTGACAGCTGCACAAAGAAGATGAAAATAGAATGAACAAAGATAAAAAGTCACGGTCACAGAGATGATTTTGTGTATTTGGCTGATGTGCACATGGCTGAACAAGCTCATATTTCTCACTTTCCATCTTGCAAAAGTCAAGGGAAGGTGTCCCGCTGCTCAGAGCGGAGTCATGTTCATTTGGTAAAGCGAGCTGTCAGTCAGAGACCGTTTCCGATTGTCAACATGAAAACGCATCAGCCTGGAGGAGGACAGACGCTTTTTCTACGATGAGAATAAGAGCTGCTGATCTGTGAGCTTCGATTACAAAGACGAGATAAATGACACACAGGAATCCAAAACCAACATCCTAAAACCCGCAACTCAAGTAGAAACGACATGACTTGACACGCTCTCCATCTTTGGTGTGTTGGTGAGTTTGCTGTGACATTTTAGGGCGTAATGCAGAGCACTTTTATGACCCAACTGGTGTCCTCTCTACAGCCAAAAATTTATCATACAACTGCGGACAACTCTCAGCTTTCAGTGGTCGACATCTTGGCTTTGCAGCAAAGAGGGCGGACATGAATTCTGTGCAGATGGTGATATAATCTCAACAGGGCACATGCAAGGACGCAAAAGTAACACTGGGTTCACTCCAACCATCCATAAGTCAGATTTTAATGGTTTGATCATTTTAAAATGGGGTTATATGAGGTTAGTGTCTATAGTGAGTGTATAGTTAGTGTAGTGTGTCAGAAACAGAAACTACAATATCAACCACAGATGGGGTCAACAGCTGATTATAAGTTTGTTCAATTCTACATGACAGACTTTGGGAGACCGTGGAACAGTGCCTGTGTTTTTTAATGATGTTTCTGGAGGTCATTTCTTCTCCTGCACTTTATCGGAAATTTCCTAAGCACTTTCAGAAGTACTGTTTGTGTCAACTTATTTTGTCCTTGAATTGAATCTTATTATTACTATTATTGTGACGTGTGCTGCTGACCTCTTGGCCAGATCACCCTTGTAAAAAAAGATCTCGATCTCAATGGGTTTTCTTACCTGGTTAAATAAATAAGAAACTCAAACACAAACAATCGTGTTGGTGTAAATTTGTGCTCTTCATTAAGAATTTTAGAGCTTCACTTGTTTGGACAGAATTGGTTTGAAAGTTTCCAGAATCCAATCTATCCCAATCAGCCAATCAGCAATATTCAGGCACATAAAATCAGCAGCACAACACTCACCAACCATCTTCTAGTTGGAAGATGGGCCTAGGCAGGGAAGTCTGGGCTTCCCTGCCTAGGCCACTTCATCCAGCTCTTATCCACAGGCATTGCCAGGTCAGCTGAGAGACATAGGCTCTCCAGCATGTCCTGGGTCTTACCTGTGCCCTAAAAACCTCACCAACGAGGTGTCTGGGAGGCATCCTGGTTAAAAGCCTTTGCTACCTCATCTGACTCAACTGGGAGGAGCAGCAGCTCTACTTCAAGCCCCTCCAGGATGACTGAGCTTCTCACCCTGTCTGTAAGGGCGAGTCCAGCTACTTTTTCCAAGTCATTTCAGCCACTTGTACCTACAGTCTTCTTCTTTCAGTCACTACCCACAGCTCATAGGTGAGGGTAGGAACGTAGATCGACCGGTATATCGAGAGCGTGGCCTTTTAGTTCAGCTCCTTCTTCACCACAACAGACCTGTGCAGCATCCATCTCACTGCTGAATCCACCTGTTGATCTCCTGCTCTGTTCTTTCCTCACTCCTGAACAAGATCCCAAGATACTTGAACTGCTCCACTTAGGGCAGGATGTCATCCTCGACCTGGAGAGGGCATTCCACTTTTTTCCGAACCATGAAAACCATTAAGATCTGCATGAGTTTGATCTGGATTTCCTTTCAATTCACTTCTAAACTGGTATGAACAGCTAAACTGCTGTGACACCACTTCTGTCCTCCGGTAGTGTTTCACTCTCTGTGGGATCATCTCGACTTCACAGTCTGCTGTACAGTGTGTAAAGCCGGGAAAAACCCTAAAACTGGGATAGAGTCCTGAAGAGCTGCTTACCTAATGGCTCGGAAAACAAATAAACAGTCATGAGGTGAGGGGGGGGCATCAAAATGAATGGAGTCCTTGCAGGGGTCACTTCATGTCTGTGTGTGTGTTAGTTAATGAACCCACAGAGCTGTCGCAGGATTTCCCCCAACACACACACACGCACACACACACGCACGCACACACACTTTTACACAATCTTTTTACAGCCACAGTGAATCTCAGAGAAGTGTGTGTGTGTGTGTGAGTGAGAGAGAGAGAGAGAGAGAGAGAGAGAGAGAGAGACAGTGCCCCCTCGTTTTACTGCATTCAGCAGCACTTTCAAACTGAAATGGAAAAAGGACAAAATAAAGTTCAACATCAGTAAAACAGCGAAGCAGTTAAAGGGATATTCCGGCTTAAAACTAAGTTAGGGTCAAACACACCATAACACCGAGTTAGACACCCCGACGAGAGATTAATGTTGCCGACCGCTTACTTCTCTAGTTATATAAACTTCAGTAACGACCGCACGATGGAAACACAGAGAGCCTAGAGCTCAACCAAAACGCCACTCTATAGCCACAAATAATGCTCAGAACAGCACCTAACTTCATCAACAGGACATATAGGGTCACAGACATAGTACTAGACACCAAACATCTTTGTAGCTTTGCCTGATTTCTTTAGCAAAGAGACTAAACACAACTCACCCACTCTCTTCCAGCAGCCGCTTGTTTGTGCGGAGACCTCAGATGAGTCCATCACTGACTGCTGCGGGGTGACGCAGCTCTACGAAGAACATCATTAATCATTATGCAGACGCTGTAGTTCTTCTGCCTTACCCCCAATTTCCACCACATCCAGAACGGCTACGAAAAGGCCGTATCCTCCGATCACAGCTGATTGTAACCATTCAAGTTAATGTGTCTATTTCCAACGGCTTCTTTCCGTTCCGCTGCAGATCGCCAGACTCCGCAGCTGATCGCAGGAGTTCTGTTTTTTCCGAACAGAAATGAACGATCCAGAGCATGGCGGATAAATTCAGCACAGATTAACCAGTGCTGGAAAGGAAGTCGGGCACAGACACAAAATAAAACATCTGGCTTCTTTTCAAAATAAAACACTCCGCTTTTCAGGCGGATCATATTTCACACCATGCGAGCGAGCGGGTAAGACCAAGTAAAAGGTTGAGACAACAATTCATCCCGATGACACCATGGATGAGGAAGTCTGGAAGTAGATTTCCTCCTCTGGACGGACACAATCTATTGCTTATATGGTTAGCCTATGTGGATAAAGATAACTTGGCAGATGGCAAAAATCGCTGCCGCTCTGGATCGGAGCTGTTCCGGCTGCGGTGGAAATCCCGCGTTAGCGTCTAGGCCTTATTTTCTATGAGGAAATGATTCTAAGTCAGACAGAGCATCACTGCTGTCCTCCACACACCTCTGAACCCTGCTCCTCTCAGATTATCCTGATGAACGTGAAGCTGGTGGAAGATTTTGAAGAGGACAAATGCAAATCATTCAAAACACTTGAAAAAGCAAAGTCAAACTGAAGAAGAGGATCATATAAAAAAGGTTCATTTGAGTATTTGGGAAATGTGTTCTGTGGTTTAATGGTCAAGTGTCTCAGCACAGAGCGTCTGTCACTTCTGGAGAGTATAAAGTGATGGTTATAACTTGCAGGGAATTTAACCTTATAAAAACCGTCCCAGCTGTCTTGAAGCCCCTGTGAGGAGTTTCTGACTGCTTATGAACCAGATTGATTTTAACAGCAGCGCCTCTTTATGTCCTACAAAAGCAAACAAGATCATAAATGACAAGATTGACAATATCGATGTTGTAATTCTTCATCCCAGTAATCGCTGTAAGACGAGACAGTTTCGGGCACACTGAAGTAGAAATACAACTTTTTCCTCAGTAATTGAAATGTGTGGCTTTAAAAAAAAAATTAAAAGAAAGATGAATTTTTGGGTATCAAGAGCTTGTTCCAACTTCAAACATCTGCCAGGACCTGCTGTGTTGATATAATGCACTTTTATTGCAATGCATGAACAAAGTCGTAAGAAGAGGATCATGGAGGGCTCACAACCTTGGTGAAGGAGGTTCATAGATCGATGGACTCTCTCACTATGACCTGACAAGACAAGGCTGCCGGGGCTCTGTGTAAGCTTGTCGGCTAAAACCTTGAGGTAATGCCACTCTGACAGCCTGCTAGATTGCAGCATGGGCCTAACTCAATCAGGTTTGATGGGGATAAACAGTCTAAAATGGGAAAAACCATATTCATTCAGAGGAATGAGACAACTTTAGAAACATATGCAACAGTCCAAGTACTTGTAGCAGTGGAAAAGCCGTGCAGACTAATAAAAATCCTGCAAAAAGTTTTTGAAAAACTTTTTTCTTTCTTCATTACCATGTTTCCTGTCATTGTGCATTTCTGCTTCGTATCAGTTGTGTATTTGCAACTAATTCATGCAGTTTTTTTATTTTTGGCTTTGTGCAGCAAGTCGTAGGACTGAGTGATAAACCAAAAATTTGCCAATACCAGAATTTACGACGATAACCAACATTATTTTGCCCATGTCAACATATTCGGTGTCAAAAATAAATAAATAAGCGTTGGTTTTAGATGTGTGTAGGTAGGCTATGGTCTAATGTCCCTTTAAGATGCTGTCCTACGTTAAAGACGTGACTCCACCCCATTGAGTCCATAACAAAGATGGAAATACAGGTGAGGAGATGGAGGACGGTTCAAAAGTTGTAGCGGCTGAAGTAGAAGTAGGCTGAAGTTAATGTGGGAGGGGGTGAGCAGCTTGTGGAGTAGTTATCGTCCATTTATCGTTATCGAGGTGAACTGATCAATATATTGTGGTATTGAGTTAAGGACATATTTCCCAGCCCTAGCACATTGTTTCCACCATTGTGCACGTTTTAAACTTCCCTGTGTGTTTTAAGTCATGCCCTTTCATACATTTGCAGCACATTTATCCTGTGAGGACCGTTTCAGTTATTGCAGATCATTTGCTTTTGTTGCCCCAGCAGATAGTGGATTCTGTAGCTCATTTTTTTAATCATATCTTGTTAAGTAGCACCACTAGCGTGATGGGGAACAACCTTGGGCACATTAAATTACCAAAAAATAAAATAAAATCCTGTCAGATTTCATTCCTTTGAAAATTCTTTTCAGAGCCTTCTGGTGCAGAAAACTAAAATGAGTATTGAGCTCTTCATTCCCTGAAAGAAGCGATTATTAATGTGAGATACTGTTTGTTAAGCTCCCCTCCTTATCTCCACTTACTCTGTCAGCGCAGGTTCTGCCGCTGTCACTCGGTTTACATTTCCCAAAGCATTTTAACAATAATAAAAACCTGATTTAATTGAAATCTCTTCAGTCACGATAGCTCCCATCATGCACCCCTTCAGCAAGTCTTAGCATAACCCAGCATCTGTTAGCTGCTGCACACTGGTCCCAGTTGGTCCCAGTCTGTAAAGTAAATATTGTCATGGTTTCAAACTACAACACTAAGTGGTCCATATCTACTTCTATATACTTGTCTATCTCTTCCTTTCCCTCAGTCACACTCAGGTTCAAGAAGAAATACCTTTGAAAAACAATTAACACAAGCTTTCACCTCGTCGCTCTCAGTCATCACAGCAGAGCATTAATCTCATATCATGACCTCTAAGTGTTTTATCCCGACGACTCTTTAATTGTTCGCCTCCACCTGCCAACAAAACTTTCTCTTCAAAGTTACACAGACTTTCTAAGTAATGTGGAGAGAGCCCGGGGAGTGCTGTCTGTCTCCTCCCTGATCATTTTTTAGCATTACTTCGCTGACCTTTCTCTCCTATCACCTGCAGCTTGCAGGAGGAATCATCAGGGGGTACGAGGGTGACAGGATGACATTCAACAACAGTCCGAGTGTTGATTTCCTGACACTGCGACAAAGAATAAAGACACAGAAGAAACACCGACTAAGGAAGAACAACAAACAGCTTGGGTAAATCCTGAATGTGTTGGATTTTCTTTGAGGTAAAGTCGAACCAAAGATCTGTTAAAGGCTGCACTTTCAGTCTGCTCGGCCCAATCATGCATCTGCCAGCCAGTGATGAAGAGGTTCTCTTGTGAATACTGCAACATAAAAGCAGCCATCGCCCTCTGATAGACTCGAAGAAATACTCAAGACAACAATAAAGCAGGTTTGCTCTTCTCCAGGGTAAGTCGAGTTTTTTTGGTCGACTTTAAAAATTGACCTTTTGATAAACAGCATGACCACGTTTGCAGAATTATTGATACGCATTTTTTGAATGAACTGTTCTGAACTGAAAGAAGTAAAAATTTTGACTGCACCCAACATTAAAAACACTTCCTGTGCTGACATTAATAAAAAAGAAAGTGAGTCCAGAAACTAAGACAGTCTAAGACAGTTCTGAAAAACCGGACAGATTTAAAATAAACGGTAATACTGTAGAACTACTATCTACGTTTGTGCAACTTTTCCACTAAGGATGAAATAAAATCCTCAACTGTAGTCTGATATGACACATTTGAAGGGACAGAATGGTCCACGTCCAGGCCCAGAAGGTCCAAAAACTCTACGGCTACTAGATCAGACTACTAGATCAGTCTGACCTCAGCGTTTTTTATTAGCTGAGGCAGAGTAAAGATGCCAATCAATGCAGAGAAGACATTAAACAGCTCTCACTGAACAGACACATGGTGTCACAGAGTGTTAAGTCCCATGAAAGCTGCTGTAAAAAACAACAGTCAGCAAAAATGAGCAGACAAGGAGACTGATAGTAGAGTGTGGGAACTGCCATCCTGAGATCACAGTAGAAGTGATGTATGGTTGTTTTAAGCTGAAATAATGGCATACAAAGTGGTAAACTTTCACTGTTACGCTGATGACATCTACATATACATCTTAACCATATTCATAACTTCAACCACCTGGTCTACACTCTCCATCTGCCTCAGTGATATTAAATCATAGGTGCAAACCAACTTCCACTGAACTACAGTAAATCTGATATCATAATCATCGGCCCTAAATCAGCTCAGAGCCTCGACCTCAGCTTTGATAATTCTACCCTCACTCCATCATCCAACATCTGTAAATTTGGAGTAATCTTTGACACCAACCTCTCATTCAAACAGCATGTTAACCACATTCTGCCACTCGCCTTCTCGTCCACATCTGTTCACATGACCACATCACTCCAGTCCTCCAAAACCTCCACTGACACATTCAGTTTGAAATCCTTCTCCTCACCTTCAAAGCCCTCCACAAATCAGGCCCCCTCCTACCTCACTGACCTGCTCCGCCTTTACACCTCTCCCCAGACTTGAACCTTCTCACCCCTGCGCTCAGGATCAAGCACCAAACCTTGGGGGACCAGGCTTTCTCCAAAGCTGTCCCCTCCCTCTGGAACTCTCGCCTCAAACACACCCGGGGTATTACAGAGTGAATGTTGCTCTTTCAGTCAGCAAAATCAGACGTCAAAAACTAAAACTTTTACATCCTGTCAAGAACTGGTTTGTCCTTTAGCTGAAATTAAAAATGCAACTTTATCATAACTTTTTGTCTACCACAACCAAACTTTAAACTAACTATCAACTCAATGTGTTGCCACAAGCTTCCTGATTGTCTTCTTATTATTTTGGTCCGTTTCATAAAGAGGAAAGTGTTATTGAAAGTTGCTGAGTGCTGTTGCGCGCAGCTCCTCCATTCAGGAATACAGCTGCAGTGAGAGGAAGAGGCAGCGAGGACAACGATTGTGGGAGTAAGGTGCATCATTCAGCTTATTTTAACACTGCTGTTATCTATTTGGCTGGAAGTGTTGGACTGAAAAAGATCCTCTTGAGAGTGTGAGATGCGGAGCCTGTCAGAATGTGTGCCGATTCAGTTTGAAAACTCCGCTTAGAAAGTGAACATTTGCACTTCTCTCTTCTTCCTTTTTAAACTTCTATCAAGTACCCTTGAGCGTGCGCTCTAGATCCTGCAGCTGGTGCAGTTGCAGGTTTACTCGTGCTTAAACAGATCCAAGTGTTTGAATAGAGCTGGATGAAAGATTCAAAAAAGAAAGTCACTTCCAGCTGGTAAACGCTGAATTCTTGCTCTGGATGTACATCTGCCAACATCTTTCGCAGACTCGAGGTGCTTGTCTCGGTGCTTTGAGCCTGTTTGTGTCCCTCCCTCACATCTGCTGCAGAAGATTGCCTCGAATGAGACCTCTTTTAAAAAATGATCAAAGCCAAGTGATTAACAATTAAAATCGACAACTTTTTATTAAACTTTAAGAAGCTGAGAGGACTTTTCACGTGTTGTTGATTCTGGTGACCCTTTAAATTAAATGAAATTGCAGTTTTTATTTCTATTTTGATCAAAACACTGTGTCCAATTTTTAATTATTTCTGCTTTGAACTCTCTAACCTGGGACTGCTCATCCATCAAAGTTCAACCAGTGATAAATAAAAGCAGTATGAAAACTGTTGCTGGAGTGTGTGATATGGCCTAGAACCATCGTGCACATCTTAAACTTCTCCAGTTTCACAGGTGAAAGAAGTTTTAAAGTAAGAATAAAAAGGTCACAAACTTTAAATTTCTTCTTTTTTGGCTCTGGGCTACATTTGCAGAACAAAAAAAACTCCTCAGAAGATTTGGAATCAGGGCATGAAAGCTTTCCATCCATATTTGATGCAGCTTTTCCTTTTTTCTTTCTTTCTTTTGTTTTCCTCTCTGATGTTTCTTACAGGAAAAGGTCACTGCACTGCACCTCCTCGCATGATTTACAAGTAGGATGAGGGACCCTGTATTTGTGAGTGGGAGGTAGCTTGCTTATTTTTCTTCTTTCTTATTTTCTCTTCGTTTTCTTTATTATGTTTGTTGCCATCAGTCTTTTCGAAATCTGAAAATGTGATCTATGACAAATTGTTTTGTAATGTGCATGAGGTCCCACTCTTTTCTGTACTTCCTTTTTGTTAAGGATAAACTTGCATGTCTAAATATCCTCAGTTGGGTGTGGAAAACTCTTTGTGTTGTGTGCTGAACAGCCTGGATTCTAAATTGATCAGGATTTGAGAAGTCCTGTGATCTGAGGCAGGACTGTGTCTTGTCAGAATCTGTTTGACACATGCAGCGACAGCATGAATAAATAGCTGAGAGAGAAAGAAGTGAGAATTTCTTGCAGGAATGCCTGATAATAAATCCAATGGTTCGATCATCATGGAGTGGAACCTTGGGTTGATTTCACATCTTGTAGTTGAATCTTGGCACTTTTGTCTCTTAGCTGCATCAAAGTGCCGATCAATGCCAGGCTGTAAAGTTCACAAAATCGTGCAGAGGCTCTCCTTCCTTCCTTCTGTATTCTTGATAATCCTTAATTATATATCATTTTAAGGTTTTTCGTTCTCTTCAGTGCAAATGGACAGAAATGATGAAAATACAGTTTCAAGAAACCATTTTTTAAATGACTTGGGAAATGTTGAAAATGAACAAAAAAATGCTAAAATCCTGATGCACTGATTACTGTGTAATCTTAAATATTAGTGACATAAGACACGATCTGTTAAGGATCAACTTTTGGACTTTTTAGCATGAAGACGGAAGTTTTTAGCAATGTGCGGATTTTATGCAACTGTGTAGCTCAGTCTAGCATCACCTGTCATTGCCATCTTGCCAGCTAACCACACAGTAGATGGCATTAACAGCTGTGAGATAATCCAACTTCTTGTAACAAACGCTTAGACTTTTCAACTTCTCCGGTAAACTGTTGTCTTACATTTTAGTCTTCAATCAAACTAGCACTCACACTTGCACTTAAATACACGATTGTGACCTAATGGGGAGAAAAACTGAAAAAGTGGCACCACTAAACTACTCTGCCTTACTATGTATACAGCATGTATCGTTCACAAATGCCATCTTCTGGTAAAAAAATGGAAATAAAGTGAAATACCTCTCTACATTTTCTTTTTTTTTTTTCAAATTCATTAGTCACACTGACATTTAATATACCTTGCATTTTTATGTTCTGTTGCAACGTTGGTCACACACCTGCACACACTAAAGTTTTGTATCTTGCGTGTGGTGTCATCTAGGCAGGACTAGAGGAGGCTGGTGTAGGAGTTTGATGTGTCACAGCTTTGGTTGAACATCTTAAGTTGCCAGACTTTGCATTGACAGAATCATCACCTCAGTCAACGTTGATCTCTGTTGATTCTTGCATTTGACCAGCGTCACGGTCTGAGCAGCTTTTTTGTTCTGCTGATATGACCCTTCAGATATCATGACTTTAACCAGAGAGTCTGCTCCATCTCTTCATACTCTGTGATTACATCCTCATGAATATTCATATCCTACGAGGACACGAGCTGGAGGAGACGGCACGGACTCCCCGCTTTTATCTTCTCATTAAGCCACTGTGCTATCTGTTTCTCCTAACTGTGAAATATTACCTCCTTTGTGTCGTACATTAATAATACTCCTTTGCTTAAATTGTTTTCTTCTATGCTCACTTTCTCCCTATGCATGATGATGACTAAACGCCAGTGTTTTCTTCAACAGTATTAAATCTTTTGCAATGAGACAGCTGATAAGTACGTCTGTTATTAATCTATCTTGTTAGGGACGTTGGTCATTTCATCTGCAGGAATCGAATTGGAATTGCTCTATTAAAATTCTGTCACCAGGACACATCAAGCAGTATTTTATTGTAATTACATTATAACCACAAAAAGTGTGGCGCAGCAGATTTTTAATTTACTGTGATGTCTTTCTGCTGGTCACCGAATTACGATTGACAGCCGGGTCCCACCAATGGAAGCAACTATTCCTTCAGCGTTTAATGTGACAGAGGATTAAAGGTATTACTTTTATGACTGCACTGAGCATGAGGTGAATATTTGATGTTTTTTACTGCTTTTCAAATCTTGGTTCTCCGTTGAAATTCGTGCTTTGGTCGTGATCCTTCACCGTGAAAAAATGTACAACCTTTCACGTGGCTCCTTTTACATCCTTGATGGTAATTTGACGTGCTGGTACAGATGTAGTCGTTTTGCAGTCTATCACTCTCCATTCATAGATTCTACATAAAAAATCTTCACCCGGAGGTGTGGATTTTCAGCCTGGATGGGTCCTGGTTTATGTTTCTCGTGCTTTTATAGTAGGGCTGCCTGATATGGAAAGAACCAAAATTGCAGAAAGGAAATATTTTCAAAAATACAATTATACTGTTGATCGTTTGGATCACCTGGTTTGAATCAAATTTGTCCTCCTACTTTTTAAAACAATACATCCAGCTTTGACAGCAACATGTGGAAGGTTTGCCATCCTACAAGTATTTTCCAATCATCAACAGGCTGTTATGTGTCTAGTAGGGCTCTAATCAACCAAAGAAATTCTTGGCCAACTAAAACCCTTAAATTTTCAACCAAAAATTGACAAATGGGGGGTCCTACTCTGATGGCAAACCCTTCAGATGACAACGTGGCTCAGTGGAGCATTGCTCGGCGGTGTGAAAATATACTGATATCAGCACAAGTAGGCAATTAAACACAAATATTATATTCAGCGAACCATCAGATGTTTATTAACATTGACGCTTTTCAATCTTCATGTCTCCAGCCAGTCTCCAGTAGGTTGGGCGAATCCAAAATGGTGAAAACAAGAGGGATAATCTGAGACACCCCCCCATTAGCACTAGGTATGTTCCTGCTGATGAAATTAACCATAGACTGTAAATTGAGGTGGAAAAAATCAAGTTGACCAATCAGAACTTGGTCGACTCAGCACATATGAGCAATAAGTTGACCAGTAGCGAGTATGTAGCAACAAAAAGTTCATACAAAGAGCAAACACCACTGTCAATTAACCTTTTATCAGTGGTGGCCAGCTTATGATTTATATAACTTTACAAACAGATATCCACATGCAAGTGCAGAGTGGCTAATACAAACTGTCTTCGCCCCCTTACTGTGGTATTATAATGAAGAGCAGGCAGGTTTCCTTGTGAGCATTTATTCAAATGTAACAGTACTGAGCAGACCCAAACAAAATGGAAGCCTGCCATCTTGGCAAATGTAAAATATGTTATAAATCATTCCATGCATCATTTCACAAACTTTTGTGATTTGGTTGTGATTTCAAAAAATCCAGATGAGGCTTTAATCAACAATTATATCTAAGGGATTTGGGTGTTTCAACCAAACTGCAGACCTTCACACATGTATGCCAAATACTGCTGCGAAGTCAGAAAGTCAGAAAACTTTGATAAAAAAAAATGTATTCAAAAGGTAGAACCAGATGTTAGCTTGACCAAAGGTACATGCCCAAAACCAACGGTAGAGCTGAGCTGGATAACAGTATAGTGTAGATGAGTTACTATAGCTCAAAGTTCGGGTGATACAGTATGTTGACATAGATCTACAGTGAAAAATGAGTGGAGGTTTTGTTTGGTACATTTTAGAGTCTGAAACAAAAGCAGAGCTGAAGTCTGCACTCCGTGACAAACCAAACTAATGATGTAAATACCTGGAAGATACAGCATGTTTCCAAACAATCATTGTCAAAGAAACTCAAATCCAGTCCACACACTCACGCACTCAGTCAGAGCAACCACACAAACTCAGCAGGCCTCCCTCTTGGCGGGATTACTGGCCAGTTTATAATGCAAGCTGCTGATTTATGGTGTAATCTAGTTCAGGGAGGGAGAGCTGCTCATACTAAGAAGCAGAAAGGCCAGCGCCGACCTTTGGTGTCCTGCTCAGCTTGTCAAACTCGCAGCACCCTAAGAAAGAGGACAGGACTGAATAAGAATGAAGCGAGCAGGTGAATAACGAAACAGGGACGCATTTAATTCACTACCTGGTTAGAATGATGATGGCGTTGGTGGTAGAGGTTTAGTGTCTTTATACAAAGAATGAGTCTAATTATCCTGTTATCAACACCAGCAGGGACTCAGGAGTTGAGAAGAGTTTTATTTGCCACGAAACACGAGGAATTTAAGAGAAACTGGAGGGTAGAGGCAGGGATCTTGGCTCAAAATGAATTCTGGTGCTTCTACGTCTGAAAGCTGAAGTGTTCACAGCTGTTTTAGAAGCACACCTCTGAAAGTCAAGGGAAAAGCCTGCCATTTGGGCCTTCAAGTAATGGTGTGAAATTTTGTCCTCCTTCTTCTCTGAGCCATTCACAGGAAGGCACTCAATTGTGCACACACAAAAGGCAATACTTGGAGAAAGAGCTTGTAAAGGACGCTTGAGGAAATAGCCTCCTGTCTGACATCTGCACTCCCCGTAAGTCCCAGCATGAGGTCAGCATGATTGTAAGCTTGTTTTTTTAGATAGGTAGATCTTTTCACTGCTTACTCAGAGAGCCAGATAGCAGGACAGGTAAAGTTTGAGCGGATTTTTGCAAAGAAAGTTTGTTAAACAGATGGTTTAAGCCATGAAGGGTGTTCTGAACGTATGACGGACCAACCCAGGTCTGTTGCACCTCCAGCTTGTAGACTTTTAAATGCATTTAAGGCCGGGTATGATGCAACCAGAGTTTTGGCACCAGTCTGCTCATGGTACATTGGTTTAACTTTATTTTTAATTGAAAGATTGGACTGAGCAGACTGAGATAGATGAGAAGTTTCTCTGCTGAAGTCAGTTTTTAAGTAGGTCTGGATTTTAAACTTATGGGAACATAATGTCACTGCTCTTATTTTTGGTCCAGAACTCAGAGATTTGAGTTCATTATTCATCACTTTGTATTTTATGTTGGAGAGAGTTCCACTCTAACAGTTCGTGATAATTAAGGTCCTGGGCTTATCCATTCAAAGTGCCTCAGATTAATTATCTGAGGCACTGAGTTGTAATAAAATCAAACACTCCCTCCCAGTCATTAATCAAGTTTTTAGGTCAAGTATTTGTTAGTTTTAGGCAAACATGCAAATAAGTGAAATGTAGCCAGTGCAAGCGAAAGAGAAGCCCGGCGGTTTCTATGACAGCAAGACTGATGGGTGATTTTGTAATGATAATGTCAGGGTTGTGTAAAGCAGCCTCCCTCGAGGTAAAACTCATTTTGTTTCATTGTCTCTGTACACAATGGTGGAAAAATTCATTTAACACAATGCAGAGCTTCAAGCTTTCTCCACACACTTCTCTCCCTCATCATTGGGTCCCATCCTCATCCACACATTGTACACGTTCAGTGTGAGGCTGATGGATGGGCCCGCTTCAAATGGAGCAATGAAACAATTATTCCTGCGCTCCATCTCTGTCAGGACTCTTTTTTAAAGAGCTCACTGTTAAACTTGCAGCTCATATTTTAATGTACCCTCATCGTGACTTATTCTGTCTGGGGCTCATCTTGTGAACACTCATCTGTAACTAACGGTATATGCAAATATGCATGGGTCACCATAAGAACATGTACACTTAACATGTTTAGATCATTCAAAATTGCAGTTTTTTGTCATGTCATGGTAAATTTAATGTTACTGTCATTTATTTGAATACAGTCATTTAATCTATTTTAATGTTGTTCAACTTAAATTTGTAGCAATATGATGTTTTGTTTTTCATTTTTCACATTTTACTGCACCTATCTTCTGAGAAGATTAAAAAGTTGTAGATATCAGTTTGAAGCATGGACTGTTAATGACTAACAGTTACACTGTCCACCAGGAAATATCAGGGAGAAACTTCTTGGTTTAAAAAGTTGTTTTAAACCAACTATCACACCACTTTAATAGTTTTAACATTGTCTCCATGCTAGACTGGTCTGAGACTTAAGTTTTCAACAATCAAACCTTTATTAAAACTTCCAATCAACATGTTTACAGCTTCTGAGAACAAAGTATACACCAAAATCATTAACACTGCCAACTTTTAGACAAAGTTATTAACAAAGAAAACACTCAAATTTTTACTCTCACAGTAGACACCAGTGTATTGATCTCAATCAAAGTGAATCAGATCATCTAACAGCTGAGCTGAGCTGAGGAGTTCCACAAGGCTCATCTGTGGGTCCCCTCCTCTTTCCATGTGGCCCTCCTATAATCTTCTCTGAGAAAAAATCATTCATATGCTGATGATTGGGGATTGATTATGCTGCTGTGATGCACCTAAATGTCCATTTTTTTTACTGATGGTTCATGACTCAAACATGTGACCCCCTTTGGGTACCTCAGCTTCTGGATTGATCCAGCACTTCTTTTCAAGACACATTGAGTCAATTATTTATAGAGTAAGTTGCTATTTAGGCATTTTGTATGGTTCCATGAACAGTGTCACTAAATTACTGCTGCATTTCTCCTCGTAAACTAATTGATACTAAATGGCTAGCCACCTTAGCTAATGCTTGCTGGGCACAGTATACAGAAGGACCAGCCTCAGTAAGGTCATGACCCAAAAAATGGACCATTAAATGGTTTATGGAACATCATAACTAAATAAACTGGTGCACTGAGATCTTTATTAAATTAAGATTCAGATAGGTGAATCTTTCCACTCCTGGTTTTATTTAAGTCAGTGTTTTTAATGATGCTAATAGCTATTTCCTGTTTACACCGTGTGGATTTCTGGCACCACTGGGATAATGTGTTGTTGCACTGGTTTGTAAGAGTTTTTATTTGTGTTTGCGTCACTTGTGATGTTTTCTTTTGAATGGAACCTCTTAGAAACGGGATGATTCATCTCAAGCGGATATCCATTAATACATTGACACCCTCGGATCCCGTCCTCATCCACAGTGAGTGTGAGACATGAGGCAGGCTGATGGATGGGCCTGCTTCAAAAGGAGCTATGAAACAATTATTCCTGTGCTCCATCTCTGTCAGGACTCCATTACAAGAGTTCACTGTTTGAAAGAAAGGAGCCCGTAACTCAAACCAATCGCCATTTGAATAACAGCAGTATGAGAGTATTTGTGTGCGGTGTCACCGTGGTTATGACTGGATGGGACCCATGGCTTGAAAACTAATGATCATGGTGCAAAACAAATTTACAGCCAATAAATATCTGCCCAACGTCTCAGTGGAAAGAGATGACAGAAATCACTACATGATTCATTTCTATGATGCAAACTGCCAGACAGCTCAATCTGACTAACTGGAGGATTGCAAGACAGGAACAGAGCGTTTAGTACCGACGGAAATTAAGATGTTAAGCCGCAGCTCATCACTACACTTTTCTTCTGCCTTGATATCTCTGATGCATGTTGCTTTGGACAAAAGCATCTCCAAACTATGTGCAGAAGTTGAACATGTCCTTTAATGCAATCAAAAAGCATTGAGAGGTGTATATATTGACCAAGTTTTGACCTCCAGTGACATTCAAGCTGGATACTTGGTTTATCGTTACATAAACACACAGAAACTAAGCTGAAACTGTAACCAGATTAAACAGTGGGTGCACTGTTAGCTAACAGCTAATGGAGTATTTCCCACTTGAGTGCAAGTACAGCCAAGTTTACACAAAGACTGAAAAAGCAGCTGCTTCAGAACTGGGTCATGAAGTCAAGGTACAATGAAGTTTTTGAAGGCAGTGATCCCTGTGCAACTAAGCTCCACAGTGATGCTAAACTTAGAAGCAAAGTCTAAGCACAGCGTGTATCTGCGGGGAGGGAATGAAGGGACTTCTCAGCCGTGTATTTAGCATTGTTAGAGAAGCACTTTCTACTAATAAATGATCCAAAATGAAAAAAAAAAAGCCATTCTGTGCCACAAACCTGTGATCGGAGTAACAGTTGAGGCTTGTCTTTGAGCTCTGCTGTTAAATTGGTCTGCAGGCTGTCTTTGAAACACACGACCTGGCTCAAACCCGACCCTGGGGCCCCGAACCTGTGTTGCGTTTCAACCCCTGCTCTCTCCCACTGGTTTCCTTTTCTGTCCTTGTCCTTTTCTCTGCATAAAAGCATCAAAGTCCCAAAATGATCGAGGTACAGCTGACATTACAGAGAGCACATCATGTTTATACAGCTGTGACAAAGAGAGCTGAGTTTATTAAGGTCAATTAAACCAGTTTACTTTCAGTAGACATATTTTGCTGATCTATATTTAATGCATGCCTAAATGTTACAATGCCATACAAAGCTATGTAAAAAGTAACACCCACAATCATGCGAAGCTACTCAACAGGTCTCCTACAAGGACAATGAAAAGTCACAAGAGTGGAGTCTGTCTCCTTTAACTGTATCCTAGCTCTAGTCCCCTTGCACCGCACTATTTGTATGTCAAAGCTAATTGATGAAATATTTGCTAAACGTCATGCCGAGTCATGCTGCTAAATCCAGGAGGCAGCGCATGGGCCCTGCTGGTGTCACCACTTTTGCAGAAAGTCTGTTTACAGCCAGTTATGGTCATTGATTATTATTGTTAAACAGCAAGATGCAGCATTTATTCACACCATCTATGAGAGCGCTTATACTCCCTCCACAGAGTCTGAATTATTAACATGGAGACAGTTTCCTGTTACCATGGAAGTGTTTGTGTTAATTATGAATTACTGTCAGGTATTGTGGTCAGTGTAGCGTCGTTACTGCAGAATTAATGAACCTACTTACAACCAGAGGTAATTAGTGAGTCGGACTGAAAAAACAGGGAGGCTGCATGAGAGGATGGAAACGACTCAGGGAGGGCTCCTGACCTTATTTTAGGAGACGGTGGATTTATGTTGGTAGACGCTTCGCTGTCCCTGGTGAGAGAGCGATACAGTGTCAAATATCTTTGCAGGAAGCATTTCACTTTTTGAAGTTTTGGTAAACATGGAGTATCTGAATTAATGGATCTTTCATTAGTTTCGTCTTGCTTTGGTGCTCATGTTTCAAAGATAGTAACTGCAGGGGTAGCTTTTTAACATCACAAACAAAACTTGCCAGAAGTATAACTAAAGTTTCACGGTTTTTACAACCTGACACTTTAACTAGTTAATTTTCAACATCCAGATTTGGAAGTAGAAGAAAACAAGAGGGAGATTTACTCTCCTTCTTTATCCATTACGTGTTACTCTGTCTTATTCATTGAGGTTTTTACGCTACAGTTTTATTGAAAAATGCCAGAATTCCTGCCAGTTTATGAAGTTTGTAGAGGATGTGCAAAAACAGCAACATAACAAACACAAATTATCGATGTAGGCTCCGTCTGTATCTGTCTGCAGATCTAACATGGAGCATAAATGAGCCTCTAGGGTCATAATAACCCAAACAATAAGTTTCTCATCATTACTTTGTTTTCTGTTGTTGTCAGGAGCGCCAATGGAGGCCGCCATGTTTGCCAGACATTTTCTTTTTCAGACAATATGACTTCTTTTTCTAAAAACATCAAAATGAAAAACAAAAGTATGAATAAGATAATCATCCCACACTATGAAACTTTCAGAAACTGACTAAACCTCACAATGACGCAATTACACCTCAGCTCGAATTGCTGGTTTAACTTAGTAAGCTGTCAACAAACTCCCAAACAGACAGAATTCATCTCAGACTCATCAGAAAATTAACAGCTTTGTTTTGCTTCACTCAATTCTGAAATTATGAAATATTCAGAAAAAATAAATAAATCCACCGAGGGCGTTTTAATCAGTAAGGGAGAAATTTTCCACACGGAGGAGCGTTGACAGCTTTGCTAAATAACTTTGTTTGATTCACTCTGGCACATTTTTGCACATGTGATCATGTTATTTTACAAAGACAATCCATTTGAACTGGAATTTTGATTTCTAGAGGTTTTGACATGGATGCTTAAGCAAAAAATCTTCATAAGTAGAGACTGCTTAGATAGCTTATAATTATTATGATGTCCAAATCAGAGTCAGAATTAATCAGATCAAGGATATATACCAAACAACTCTTCAAATAATTTCCACATCCGCATGAATAAAATATAGATTTTCTAATTCTGAACTCTTCTGGTTCTTTCAAACTCCAAAGTTTCAAATATCAAACGCTCGCAGAAAAGCGCCCGCGTCAATGACAAGACAGCTTTGTTTAGCCTCCGGCTCTATTTTCTCCTTCTGATGGTTAAAGGGATTTCATCATCACAAACATGCTGATGTAATGTTTGCAACGCAACCAGTTCTCCAGACTAAACAATAAAGCGGCACATCAAAAATAAAGCAGCGCGTTCACACGTGTCCTCAGACACTGCGACATGGTTCATGTGACTGTATCTGATGTTCAACCTCTTCAGGAGTCATCTGGAGGTGGTTGGTGAGATGTCGGAGACGGATATAAATCTTGATTTTTACCCCTCTTCCAGTCAGCGCTGATTTCATTTTCTGACTTATGTAAAAATATGCCACGATTTTCTTTTGCAATGTCACGAAACAACCCAGATTTCTAGTATTTAATTTTATAAATATTAGCTGCTGTTTGGAGCTTCTACGCAAACAGCTCTCATGGCTACAGCAGTACCTCATCAGACTATACATGTTGAGTTTGGGCGATTTTATGTAACTTGTGTGGTGATTTTAAAACTCTAGATAACTTAAACTCCAAAATAAGTCAAAGCACTGCGTAAAAGTTTGATGACAAAAAGAATTATGAAAAACTCTGCAACACGTTTTTAAAAACTCATGACGGGGAAATCACTGAAAAATTTGTCATCACATGTATGATATCATGAAAAGATTCAGAGAATCTAGAGAAACAAACCGTGGACGGCCGTGATCTACAGGTCATCAATCAGCACTGAACTGAAAACAGTTGTGACTCTGCAGTGTAAATCACCACATAAGCTCACAGTCGCCTCTAAATATCACACAATTGCCACTGCATTAAAAAAATGCATGATAAACTGTACCACACTGCACTGCAAAGAGGAATCTGATCCAGAAATGTTGGCAGCCTGAGTGAATTTAAGATGGACCGGCGAGAGAGTGGAAAAACTCGCTCTTTTTTTTAAATCATGTCCGCTGCGTCCTTGGTTCTGAGGAGATAAGCTTAATGGATAAACTGCATCAGTTTGAACTACAACAAATAAGCAGGCTGATGTTTTAAGTCGAGCTTGAATGAAATGGTTTAGTTCAGTTAACTTTCAACTCACCGTGCGAGGAAATTCAAACGAATCAGTTGGCTTGGAAGCAATTTGAGTCTTACGTTGGGTAATAGGAAGAAAAATGTGCAATGAAAGGGTGATTATACAAACAGAGACAAAACCTTTGAAGCCCTGGGAGCTCTATCAGGATTCAGATTTGCTAAATCATCAGGCCTTACATAAGCTTGTTATACAGTTTATACTAAGTTGTTGCATCTGAATTGACATTGAAAAAAAAACAACGGTGAGTAAAAACCATCTTTAAACATGTAAACAGTAGGACTATGCCATTTATATTTAATTCTTTTTTAATGAAAGTACATCCTAGATATTGAAAAAAACAGCAACTGCATGTTACTCTTATTCAGTAACAACTTAAAAAACATGAAATGTTATTTGCGTTACCATAACTCAATTAAAACTAAGCGTATCTGCAGGGAAAATACAGAGAGAGACGTTTTTGCTGCACTCAGCTCGGTCAGATGCCTGTAAACTCAGACGCAGTTTCTGTGTAATGTCTCCAGCTGAAGTGAAACAGGGACAATCTGTGAAAAAGTGATGAGACAAAGAATTGCGAGACAGGGCTGTTAAAAACGAAACTCCCGGTGGCTCGTAGGAAAATGCTGCGTGCTCATTTCTCCGCTCTAATCCCGTTAGCGACCGGAACAGACTTTCATTACTGGGACATTATCAGCCTCTCCGCACATATGGGGGAAAAAATATGTGCAGAAACAAGATTTCTATTCATCAGCCCACTAATTCACATAGACACGTCTCTCCACCTCAACCCTGCTACATTTATTGGAGGCAAAGAGTGAGCAGAGATGGAAACTGACTGACTGTGAGATATTTGATAAAGAGGTGGTTGATTTATATTAGAAGCAAGTGGATGCTGTTGGTAAGACATTTAGTATCAGATTTGGCATCAGCTGTGATAACCTGAATCCAGCCAATCACGTCTGAAAGTACATAAACTGCAGCTCCCCAACTGTCCACTAGAGGCCGTTTAAAATTCAAGACATCCCCTTTAGCTTCCATGTTGAAATAGCTGACAGCTCAGTAAAAAAAGGTCTTGGTCTTGATAGCTATTTTTTTTTATTAAAGTTCCACTACGATCTTTTTTCTTTTACTTCTTTAAGTGTTCTCAGTGGTCTTTCAATCGTAATTATGAAGTTTTTACCTGTGTCATTTTCAAGGGCTTTTCTTCTGCAGAGCTCGAGAACATCATTCACAGTTCGCCTCCGAGTCATGGGCGGAGACAGCGCTGCTCTGCACACTTGCAGCCTAACATTTCCGGTGTCGTAGAAGTGGCAGGTAACATAGGAGCTATTCAGCTCTTGAACACTAGTGTCTTTAGGGGCACGATGAAAGCTAATATCAGTTAGCTTTCTTACGAGCATTGCAGTCCGCTAACGCACACGCGATCGTCCTTTGTATTTCTCCTCTATATGCAGAGTGTGGCCTGCATAGTGGGGCTCAGGGGGCGGAGCTTGGCTTGGTTACATATGAAATCTCACTGTTTCTGAACCTGCCATTTAGGTCTGCCAGAGATTTACAGCGCACTTAGTTTTCTCATGATATGTCCTGGAGCATCAGAAAAATGCCAAATGAACATTAAAAAAACAAGAAAAACATGATTTTCATCAGAGTGGGTCTTTAACTTTATACACCCTGGAGAGCTGTGAGGTTCTTTAATTAAAGCATTTATTAATATTGGGGTCGCATTTCCAATATGGTGACCATATGGAAGCCACAGATGACACTGCCTTCTATGTTAGCATGTTATAGTAGCAACTTAACACGTGCGTGTAAAAGATTCAGTATCATCCTTGTAGGTGGACACCAAAAATAAACATCAGCTTAAGAAATCATTAGTATTCTGGGGTGCAGATAGCCTAGCAGTTTAAGCACAGGTGGCGCAGGATTAATTCCTGCTCTCTTTTAAATTTGTCATTTAAGACCAAAACTCCTCTCTATGAAATGGTTAGACTGGAAATCAAAGCAGAAGATAACGCTGGAAAGTTTCACTCTTTAATTATAAAGCTAACACATCATTCCTGCTACATGACACATTCTAACACTCAGTTTCATCTAACAGCCCTCTGCTGCGAGAAACGACCCTCCTTGCTGTCTAAATGTTTGGTATAAATTTGCTGGATGGTAGATGGGAGCGGGAAAAGCGATGTCAAACTTGGACATAATAGCTTGACTGCTCTCATGTATTGCCGAGCCATGTAATCATCAGTAACTTACGCAAAGTAAAAATGGCTTCTAAGTGGTGCAATTTATTCAGCCTTGTCACTTTTGATTCAACACTTTTCACATTTTGCTGTTCTTGTTATAGACTTAATGTTTGTAATTGCCTCAACAATGAGAGCGTAAATTTCTGAGTTAAAGAGGCGAGCCGCACCTGCCTCCTCACCTCAGCCTCTCAGAAAAGAAGCTTTTAAGATGGAGACATCTCCATCAATGTATATCCGACCCTTCAAAGTTAAATGCATGTTTACCGTAAGAGGAGTTCCTGCTGAAGAGTGACAGCAGGTACTCAGCCTTTCACCTCCCTCCGTCTGTGTTCAGGCAAATTGTAGGAAACACTCAAAGAAAGAGGTTTCTGAAAACAAAAGAAGAAACAGGAAAGGAAAGAAGCTGGAGACTACTTTTAACAGGTAAGAGACGCTGTGCGAAACTGGATAAATTATTACAAAATACAAGCCAGAAACACACAACACTATATATATATATATATATATATATATACACGCTTTGAAGTTAATTGTCTTTTCTTTCTTTTGATAAAGCCAAGGTTTCCAAACAAACTAAAAGACACGTACTCGTATTCTGACATTTTCCCAATTACTCCTCTTTCTTTACTCACAACTTCAGAGACCAAAAAAGTGAAAGATATCAAAGTAGCGTCCTACTCAGTCTCACCTTTACGTGTATTACTTCTTCTAGAGCAGACAGTGAGAAACCACCATTTCTGTTTGTAATGCTGCTATTTTGGTCGTTTTTGGCATAATCCAGCTTAACTTTGAAGCTTCAGAAAGTAAAATAGAGAGGAATGATGTTTTTCCCCTCGAGGAAAAGTTATAAATATGCTTCATATTCACCATATTTTGACCTGCTGTAGATGTACTCCTCCTTAAAGAAGAGTCGTGACTTATTTAAAGATTTACTCTGGCCACAAATCAAGGTTGATTCCTCAACAGCTAAATTTAGTGAAATGTACTTGAGAGTTTTTGAGAAAAGTCATATTTCTTGTTTCTTTCTCAGTTAAAAAAGTGACAGAGAAAAATGAAAACACCTTTTTTTTAAAGACTATCATACCTTTAATGTCCTTCCAAAATGCTGACTAATGTTTTTCTTCAGAGCAGTTCAAAGATAAACTTTCTCTAATGAGCCTTCACAGTTATCCGGAGAACACAAGGTCCTACTTTGCTGTCAAAACCAGCGTCAAGGTTACCAAAATGTTAAGATATGGAAATAATACCATGAGACAGGGACTTGGAACAAAAGCCTTGATAAATAATCTTTGGCCAAAAATGCAAATTTCCTCCCTCTGGAGAAAGACCAACTGCTCGGCCTCGGCCACTCCCCTGCTAACTGCAGCGAGGCCAAGGGCGGCAAAGCACAGCCTTAGGAAACTGCAGAACTCATCCTCTAACATATGGCCAGAGCTGTTTGAGGTTATTTTCCAAATAAAGCAAAATATGGAAGAGCAATTACACCCTGAACCCTGTAAATGAGAAGTAAACCAGCTGGGTTCTCTTCCTCCTCTGAGTTGTATCTGATTTTTCCTTTTTAAACACTTAAATTCCTTTTATCCTAAGACCAAGCTATGTCTCACTTTGATTAAGATAATAGGAAATAAATGGCCCAATGTGAGACCCTCTCTTCTTTGCCTAGACCTATGGTTCCCAACTGGTGGGTATGGACCCAAAAATGGGTCACAAACTCTTTCCATTGGGTAAGCTAAAAAATTATCTCTCACAAAATTATGACTTTATTGTCTAAGTATTAAAACTTCATTCTGATGACAGTAAGACATATTCTTGTAATATCATAACCTTGCTTTGAATTAATTCTCATGAAATCATGACTTTATTGTAATAATATTATTTTACTAAGATTTTACTAAGGTACCATTATGATTATGTTCTCATACTGTATCATATCTTATATTGTAACGTGAGCTGTAACTGTTATAACTCATTACCTTTATTATTTTATTTTGAAATTATTATCACTGTATCCTCATGACAGTATGACTTTATTCTTGTAATTCCTTTACTTTACTTTTGTAATATTACTTTACCAAGATGTTACTCTGGCTAAATCAGAACTTTATTCTGGTTGTATGATGACTGCTACAATATTACTCTTTTAACACTGACTTTAAGGAGATGATATTTTAATAAAATTATGCTGATAACTTAATTTTAGTTTCCTTTTGACTTAATCATCCTTCTCCCTTTATGTGGCCCTTAAAGTTTGTTGTCGGAAACATGTATCATTATTGGCTAATTTTACCGTTATCATACCATTAACACAAAAGTATATAACTGCTGCATGTAGCAATCTTATTATCTAAATCGATGGAATATATAATATTTAACTTTATTCTGAGTTACGTCAAACAATGCAGCATATCGCAATAGGTATCATGACCCATGTATCTCATTGCATCATATTGTATCCTATCATCATTGCCAAAACCCTACCCCTATACACATGACATACAGTGCTGGGAAATACAACTAAATGTTATCAAATGCCTGAAACACAACCTGGTGTAGCCTGGAGACAAACTCTCTACAACTAGGGCTGCAACGATTAGTCGACGTAATCGATTACGTCGACACGAAATTTAAGCGTCGACGCGTCGTGTTATTGTTGTTAAGAATCACATGCCGGCGCCTCATACTCATCTATAACTGCAGTGCACTACAGGATGTGCTGGGGGCAGTAGCGCTCGCTGTTTACATCCCGCGGGCAAACACAGAAGAAGAGTGCACACATTATGGCAGAACAAACTGAAAAAGACGCTCCAAAACTCCGACCCAAAACTTCAAAAGTTTGGGAACATTTTACGGAGAACAAACCAAAAAAACACGTCGATCAAAGCTCAGCTTTCCTACCATGGCAGCACCACGGCGATGCATGAGCACCTGAAACGCCGACACCCCGGAAATAGGTGTTTATAAATAAAGAAGATAGTGATTAATCGTGATTAATCGGACGACTAGTCAATAGATTAGTCGACAAAAAAATAATCGTTCGTTGCAGCACTATCTACAACCATAAATTAGGGATAAGGAAGGTGTAACACAGTCCTGAGACAAAGTTGCTTTTCTCTCTGTTTGCTGCCTTCAGTGGAATTATCCTGCTGTTTTGTTGTTTGATGTGCAACAAAGTAATGTCTGTGGTCAAGTAATTCTAAGAAGTTGGAGAAATACCCGCTGAACCTGGGTGCTGTTTGGGCTTAGCAGGGAGTTGTAAGCCTGTAATTGGGCACGCACATTTGTGTGTGCTGTGTGTGTGTCTGTGTGAGCGTAGAGGACAGGGGGTAGCGGTCCGACACCACACGCTGCATTCAGCACATCTGTCAAAGAACAAACCTCTGTCATTGCCTGCTGTGCGGTTAATAAAGTCAAACTGTGACCAAATGAGATTTACCTTCTATCTTTTTTTTTTTGGAGCCACCTGCCACGAACAAAGTCAGATGGAAATGAGGATAAGCTTTTCCGTAACAACAGAGCGAGATTAGACTTCAGAGAGAAATAGGAGCAGAGTGAAAGAGACAAAAAGAAAAGAATGGAGATGAATTAACGATAAAATTCAAACATTTTTCACCTGAAAATCAGCTTACAACTGTAAAAGTTGACAACAGCAGAAATGAAGAGTCACATAAGGTAACCACACAAATCTGAAACTGCCACGAAACCTGGTTCAAACGTCGTTCACATGCAAGTGACAAAGGTGCCAGTAACCCTGTGACAGTGAAACAATGTTGAACTTCTCTTACATGCATGAAGCATCACTGTTTCTAAAGATGGACTACACGTGCAAATTGAGACTACTAATATATTTTACTGAACCTCAAAAAAGCGTGAAAAAAACTACATAAAAAAAAACTTCACAAATCTTTAAAACAGGTAAAAAGTTTTGAAACACCAGTCATGTTTTTTTCACATGGAGAATTTATGTATTCATTTTTTGTAAAATCATTTGAGTCATCAAATAAATGTGTATCTCACCTTAAGGGCCACCATAACAGTTTAACCACACTTCTTGAATAACCCTCAATGACTGGACTGCTCAACTTGTAGTGGAATAAAAAACATGTACACCAACTAACACATCATCAAGACTTCATACCAAAAAAGTTCACAAAACCTACAGGTGCAAACTTGAAATTTCTCCTTTTTATCACGCCTCTACGTGGATTATGCGTCACATGACCCGGGAACGACAGATTGGTGCAAAACACTCTTATCTAGCATACATGTGCATCAGTATGCCAAGCTTGACAGAAGAAGAAATGTGCTCTTAACTTCAACTGTGCTTGGTGTGAGTACTTTCTCTGTCCTGCGCTTTGCTGCATTTACATGTACTTTGTAAGGTACGTGGGTCAAATTCAGACGTACAACACGGAGACAAATATGACGTTAGCAAGCATGCTAACTGTGCCAAGCACAAACAGAACGCATATCTTCGCCAGCGAGAACAAAGACAACACTTTTATACCTTTATTTGGACTATTTAGATAGATCACCATGATGTGGGTAACTGTAATCAAAATTGATATTAAAAGTAATTCTGGTATCTCTATTTCAAATTCATATGTGGTCAGCTATGCTACATTACTAGGAAAAAGGAAAAACAAAAAAATGAGAGGAGAGAGACAGTGTTTACAAAAAGAAAAAACTGAAGATGGAGGTTGGTGCAGGTCTTTATTTACACCATAGGATTTATGGCGTCCTGCGTACGCTGTGTGGCATGGGAGCCATCGCCTCCTGGCTGGAGGAAGCAACATCATTTCAAGCTCGAGTGCCTGCTGCGACGTCGAGTGTGCTGCCAAAAAGAGCACGTCTGCAGAATACAAACAAAATGCACTGACCTTTTCCCCAACAACTGCTGTGTTCATCCGAGTCACAGCACAGAAAGGCCTCTCTCTCGTCACACTGGAGCCTCTGTCTCCCCGCTGACTCTAAACGTTTACAGCCAACATGACTCTCTCATCACATCCGAGCATGTTACCGTCAAAAGGAGGGTTTTCCATGATACGCCACCGGTCCCTGGAGGGTGGAAAAAAATAACATGTTCAGAACATTTTCTTTAAAAGTGAAATACATCCAATATGGCATGGAAAGCATGAAAAGCAACCTATGTGTGTTAAAGCAACATGAATATTCGATTGCTGTGAGACTATCAAGGTCACAATCCCACAGCAGATTATGAAGAAGTCATGAATAAACGTCTAAAACTGTTAACATGAGCATGAAATAGAGAATTTCCTCTTTTGTTAATGTCTGTGGGCATTAACCTTAAAATAATGTATTTAATCGGAGTTACATTTTAATGCTTCTAACACAGAAGCCTTTTCGTGTCGCTTTGCACAATTGTGTTATGTGGGGGTGTCACATTTTCATGGCCATTGATTTTCAGGGCAGAAAATAACTTTATATTGCACCAGGGGAAGCCTGTGTGGGCTCCGTTTTTAAAGCAGGAGTCAACCTTGATATAATATTTAAGACTAAGCCATGGTGTTGTCACAAGTGGCTCGTAAGACTAAACCAAGTAGCAGTGAGAACAGAAGGTCACAGTTTGGTACAGCTCTGGCAGTTGAACGGTTGACGGTTTGGTTCAATTTTGGCTCTCTGAGATATTCTTCAAGTGCATCTCCGAACTCTACATGATCCAATCCTATATAAAGAAGTTATATATCCAGAAAATAGAGACAATATCAAAGGAGAATTAGAAATCAAGTCTAGAAAAGCTCAACTACACTTAGTAGAAGACATGTTTGCATAAGTAAGAACAATGGCAATCAGCTTGAAGTGCTGTTGCTCTGGCAGTCTGTCTTTAAGTTGTCGTTTCTCCTGTACTCTCCTTTGTTTCTCTACTTCTCCAGGTGGGTGTCAGAGCTGCTGTCAGAGGTTACCACGTGGTTTGATTTAATGTAGCGAACAGACTCAAAGATACAAATAAAAAGAAATTTAAAAAAATAAAAAAAACTCAAACTGTCTTATAAAAATTTGAACGAACATAAATTTGGTATTGACCCTTGCATTTCTGCATTTCATATCAAGTATCATATTGCAGGGAGAGAAAGTATTGCAAAACACTTTTTTTAAAATAACATGATGCCCTTAAAAAAATGTCGACAGTGCCCACTATCTCTTCAGGGACGTTTTTGGTGCCCCGTGTGAGGCACCAGAAACTACACACGTAAGTTTCTCACATCAGCTTTAACACGACAGGGCTAAGCCCAGACCTGATGGATAGTCAGATTTATGTGAAAAAAAAAAAAAGAGGTTGACAGCAGCTTTATTAGTGTCTCATGTTTTTGCCTTGCCCTGCTTTGTTTCCCTCCCTCATGGACGAGGAAAATAACTGAGGGTTTACAGTCACAGTCACCTGTTAAGAGTTTAGTAAACTGCCTGAATCTTTAATTCGAGTAAGATGGTGTTCTTGTTATCCTTTGATGACAAATAATACAGACTACAACTGAAGTACAACAGCAGAAACATTTTGCATTAGAGAAGGATTCGACAATACACAGAATAATTGCATCCTTGAAAACGAACACGGTCTAATCAACTCCTCTCCGACTCAGTCACTGGAAATATTAAACATTTAAATGCTTACAAAGGCGGCATTTATTTATTACAGAACTTTTGGGTTGCTCTGCATAATGCATGATCATAACTCTAATCCTGCTTACAGAGAGAAAATATCTGCCAAGCTCTTCTGTGTTTGTTTTATGCTGCTGCCGCTGTCTCTTGTTTACATAAATTACATTGTGTTATGCTGGGAGGACATTGTGTGCATTCGAAGAAAAACAATTATACTAAAAGCAAAAACCTCTATGACACCATCTTCTATGCAAAACACACACAGGCCGATACAAACACGCACAACTCCTCTCAGGCAGTCTCCATCCTGTATCCTTTGTGTTCTCTGCAAACATCGAGCCAATTGATTGGCTAAGTGTTTCCTGGCTACCACACCTGGACTGGCTGCATCCTCTCTGCCATGTTTGTTCATTGTAACACAGGTTTCACACTGAGATCAGCCAAATGATAGCTGCCCGGCTGTGCTTTAATAATTATACACACAGATGGTGACCGGATTGCTGCTGCTGCTCTCCTGCTCGGGGGTGGCAGCGTCTGATCTTCACTCTTGTTACTTTTACAAGCTCTGTGATTTTACTGTCTGCGTATATGCAAGCCATGCTTTTTTAAGAGCATCAATCACATTTTATAGTCCCAAATTTAGATTCTCAGAGCATTTATCACTCAAACAAACCCTGTGTTTGGATGTTTCAGCCTGTACTGAAGCTGGTTGGCGGCTAAAAAATGATGGTAATACATATTGTCTATGTCCAGTTGGTTACCAGATAGCGGTATAAGAGGACATGGTAGTTTCCAAAAGCTCATAAATCAATCAGATATGATAACAGGGTTAGTTATTAGTGGGGTTGCAAAGGGGTGGAAAATTTTCTGTAAATTTCTGGAAAATTTCCAGAAACATTCCATGGGAAGTTGAGCTGGGGAATTTTGGAAATATTCCAAATTGGAGGCTTTCCATGGGAATTATTGGGATTTAACTGGAAATCAGGGGTAATTAATACAAACTGTATCATATCCAAACATAAATGTAAATATTTTTGTTTTGTCATCAACAGACATCCATGCAAAATAATACAATTAAAAAATATTTCAACAGATTTATTTGAGTGGTGGCGATGGTGAACGTGGCGTTTTTCTGCAGAATGAAATAAAAAAGTTTGTAAAAACACTAATGCAATGGCATGAACAGAAATATAGTTGGCTAAACAACTGGGATGGTCCTCAAAATATTTGACAATTGATGTATAAATTATTGTATGGTTACAGAATACCGTCTTGAAGGAGTCAGAAGAAACAGCGTCACATTTGAGGTCGCTACCACCATCATAATAAGCTAACTCCTTAAATAGTCAATAGATTACATTTAGCACCAATTTTTATTTAATTTTTGCAAGTTGAATATTAATACTATTATAGATCAAGTATATTAACCCCATAATTTTATCAAAACGTATTCGACTTTATATAGTCTGTGGGCTCAAATGTGTAGCCTCCGGGGTTCAAGAAATCATTTGTGCTATGTGATGCCCAGTGCATGAAGGGGGTGTGGCCTCAATAGCCCTGCAGTACGCAGTGTGCTGTGTGCATGTGATTGAAGAGTGTACTTGAATTAAATCTGGTTGTTTTAGCCAAGATTATGCTGTAATATATATTTTCCCCAACTATATTTAAGTTCCCTGATGAGGGCAAACCTTCAATATTGTAAATATTAGATTTATTCCCATTAATTCCAATGGAAAGTTTCCGACGGAATTTTGCAACCCTAGTTTTTAGTAGGATGCTAACAGCTAGCTGGTGTTACATCAAACTTTAGCTCAGAAACAGATGGAGACAGAGACTCCGCTCACAAGCAAAAGTTGGAGGATATAAGGATGTGTGTCCTTGTGAAGTGCTGCTCTCTCCAGTTAAAAGCAATCCTGTTTCCTCCCCATCATTTATATAAACAAATAATCACTTGACAGATAGACTTCCTTTAACAGGATAAGAACAGCAGTGTCCTTAAATGTGTTTTTCTTAGCAAATATGAAGAGGATAATATCTGAAGAGCAGCAAGATGGCTTTACATGTGTCAGTCAGAATATTTGTAATCGACGGGTGAACAAAACGTTTTCTCTGTGTCATAAATGTTTTAGAGGCAGACCTCAGGCGAGCGCTTTGAAAGTACCTGGCATTATAAAGAATAATAAATAGAAATGGTATCAACAGCTGCTGTTAAGAGATCAGACCAAAATTTAACTTCTGGTGCTGCTCCAGGGCGAGTTTCTGTCTATCAAAGACAAAACAAGGGACATTCTCTCATTCAAGTCTTTTTTTTTTTAACACAGAGTTTCTCAGTAAATCTTTACAGAAGTAAAAGAGCAGAAATGTTCAATATCTCCTTCGATAAACTCCACCCTTTGCTAATTCACACACACAGTCACACACAACAAAGCAGTATTTACTATCATTGTGACACTTTGTCAGACCACGGGGCCTCCAGATATGAATAAATACTGAATAGATCCTTCTATTATGCATGCAAAGCCTACAACATACAGCCATGTGATCCAGCAGCACAAATAAGCAAACAGCACATCTTTGTTTGATTTAAAGCACACAGGACTTTGGTCCGGATTAGATCCTGCCCCACTCTGCCAGCATGTCCAGAGTTTTGAATTATTAATAAAGTTGCACCGCTGTTTCATGTGTGTTGATATGAAAGTCCAAATGCTGTGCAGAGGGATTATTTCAGTGGAAATAAGATCAATTCATGCATTGACATGCACTGTAGAAATAAACTATCAGCATCTACATTTGCACAGATTTAGTGGTCTTAGAAGCTGCATTACCCCTCTGTAAAGCATGATCTCTGTATCTGAGTGCAGCATGCAGAGTCCATGATGCAACATACAGTCGACAGAAAATGAATGTAACTTTTAAATGCAAATCTGATGGATTGGATTTGATGATGGAATTAACTGATTTACCACTTAAACTAAACAAAGAGTCAGACATAAAGCCCCGCTCTGATGAAAATCATGTTTTTCTAGATGTCCACATGTTCATATGACATTTTTCTGATGCCAGAGGACACATGAAGAGAAAACTAAGTGCAAAATTGCATTTCTGAGTATTTCTGCATTCAAACCACTATGATCCTTCGGCAGACCAAAACAGTAGGCTTGGTAGACACAGTGAGATTTCCTACATCACAACACCAAGCTCCGCCCCCTGAGGGTGCTTTTTTCAATCATACTATGTACTATAAGGGCATCTAGGAGACACTTTTTTACATTTCTTGCACTGAGAGGGCATTGTTAGGTCACTTTTTCACATTTACACACTCAAGTGACACCCAGAGGGCACTTTATATTTTTTATATACTGAAAAATGCACCTGTTAGACACTTTTTCCACATTCTGCTCTCCGAGGAACATTCAGAGGAGACTTTATCAAGTTTTGTCCTGTCAAAGACCAGCTACGTAAGCTGTTTTCCATGCGTTTTCCATTTTCCACTCCTGCATACAGATACCTTACTTTAAAGCCTAAATAAGGCGCTGAATCTTTAGCTGTTTCACACCTTGAATTAACATCACAAAAGACAAAAACAAGCTACCAGAAGGGTCAAACTGTTCAACTAGAAAATAAGTCCTTAAATTTTCTGAAGGACAGCTGAATGACTGACTGACAGTCCTCAAGACACAGAAGACGTTTGCTGCATAACAGCCGCCTGAAGCTCTATTTTAAAATCACCACCTGTCTGTCCTCACGCCCCACCTGACCCCAGGCCTCGTGTGACTGCCGTTTAATAAAAAAAAAACAGCTACAGCCGATGCCAGCGCCTCGGGAGAAGCCTCCTCACCACGCTCCAACATCCAGCATCCCACCTCTGTCATCAAGGACACTCGCTCCCACTCTGCGGTACAAAGTTGTCTGAAAGTCACGCCCAGAGAGAGACAGAGGCAGAGAGTTTGGGACATAGTGGGAAGTTAAGAGTCCGTGATAACAGCATTAAACGCCTCAGCAGCACCATCACCACCAACCGGGCCTCACCCAGGCGTGCACAGGGCCAGGTTCAGGGGCTCCTGTCACGGGAAGGGAGCCTCTGGGAAGGCCAACTGGCAGGGGCTGCAGGCCGGGGTAGAAAACCGAAGAGGGCTGGAAGGTCTCTGTGCAAGAAATGACTTAGATTAATGCCAGCACCCACGGGTGAGGAAGTTCGTCGTGGGTGATGCTCTGGCTGGAGTTGCCAGGCTTTTGCTGTGAGTTTGCTGAAGTTTCTCTGTTGTCCTTGAAAGCAATGATTATTCAGCACATTCCTCCAGACTGATGAGAGAACGAGACAGATCATCTAATAGAGACTAACAATCGTCGCTCTCTCAATTTTAGGCCCATAATTCATGCAAATGTGGCAAAGGAGCATCTATTTGTCGAATTCGCTCTCCTGGCTCTGGCTTTTGCTGTCTTGTTTAGTTTTAGCGAATTGACTTTGTGCTTGACTTTGCCTGCTTCCCTCCCTCTATCTCTCTCTCTCATGATTGTGTTTTGATGAATTACATCTTGTTAAATCATTTCACTTTTATTTATTTGTCTGTTTGTTTGTTTGCCGGCTCTGCGCTTCATTTGTAGAGATGTGGTGAGGGAGGGCGGGGCGTGAGTCGAATTGATAAGAAGTTCTAAGTGGAATTCCTGCAAGAAATTAGAGAGAAAGAGGACAGAGAGTTCTGCTGATGGAGAGAGAAGTAGATTAAGTGGCTGTGGGGAGGATGGGATAGAATGAAAGAGGGAAAAGAGGGGAGAGTATGGCTCTTCCTGCAAATGAGTGCATAAGCCGTAAAGAAAACTATTGCTCATTTTCTTCAAGGTTCTCCGTCGATCACACTCCAAACGACTCCAAATCTGAATGCAAAAGTGGCCTGATAAGACAAGTTTGTGTAGCACCAGAGTTCTGATAATAGCGAGGGAATAATTCATACTGTGGTCCGCTCTGGGAAATTGAAACTCTTTGAAAGTTTCTAATAACGAACAGAGCAAGTCCAGCTCGCCGTGAAGGCGCCTCTCACAGCTGTCGCCTTCCCGAGAGTCTGTTCACGAACGTTGAAGTGACGGCTGAGCGGGGAAAGGGTGGAGAAGAAGACAAGGGGTGCAGCAGATGGAAAGTGGAGGATATGAGGAGATAGGATAAAGCAGACAGGAAGAAAAGAGAGAAGTTGATTGAGTGGATGTAAGAGAGGATCTGGAGTGAGATGGAGGAAGGAGTGAGGTAAAACGGAGGTAAAGAGCAGAAACACGGGAGATGAGAGCAGGGAAGAATGTAAAACAACATTTGGAGAGAAAGCATCATGGGGAAAATGAGCTGCTCTCTGCAGACAGAAGTCACCGCGCCGTCTTGGCCAAAACCAAAAATCTGAAGATTAGCTTTTCTGCCTGGATGCTGCACAGAAGGAGCTCACAAAGGCAGAACTGCTCCCTTTCAGGAAATAGAGCAAACATAATTCTCTCTACCTGCTTTGACATAAATGAATAATCCCTGGATTACAACAGTTCAGGAGTGAATAATGGTCAGTGCAGCTGTTCATGAAATATGACACTCAGCCTTCAGCTAAAAAAAAACCCTCATCTAGGGACATAAAATACTTATACTGTGGAAAGTTCTGTGCAATGTCAGTTTAAAAGAACAGCACTGAAATGTTAATATAACTACTAATGCAGTAAATTATGTTTTATTCATTCATTCATTCTTTTTCTATAGCAGGGATTTCTTTTACATGAAGAGTAGGCAGTGTAAAGGTACATGATTATATGCACTATCGGTTGAATCTGATCTGAATATGTGCAGAACAAACAAAATAAATACTCCACAGTCAGTTGTGGACTTGGGTAAGGGGGCAGAGAGGGCATTCT